GAGTCACCTGAGATTTGACCTCAGGCCGGCGTTGGATCAGCCTATAGGCCCAGTTCTCCCCAACCTGGCCACTACTACGCTTAGCTAGTAGCTGGTCAGCCATTCCACGTACGTGGCTAAGCGTAGGGGCAAAGCCTCTAGCGTCAAGCTTCCTTATGTATTGTATAACTGCCTCCTCTTCATGCTTCTGAAGCTTAGATGAGTTAGGGTGGGTATCGCGTCGTGGGGTTCTTCCAGCGCCTTGATGGCTAAGTGTACTTTGAGGAACCCTGTAGATAGCAGCAGCGCGTCGCTGGCTTAGTGACGCGTTAGATTTTATTGCTTGGGTAGCAAGTATAACTCTATCTGCACAGGAAAGTAATTCAATATCAGGTTGTTGAGCCATTGTAATTAATAGTAGAAAGCGTTGTGGTCTTGGCAGAGTGATTCGCTCGGTGGGGTGATTCGCTCGGTGGTGGACCACGTTAGCACAATTTAGACAGTATAAATGTTAGCCGTCATCTTTTCTGTCAGGGCTGGGCTCCGCCCATTCAACCATGCAAGCAGCAAAAGGGTTCAATGCTCACTCTAATAGTGAGCACCTGGGCGGAACAGTACATATCATCAACTCAAGTCAGAGGTGGCCTTCGTCTGGCCACATGCCCGAGCATGCCTGACATTTTCGAGCTGGCTGTGTACCTCAACTCTTTATCCAACAACTGCGTCTCTGTCTCTCTGCATCTGAACTGTTCATCACTCTATCTTTGTTTTTGCAAATCGAACATCTGAACATTCCAACGTTTAAAAGTCTATTTCACCCTGTTGATTGAGCTCTGAACATGGCTGTAGCGCGCAAGTGGGGCGACGACCGTATCAGCTGAGCTTTGAGACTAATTGCCTCGGAATTCTGGCTTCTTGGGAGCTTCGTCCTGCAGCGTTTACCGTATCTTTCCAACACAGCAGCTTGGAACGATCACAGCGATGGCTTAAGCTACATATTGGAGAAGTCGTCGAACCCGCATCCTCCCGCGATCCTACACGACGACAACCCTTACGTTTGACTGGTACACCAAGCTGGTGATGCCTCAGCAGTCTGGGCTATTGGTAGCAACGCTTTTTGCAAGGTTAGGTATGTTGAGGACGGCATCACGCCTGAATTATGTACCTCAGATTTTGTCTAATATCAACAACTAAGTTTAAAAACCCCTAAGATGTTGGCTTAGGTTATAGACGAGGGCAAAAGATATCTCTCTCTTTAGAGGGTACTAGGTCGAACTCTTGACCAAGCTCGGGCAAGTCTGAACATTTGGTGGCGACTCTGCTATGTTACGGCTGTCGCAGATGCTTGCAAGAAATGGCTCTATGGGAAGTCCATTATTTTGGCGGTGTTGATGATTAAAACATACTAGAGTACTACCTTCAGCGCTGTACAAGCGATGGTTTCAGCTCTCTGGACACTTTGTGTGAGGAGATAGGTATGGATTGCTCTGATCTGGTTTTCTGTCACGCTGATTTAGGGCCTACCAACATCATCGTTGAAGAAGAGCAAAGGACAAGAGAAATCGGTGTTATTGATTTTGAGATCGCAAGTTGCTTGCTTCGGGACTGGGTCAGAACCAAGTTCCAGATCTCTTCTGGGATGAATCTATCACCATTGGCACTTCTCCGATTCAACCCTGATGCATGCTCCACAAAGTTCAGTGAGGTCACATTTGACTTTGTGCATGCGGCACTCGATGCAGGATAAGGCGGGTCGTCTCGTTCTTTTCGGCGGCCCATCGCCGTCCGCATCTGCCCGGGCTACACTAGGAAGCTGCTCGGTCATTTGGGCAGCTGCAGAGTCAAAGCAGGCTTTGGATTTCTCCTATTGTGTGACCTCAATCACTAAAGCTGATAATAGAGGCTTTCAGTGTGCAAGACCATGGCAGAGAACCGAAAAAGTAGATTGCAAGAAGGTCGGCGAATCCGAGAAAGCCGAATTCACCGACGCTGTCACCCATCAGGCGTGCCGTGAGCCGAGCATGCGCATAACGTGACCACGATGCTCAAGAGTTCCGACACTGGCGCGCAAATTGATACTGTGCGCGCTCATACGTCGACCCTCGCGCAGCAGGTCTGGTAGAGTCTTTGCCTGTTAACCTCGATTCTTTTCCTGTCCTTCCCGTCATCTCTTCTCTTACAATTGGGCACTTTCTTGTTCGAAACGAAATGCAGAACTTCGTATGTATCGCGAGCGCGGACGAATATGCGACTTATGTTCTTAGAGGTCGCAACAGCGGATGTTACGCAATATTTCCCTACCTTTGGGCCGCTCAATTAACTTCTCGAAGTCGCTCTTACATGAGACAATTGTTGGGACGGACACTTCAGTCAGATGGACGAGCGCTCAGATTCTGAAGTATATAGTAGGATGGAAAACCTGCATCATTAGAATTCGGAGAAGTATGATGATGCTCGTGCAACGAGGCCATTGCGTGATACCAGGTCACGCTGGCGCAACCACAAAAGCCGCGCCCGCCAACCTTCTAGTAGGGTTGTGAACTCAAAACCACCAGTCGTGTCAATTTACGGAAGATAACGTTCATCTTAGCGTTCGATTCTGTCGCAGACACCGCACGGCATTCCTTCCGGTCTCTACTCGTTGCTGAAGATGCCGGCCCACGGTTCACAATTCGCAATCCGAGCCACGACGAGCGAATCCTGTGGCTTTCAGACGACCTTGCGCCTAAAAACGTCTCTGGAGAAAGCTCGGCTGGAATACGGGAAGTTACAGATCGATTCCAGGAAGAACCTGTGAAGGTCAATGGCGATCTCTCCTTATCGCCTGTTCAAGGGTATCTCAATCTAACCATTGACCGTGGAGAGACTCTGAACGAGCAACAGTGTTCTGTTAGGAAACCAGAACATAAAAGACTTTTACACAATGAACACTAAGCTCCACCTCCATTCCTAGTGAATTCTTCATCATGAGCGACAAGTCTCTCTCCACAGTCAACAAGCGGCCTTACCGGTCCGAACCGAGCTTGCACCCCGTACTGCTCGGAACTACCGAAACGACGCAGTTCTGTGGGGTCAACGACAGGGCTCGGTATGTAACTGCAACCTCCTGATTGTTGCCCCACGCGGCGCAACGATTGTGCCATAAAGCGGTGCAATGATGTATCTCAGCTTTGCACCATTTGCAGCCAAACACTGTCCTCTGATCGGATAGTATACAAGATAGTATATATACACGATGCGACGACTTGTTGGACTACCAGCACTTGCTCTCCTATATCTTTGAACCAAGGTCGAGTTATCATCGCTGATCTTTCACGATGGGTGGGGGTCTCTTCCACAGGAAGATTTCGCGAGAAGACGACGCACCCGTCTACACTGCCAACGAAGGTGCAGTCTCGGACGGCAGCCTACAGTATGTTGTCGAGAGGGGTGGCAATACCAGTGAGGTAGCTTACCAGGAGGCTTCTGGTGCCCCGGTCGAGTCTGATTCTCCGCTCGGTTACTCAGTCGGAGCTATCACCATCATCTTCCTCAACCTAAGCAAGATGATTGGTACTGGTATTTATTCGACCCGTAAGTTAATCCACAGGCTATAGTGAGACACGTGCTGACGGAACCTGCAGCTTCCACCATCCTTCGATACACCGGATCGATCGGCGCGGCAATGTTCTACTGGACAACTGGTTTCTTCATCTCCCTATCGTCTATGGGTGTCTACCTTGAATACGCATCGTACTTTCCTAGTCGCTCCGGCTCAGAGGTTGCATACCTCGAACAGGCCTACCCCCGGCCAAAGTACTTCTTTCCCGTCATCTTCGCAGTTCAATCTGTCATCCTCTCATTCAGCAGCAGTAACGCGATTGGTGAGTATTCCATTTACGGCTAATGATGCGCATTCTGATGACCCACAGTGTTGGCTCAATACCTCTTCGCAATCAACGGCGCTGAGCCGGGTGGATGGGAATTAAAGGGTGTTGCGGTTGCTGGTTACACCGTAGCTGTTCTGCGTAAGTGTGACGAAGCTCTACTGACATCACATCTAACCTCTGATCAGTGCTCGCTTTCCACACAAAGTATTCATACTGGCTATCGAATGGTATTGGTATGGTGAAGCTGTTGACTCTCCTTTTCATCTCAATTACCGGTCTTGTCGTCCTCGGCGGCCACACACGTGTCACAGACCCTGGCACGAATTTCTCGCAACCATTCAAGGGCAAAATTACTCCATATGGAGCCACGACTGCCTTATACAGGATTATCTTCTCGTACGCAGGATATGAGAACTCCTTTAACGTGACCAACGAGATCAAGGTACACATGTCATGCCGGGACCGCCGCCTCACGACCGCATGCTGACTTCATCTCAGAATCCTATCAAGACGATTAAGAAGAACGGATTCATCGCGTTGCTTTTGGTCACTGTTCTGTACATTCTGGCCAATGTTGCATACTTCGCTGCCGGTGAGTGTTCACTCTGATCCGACATGCATTCACGCGCTCACATTAAGGAATAGTCCCGAGAGCTGAATTAGAGAAAGCCGAGCAGATCGCAGCTTCTCTCTTCTTCCAGCATGTTTTCGGCTCCAGCGGTGCAGTCAAGGGCCTCAACTTACTTATCGCCCTGAGTGCATTTGGTAACCTGCTCGCTGTCCTGATCGGCCAGTCGCGTCAGATCCGTGAATGCGGAAGGTGAAAACTACACATTTGCATCTCCTTTTCAATCTTACTTACAATCACCAGACAAGGTGTTCTCCCCTACCCACGCTTTTGGGCTTCGACTCGCCCCTTCGGCACGCCCCTCGGTCCCTACTTTGTCAAGTGGGTCTTAACTGTGATCATGATAATCGCACCCCCGGCAGGTGACGCATTCAACTTCATTGTTGACCTGCAAGTCTATCCCGCCTCAATCTTCAACCTGACGCTGGCTTTCGGTCTGATACTCATACGCCGGCGACGCAAGCGTCTCGGTCTTCCGCGCCCGACTTTCAAAGTATGGGACCCGGTTCTCGCATTCAATGTCCTAGTCAATTTGTACTTGATTGTCATGCCGTGGTACCCGCCACCGGGTGGAAAGGGCAATGTGAGCTTTTGGTATGGGACGTATATCGTTACTGGCATCGCCATGTAAGTCTCCGACCGACAGATATCTCGAAACCCTGTTAACTCGATACAGTCTCCTTGTTTGTGGCATTTACTACGTCGGCTGGATCTATGTCCTTCCCAAGGCGCGAGGATACCGCATCCGCCAAGGTGTCATCACGTTGGACAGTGGAGCGAAGACACATAAGTTATTCAAGATTCCTATCGCGGAGCTTGAGGCATGGGATGCTACGCACGATGCGCTTGGTCAGAACTCGAATGATACAGCGAGCTCTAACCAGGATGTGCAGGTGGGAGAGAAATTTGCAGAAAAGGCTTGAGACAAAGCACAACAAGGTTGCAACCTACAGGCACTGATCATTACGCGCAACTTAGCTCCCATCGGAGTGACTGTTCAGGAAATGGACTTGGTAGATAGATTCTGCCGGTTGCGGTAACATGCCCAAGGGTGGCTTCCTGACGTAAAACTGTATATATCTTAAACATAACCTTCTCGAGTTATTTGGATCAAGGATCTCTTTTTATCTCCAACCCTTGCGCGAAGGGTACGTCAAGAATGGCCCACCATCATGTTCCTCTTTTCTGCAATGGAAAGGCATTGCTTGTGGGACATGTGTCGGTTCTCGCGGCAAAGGTAGGTGGTCGATGGGCAAGCCTCCAATTGGAACAATAACACCAAACAGTGATGGCATCGCGTGAAGATATTTGGTGGAGTTCTCCTCCAAATCAGGATTCGTAAACTGCTTTATCCAGGGGTAACCGCTTTATCTAGGGCATGTGAGCTGTAGTACACAGGCCTTGGATAACAGATATAATAGAGGAGTAACGAATGTGTTGAGCATAAAGTCCGAGGACAAAATTAGTGATGCAAATACAAAACATTGAAGTCTCTGAATCAATGTGTCCTAACATGGCTGTTGCCTAATCACAGCGCGCTGGAAGCTGCGAAGCTCTACGTGGCTGCACATTGGCGCATCTATCGCGATAAGGTCGTCTACCAGTCAGCTGATGACCTGTTCTTGTGGGACCCTCAGCAAACAGACAACGAAACCAGGTCAGAGTTTCTAAGCGATACAAGGCGGAGACCAGAGTCGTGTAATGTGGCAATCAAACCAACGAGAGAAGAATGTGGAGAGTGGTTGTTCGTCCAATACTTTTTTAGCAAGCGAGCTTCTTCAACTTACAGGCTACAGTTCAACTGTCGCGGTTTGGGGTCTCTCCTGCACTGACGCTCTGTCGCACCTCACCTAGTGATGAGAGGCTGTTCTATTCTTGCACTCTGTTTACAGCCACCTGTCTACATATACTGTTCGTAGCGTCATACAATACAACTCCAGTACAATCCTTCAATTCTATGCGCACTACACACTCACTGCGACATCAACTCTGCCTTTGCCGTCACAGTACTTGCCTCGACTTCGGTTAGTGTCTTTCTGAACAGGGCGGTAGCTCTGTAGCAGTGGACTGACTCAGACCTGTGGTGAGAGCTGTCATTATTTTCCACGTGGCGCGCTATTCACAGGAGTCGAGAACATCGTGAGGAAAGAGGAGAAGTATGAACTTGTCTTGAGACCCAGTGGATAGTTACATGCATCTTAGTTTTGAAGATGGGAGCTGTAAATGAGTTTCTAGAGACCTGCGTCTCCCCTTTGGCTGTACAAAGTATGTAACTGCGTAAGCAGTGTCGGTCGGAGACTGTGATCAACGAGTGTATTGCTATTTGTTGTCGTGTTGTGATGTTGTGTTGTTCAAGCTCTCAGCTCTCAGGTAAGTGCACTTGCCCACCGGGCAATGCCTGCTACAATAGGATATCATGTGATCTGAGCCACGTGGTTACAAAGTATGTTATGGAATTACATATACCAAACTGACTAGAATGGCGCACGAAAAGAACTAAAAAGCAAGTTTCTGTCCTGCATTCGCGACAACTGAAGCCTTCACATTCGCACTGCCCAACAACGAATACGAGTACGGAAAGCTACTCGCAGTTAAAGTCCCTTGGGGTGCCGTATTCGTACTCTCGCCACCGAAAATTGTGTCGATGACCACCGCATACCCATCCTTTGCGCTGCTTTCAGTGTACACCATCTTCTTGCCGCTATTCTCGAACACGGTGCTCTGCACAAGAGCTTGCGCATCCATGCGAGTGTTCACGCCGGTGCTCTGCTCGTTGTAGTAGTTGTTGAAGATGTGCCCTGTGCCGAAGCGGAGGAGAGGGCCACGCGAGGCGACTTTGTAGAAGTGATTGTTGGCGTAGGTTACGCGAAGGTGGCCGGTATCCTCGGCGGCGTTGGAGTCGGAGTGACCTACGAGTGTACCCTTTGACTATAGCAATGTTTCAGCAAACATTTTCGCAATATCGGTGACAAAGGGCGGAAAGCTTACGTGGTTGTGGAAGTAGGTGTGCGAGATTGTAACAAAGTCTGCAGCGTGCGACAGATCGACAAGCCCATCGTAAGTGTCTTTGTTAACGGTCTCGTCGCCAGACAGATCGCAATGATCAACCCATACATTGGTCGACAGGTTGATGGTAACGGCGTCACCGTAAGCAGCAAGTACCTTGGAGATCTTCAAGTTCCTGACGATCACATTCTTCTGGCCAAGGATGGTGAGGCCGATGCCAGTGAGAGCTGGAAACTGTTAGTGCCGTCTGGAAGGATGCTCGCCTTAGACTAGATCTGGACATACAGCTGCCAGTCTTTCCGACAATCGTCTTGTCTGATGTGACGGACACCTTCGCAGCACCACTGATAATGCCTTGGACGACAATAACACCAGCTCCGGCAGCACTGGCTGCAGCAGAGAGCTGAGGTAACGTGCTCACAGTGGTTGTTGTACCACCAGCGCCTCCATTGGTACTGGCGAGAATGTCAGCACATGTGCCTTTGGCCCAAGCTATATTTACTCACCCTCCGTTCTGTGAAGCGTAACCGATATCGGCTGCATCAGTGATGCTTGCCCTCTTCGCCAGCACTTTAGTAGCACCCTGTTCGATGGTAGGAGTTGGCACTGCTGAGACTAGGGAAGCGACCACGAGGCAAAGGGTTGTAGAGAGCTTCATTGTGAATGCTGCAGGAGAGTCTGATGGGCAATTGCGGAACTTCTATCAGAAGACCTGGTTCATTATGTATCGCTCATCGGCTTTTAATTCGCTGTATGACCGTTGCGACTGTGTTTTGTGCTCTTATGACAAGCTTTCTAGACGCGGGAGATATATTGCCAGAAGGTTCTCTTAGGTGGAAGCGCATTCTTGAATGCTGTTAACAGCACACCACCATTGATTGGAAAGTCCTGTCAGCGCGTCTTTTGATTACCACTTGACTGTCTATGTGCGTTGTCTCAAGGTCTGATTTGACGTGGATGCTCTTGGCAGGTTGGAGATGTATAGTGGTGGCCGGAGAATTCTCCCGTTGGAGGAATAACATGGTCCTGGGGATAGTTATACTCCAGATTATTGTTTGGGAACAAAGTGCAGTGCCAAGTCCCGGGAACATCAATAGTCTTGAATCTGTGTCTAGCGATCGAACAAAGGGTTTTTTAAACTTGGGACTTTCGGTCGCTCCCTTTCATGATGCGACCAAGTGCCAAAGTAGCCGTATTCGTTGCTCAGGACTCGGCTCCTCGAACTTAAACTTATTGCATTTACCTCATACCAACTGGAAGACTTCAAGTTTGTCTTTGCTGAAGAGTTCGCCCTGCATCGTGCCGTGGATGTATGTATCGCCAACGAATGTGAAAGATCGTGGTCTCGGGCTGGAACTAGAAGCAGTATATGCTTTCTCGGATGCCACCGATGCTTGCTCTTGCACAACGCGCAGTACCTACGGCACTTTGCTTCCGCTCAGCAACACTATAGTCACCATGCTGAGCGTCTTTCGGCGCCCATCCCATGTATCCTTTCTCCGCGACTACAAAATTCCTCAAGGCTGACACCAAATTGTCAGCACGCTGAAAGTCGTACATGTTGTTCTACGATGGGTCGTGCAGACGGGTCACATCCACGGCTGCCTGCCATACCTGGTAGAGGGGAAAGTGGGACTGCTGAACCGCCGTTACCGTACGATGGATGATCGCAGATGGGAGCCAATCAGCCTTGGCAAGATGGTTTAGAAACGCAATTGCAACCTCTAAGACTTGCGCATGTTGACGAACTGTTTTAGTTCCAAGCTGCGTACTCGACTGACCATGACTTGAGCGCTCCAGCGGCTCGTTCAAGCCAATCGGAACTCCTGCAACCTTTCCTCATCCCAGCGTTCTCCCTGCATGATACCATGAATATACGCATTTACAATGAAAGTGTAGGCCGGTGGTCTTATATCTTCTTTCGTGGTGATTTCGCTTGTTTCGAGATCGACATGCATGCTCAAATCGACCGGTGTTAGGATGTAACTCAAGGTACTTTGCCTCCACTGAGCAGCACCACGCAGTCTCTGACCTCTACATCTTGATGCGCCCACCCGATGTAACCTCTATCTGTGACGATGAAACTTCTAGCGGCAGAAACCGCCCCGAAAGAAATGTCCAACCAAAGAGTGCCATAGTCTTTCTCAACATCCCCTGGACAACCTAGACTCATGTAGACCTCCCACGTTTTGAATGCGACATAATCATGTTCAGTGACAGGACGAGGTATGGCCTCCCTGTTCTCATCTGCGATAACAACACCACCGTACATAGCATGCCAAAACGCCGTTTCTTTGTCGGCGTACACAGCCCCGCCCAAAGTGCTAATGATGGTAAATTGATCCCGGCAATGAGAAAGACATGTACCCAAGGTGCCAAGGTCCGAGGTGAGCATGATACGATCGATGGAAATACCCGACGATATCACTTGATAGAAGTCTCGAATATCCAGATCAGCATGACTAGAGCCGCTCGCGCCATGTTGTGGAAGGACGTAGAAAATCTGGGTATATTGTGATAGTTGTGATGAATGTGACTGACCAGGATCAAGACAAGGATCCCGCTCAGCAGTCCAGTCAGGAACGTAGCTGGGGAGAGAAGTAGATGATCGGGTGCCACCCTTGCAGCTGATAACGTCTAAGGATCCCGAAAACGTAAAGCACTTCAGTATGATGTCAGTATAGACTTCTGTCGCGGCAGATGTAGCCGCTGTATAGTCGATGGAAAACTGCGCTGAGTTACTTGCTAGCTAGGAGGCAACTGTATATACATTCCCTGAGACGTGCTAGTCCAAGGTAGTCAATAGAGGTGACGATCAAGGCCTATAGGAACGACTTGCACCGCAACAACTTCTTTTGGCGTACGGCTGTAATCAGGGTCCATCGACAGACTCCATCTATGTTCGAGCATACCCAAAACACCGTATATCTTGTCTCGTGGATCCACGCACTGGTGTGATTTGAAGTCTTGCATGGTTTGTATGAAAGAGCGACTTGGGATGATCCTTCGATAGTCTTGAAGCACCGTGAGCTGACGTAAGACCCTCCACACCACGAGCCATTTGTCGTTCACAAGTACCCGTAGCTCAAAGCCTGCGAAAAGTCGACAACATGAGTGGCGACGTCTCTCGTAGTTATCAAACCAGCCTTGAAAAATTTTGTGGTTTATGGTGCGATTGCCGTACTGGAAGTAGACGTCTTTTGCGAGACAGTATTCCTGGACCGTCCAGAGCCGATAGAACCATGGAGAAGTAAAGAATGTGATGATTGAAGCCTGAAGCGTAGTCGAGCTAAGGTTCGTACTATGGCTGACAACACGCGGAGTTAAAGATGGGTCGCAATAAAATCCTCCATCTCGAGCTCCTGCGATCAACATGACCATGACCGCGTCACGTCCGATCCAGTCATCGCCGAGGAACACCACCGTCGATTCCGCCATCCGGTATATACTCTGGATCTAGGCGACCTGATTACTGCGTTCGTTTGAGATCGTCTTGGTTGATGCAGACTGCATCAATCCACATGCAGGAGGGCATGTAGAGGTTGTTGGGGACTTGGAACGGTCGTCCATTTACTTGGATCGTTTTTTGATTTGTTGCATCGCCACATGTGTACGAAAGGGCTTCAAAGGATCCGACATCGCTCAACAATGTGTGCGCGAGGCTGCATCGGATCATGTCGTCCCCAGAAGCGTCCTTTGCCTGCTATGGAGCTGCAGCAAGCTAATGTGTTTGTAGCATCGCCGAGTGATTGTAAGGAAGGCACATGGGCAATGCTTTTCCGAGCGCCATATCGAAAGGCTGCGCAGCGTGTGCAGTTGTTGCTGTTCTGCATGAGATGCGAAGTGGGGTTGACCTGCAGCAAGCTTTGGTGGCTGTGCACCACAACGCTGAAATCGCGCACGATAAGTGCTGTTTCTGGTACTAGAAAGTATTGATCTTTGAATTTTCCTGAACGCCGCGCTATGCTTTAGAGTGATATCATCTGGTCAGCTTGTGTCCTAAAAGCTTGGTATTTCCTCACTCGTCCTGCTGCCACTGATACTCCAGCTTCTCGATATTGGCCTTGCGATTTCTCGATTTAAACCACTCGCTTTCGAAACCATTCCCTCTGTCTACGCCGTCCCACCTGTGTCCAGGACGGATGCCGTATCGGTTTGGTTGAAAGGCGCCTGTGTATAATGGCTTGCCTGTAATGCTGCGATCGGCCTTCTTCTTCTTCAAGAATCCTGCTGCTGGATCGTTCCAATGTCCTCGTTCCTTGAGCTCGTCGTTGAGTTCCGCATCGTCGGCGTATCGTGCGATTGTCATCGTCTTTGCGTCTTGCAGCAACTGTTTCCGTTTCGCGGCAGCCGCATTCTGTACATCTCCTCGAGCTTCCCTCTCCTTCTTCAGCTTTATGCGCTCTTCTTCTTCAGCCTTTTTCCGCGCTTCTGCGCGCTTCATTGCAACATTGATGATGCGACCGCTAGCATCACGATAGATGGTCTCTTGCGCTGCAGCGCCCAGCTCCTTTGTGGCATGCTCAGCTTTTCGTTGTTCTTCATCCTGACGCTCCTTCATATCTGCAGCTACCTGGGCTGCTGTTTGCAACCCCGCTTTCGCGCCAGACTCCAACCTCAGCACTCCTTCTGTATCCACCATCTCAGGTGCCTCGTCTTCGGCGTCTGCGGCTTGCTTGCGGTCGGCGGCTGTTGATGCTATAATTGCGTCTGCGGCGGCTTCATCTGCGGCGAGTTGTTGTGCGTGTGAAGGTGCTGCGACACCCACTGTCGCCCATTTTGCGGCGCTTGTTCCCTTGGACTTCTTCTTAGACTTTTTGAGGTGTGCACCGCCCACTGTAACACTGTCAGCGCTGACCCAGCTGCAACTGTCCCAAGTAAACCTACGAATCATAGGCGCGTCTTCATCGTCTTCGTCTGCCTTATTGTTCCAGCCAAGGTCCTCATCGTCGTTAATTGTGAGACCACCGTTCTTTTCCTTTCTTTTGCGCTTTTTCGATTTTTTCTCCGAGTCCGCTGTGAGGTAGTTCTTCGCCAGATAGTCGGCAAGAGACATGTTGTGGTGGGGTGTTCCTCGAAAGTGTCTACACTCACTCAAGAAAGGGCAAGAGCTGTCGGGCTTGGCATGATGCAGATCACGTGAGAGCGCGTTAAGGCGGTGTTACTTGCGCCGCACTTCAACGATCATACACTGACTCATTATCCCAGAGCCGTGTACTCATTTGGTGAATACATATATTGAGTGTTTGGGTGAAGCCCAACATCAACACATGCGTTGACTTCTCAGAACACCAGTCACGATCAACGTCATGCCGCCAAGCGCACACTCAGAAGAAGCATGGCTGTGGCATACAACAGTCTGCGAGGCGATACAAGAGGTACCTCGAGGTAAGGTGACAAGTTATGGGCACATAGCAAGGCTGGTTGGGAAACGTAAGCGCTCCATATACATGGTTGTGACACGACGATGGATCACGGATCACTGACATGCTGTAGCCCAGTGTCCGAGGTAAGACACGGCATCACAGTGGCACATCAGCTTTATGCTGCTAATGCGTGACGTCAAAGACAAGTCGGTGTCTGCCTCAAGCACCTGCCTACGCCGTCGACGGATCCAAACAAGAAGAGCCCAGCCTTCCACAGCGGTAACGTGCCCTGGCAGCGCGTGATCAACTCTAAAGGCGGCATCAGTCCCAGGTCAGTATCCCGTCTTTGTCCAAGCCGCTCACCTTGCGTGACCTTCTTTGAGGTCTATATCTGACATTGCCCAAGAGGACCAGGCGCAGCTGGCCATCAGGCTGATTCTTTGCGGAGAGAAGGCGTGGAGGTCAGTGAGGACAGCATGGGTCAATACACTGTCGACTTTAAGTACTATGGTTGGTTCCCGGATGTGCTTCCAAGCGAAACAGGCTTGGTGGAGAGCAGCGACAAGGAGACTGTTGAGGAGGCAGCAGCCTACCATACCTAAGAGCGTTGGCGCAGACCCAGGAACGGCGACTGTGTTTATGATGAGGCCTTTCTCGCACGGCATTGCTTCGCGAGGTCCTGTTATTGATAGGATCAAAGATGAGGTCCGTGTCAGCAGTCTCGCCCAGGGGACCGAGCGCGGCATTCCCACGGAATGCAGGTTATGGAATAGGTACTCGCCGAGTGAGGGTTCGGGTGGAGAGGTGGCCGTCCTAGCCGCAAAGGGCGCAGGCTGATGACTCGGCCAGTTCCGGATCGTTATCAGGCTAGAGTTTGAGGGGCCGGTCGTATGCTGTAATTAGCCACACTCGCTGAGGTCACTCAGCTGCAAGCGCGCAGCATGTCTTGTCTCAACAGAGTGGCCTTGCTGGTACAGCTCATGAAGCCAATGCCTTGCTGTAATGATAACAAGAGTTGAGATTGTTGCTATGCACGGCCTATCGATAGCCGCGTGTTTGTTGTTAAGATGACGAGATGCATGTTGGGGATGCCGTGACGGCTACTGTTTGAAGGATGCCGAAGTGTGGGGTCCGATCGAGTGCATCGAACCTCTACTCTGACCAACAACGGTCAATGTTCAGCCTTTAGACCACCCACGTTTGCGAGAACAAGGCGCATGATACCCTGGTGATGCCATCATGGGCAAAGGCCACCAACGCGTCAAACCGGATCCCAGGCGGGCTGACGGGCCTCGGCGTATCGGAGCTGGCCCAGGTGATCACGTAGCTAACAGCTACCCGCGCCTCAAGCTCCAAGCTCCTTATCAGTGACCACACTGTGGATAACAAAGGCGCCCACGACGTATAGCACTGCATAAAGGGCGTTTCACCTGTAAGAGTAAACAGCTTCCCCGCGCTTCCATGAGCTCCGTCCCCTATCTGAGTACCTGCATCGCCACTTACCTGCCTAAAACTGAGTCACTCTCAACAAGACAGTCATACCCGAGACCCAAGACAGCTGCTTCCAGTCACCAGTCACGCCTTCACCCATTATCGAGCTTATTACTGCCTGCCGTAGCTGCCGTTTGTCGACCTCGTCATTCACCCATTCCTCCACCACCAAGCTCCCTATCTAGCTCCCTACCATACTCCAACGCACCCTCAGCCTACTCTTCCACCAACACACACCTCTTATCAGCTAGGCCAGCCTACTAGATAATCGCCATGGCTTCTGAACAGACCTACACCTGTGATCTCCGCAGCGATGCCAAGGAGTTCCGCCGTGACAAGGACAGCAGGGTGAAGTGGTCGAACGGACCTTCTTACGGCCCTGGGCGACGCGTCGAGGACGGTAAGCCTCGCCCTGCTCGCGTCTACCCGCACGTCAAGTGAGTTGCCGCGACTTCCAGGTCCCTGAACGGCCGCTGATGTGCACAGGGCGTCCTACCCTGGCCCAATGAAGGCTAGGACTGCTCTCAACAAGGACATGAGCGTCGCTAGTGACGACTCGTCAGCAGACGAGGAAGTCGAGCATCCATCGACCGCCCCTGCGCCAGACGCCGAGGTCGCCTACTCGTACGATGCCGAGCGAGGACCAACACATGGCAGCCAGATCCTCAACGTTGCCCTCGAGAAGGCCATCGAGCGATACGAGATCCGTGAGACAGACAGGCTGATCAAGAACGAGTACGAGGTGCTGGATGCGGATGGCGAGCTCCTATCGCCAGCTCCAAAGAAGAGGCATGTTGCGCCTGAGGATGCCGATTACGAGTTCGTCGACGCGTAACGCCTTCGATCTCGCGGCGCCCAGTGTCTCTTCCATCTTTGTTTCCTTCAGCGTTGAATTTGCATACACTTGACCGGCGTTTCTCCTTACATTTCACTGGCTCATCGCCATCTCTATATCAACCACTGGTTTGACGTGTTTCATCTGCATTGTACGGTCTATGGCATCAATAGGTGAGCGTACGGCGCTTTCTTAGGACTTGAGCAGCCCTATACCACGCTGGCTTGCTTCGAGATGGTTACTTCATTATTCGGTTATGGCAGGTTGGTTGTCGGAACATCCTTGTCAATCTGTCAGTGGACTTGGTCCGCGCATTCAGTACCATGGTACATCCTACTAGTCAGGGCTAATGCGAATACCGAGTTGCATGAATTCATGCTTCTCAAATCTGGACACCTGTGAAAACAAAATCAAGTAACGGAGGCGATTCGAGGCTATTCGAGGCTGTGAAATCGTCAGCGACTAACCATCCTCTTACAGTGTGTCTAGTTTCAAGCCGAAGCCGAAAGTGGTGATGCGCCTTTGCCAAGGCGTTATCGCTCAGCAGAAGCGTACGTCATATTGCACCCTTTCCAGAACAATTCCTTTTCCCGACTAATGACAGCGAAGTGTGCCAATCATCACGAAGCGCACTGGCGCATCGTCACTCACTGACACTTCGATCCATGGCCTGAGTTCTTCCTTCTTCTTCCGACAGCACCTGCTGCTCGGATTGCCCACGCACCACACTCGGGGAACACTTCACATACCTACTCCACAATTCTGGCACCATGCCTGGAAGCCGACCAAGATGGATGCTGCATGTGCAGGCCGTGTTTTGGAGGTTTCTCATGGGGATTGGCATGTCTCTCCACAAAATGGCACGACCTCGGCCTTCTCGACCTGCGTTTCACCGAGACATCGACGCGACTATTTCACCCATCAAAGGCCAATTTCGAATACATTTCTACGTACCGAAGGACTACAAGCGCTATAAAAAGCTCAAGGGGAGTAAGAAGTATCCTTGCGTCATCAACTTTCATGGCGGAGGCTTCGTCCTAGGAACAGCGCACGACGATGCGCGCTGGTCGAATATCGTGGTCAAGGAGGTCGGCGCAGTCGTTGTGTCTGTCGCATATCGCCTCGCACCCGAATACCCATTCCCCACAGCCGTTGAAGATGGCGCGGACGCAATACTATGGCTTGCGCAAAACGCAGAAGAGCTCATGCTCGACCCTGACCGCTTTGCAGTGTCAGGCTTCTCGTCTGGAGGCAACATGAGCTTTACAGTACCCTTATGCCTACAGGGAGAGCTATTCGACCGCGACCAAACTGGCGCATCGATCAGAGACGGTCGTGCGGGTAGTGTACCAAACGCCGTCATCCAGCCTCCACCGACTGCCAACTCAACTAATACAGCGCAAAGCTCCAGCTCGCGCATACCGCTCATACGGCAGCAATCACGTCTCGACCGGATCGCCATGATGCGCCAGACCGGTGCCTCTTCGCTGTCCCTAGTCACATCATACAAAGAAGGGCCAGCTGTGTCAGTGATGACAACAGCCAACAACAGAGTTGTCAAGATCAGAGGCATAGTCTCCTTCTACCCACCCACCGACTACACAGTAACCCGCGCCCAACGCCGAGCCACATGCGCACGCGCCGACCAGAACCTCCCCGCCGTCTTCACCGAGCTCTTTGACGACTCGTACCTCCAACCGCCCTCGCTCGACCTCGCACACCCCTGGCTCAGCCCCGGTCAGGCACCGATACACATGCTTGAAGCGTTGCCAGATGATATCGTCATGTTTTGCTGCGAGTGGGACATGCTGCTCGCCGAGGGTGAGCGGTTCAGGGATAAGCTGCAGAAGGACCTGGGGAAGCGCGTACACTACCATTGTGTGCCTGGCGTACCGCACGGTAAGCTTTCCAGGTACCTAGATCGAGTTATATTGGTATGCTAACGTTACAAATAGGCTGGGATAAGGCGCCGAATCCGCTTAGAGAGTCACCAGGCGCGAGGCAGCAGTATATGGTTGCGTGTAAGGAGCTGAGACGCATGTTTGAGATTGATGAGGACGAGGAGGAAGATCATAAACATGCGGATCTGCCGTGTAGGAAGTATCATAAGAGTGTGGATATGGGGAAGCTGCAGGTGCCGCCGAGTTGAGCGCACTGAATACCACCGCTTGAACGTCTGTTGCAGTTTGGGTCTCAAACACCACAACACCTCGCAAGTCTTATACCCGTTCCTCGATTTCTCGCAGTACTACTATCTTGCACAAAATCACAACAAAACGGGCTAACAGGACTCTGAATATCTCCTAACGTAGCTTTGCCCTTTTGTCTTTGACTGATACTGCTGATATAGTGTCTCTGTCAAAAATCTTGCAGCGCAACTTCAGCTTCGTGCCAAGCGTTTACATACCAACCTAGAGGTCTCCAGAAGCTTCAAGCTAAAGTGCAGTTGAGAGCAAGGAAGCGGATACGTTTGATATATTTACGGTTCTGGGGAATGACTACTGCGTTCAGCAGTACCGATCAGCTGCCAAGGTGGGGCTGGACTCTAATACGCACGACGTGCAGCTAACCTTCGAAGCCAGGAGTCCTCAGCCTGGCCCCGCACCAAACATCCAAAGACTACAGCCACACCCACTGCAACGAAGACCGCGATCAGGATGAAGGAAAAGGCTTCGATCGGGGAGCGCTTTCCGTGGCGACCAGATGTTTCCGACGACCGTGAACATCTTTGTGATCGATGCAGCGCACTGAACCTGGGATCCTACTCTGATGTACAGGAAGAGAAGGAAAGAGGAACGATCGCTTTCATCGAGAAAGCGTCGATGCGGAGAGGCTGTAAGCTATGTAAGCAATTTGGTTGCATCTTCGCAGCGCTCGAGTCCATTCGTAAAGAAAGTTCCGGTCACAGCTCATTTACGCTCGACTATCGGCGCCTCCGAACTGAGCGATGGAACGACTTCTACATTCGCGTGCGTTTCATGGAATTTAGTAAGATTTTCGACTTCGACTTCGACTTCTACCCAACAACGCCACTTGATCTGGAAGATTCCTGGATACCCATCGTCAAAACTATGACATCGAATACTTCAAACCTTGATCTTGCTCAGCGGTGGCTGAGAATCTGCCAGTCTTCTCATGCACGCTGTCAGCGTCTGCAAGCCCGATGCGAGATATTACGAGTTATCGATTGCAGAGAGAAGACGTTGCGCCTCATTGACTCTTCAGAGCCGTACGCCTGTCTGAGCTATGTTTGGGGCGACCACCCCACGGGTGAGAAGGGAGACTGGACCTCGACTTTGCGCCGTGCACCGCGAACCATACAAGATGCGATGTCAGTAACTTTGAGCCTTGGTATCGCATATCTATGGGTTGATCGATACTGTATCGATCAGGACAATCCAGAGGAAAAGCATGAAATTATACGCAGTATGGACTTGATATACCAGGGCGCTGAGATCACGATCGTAGCCCCTACGGGTCCAGATCCTCACTATGGCCTTCCTGGGGTTGATGCAACACCAAGGCGCTGCCAGTTGAGCCTTGCTGTTGGAAAGCACACATTTGTATCCACAGAAAATATGCGAGAGCAAATCCATGCTGCAGTATGGAGCAGCCGAGGTTGGACATATCAAGAGATGCTGATGTCGCGCCGACGTATAGTTTTTACCGACTCACAGATGTACTTTCAATGTGCAAGTGCAGTTTGGTTGGAGTCGCTTGATTTGGCTGCGACAGATCCCCAATCTCAGTTATACGAGCAATTCCGCGTCTTCCCGACCTTCGAAGCCAACAACGGTTTCGACGAGATTCAGAACCGCCTGAAAGAGTACTATCAGCGACGTCTGTCATTCAAAACAGATGCAATCCACGCTTTCTCTGGTATCTGCAATGCGCATGTGACGGACGCCGGGCCAGTTGCACTCACTCACTTCTATGGAGTTCCCATAGTGTTTCCGGACACTTGCCACCAAATAGCCCAGACGACATTCATTGAGGCGCTGAACTGGAGAATTTTGCATCGAGACTCCGTACTGGAGCCCTTGATGTTTCCTCTGATATTTCCATCATGGTCCTGGGCTTCCGTGAAGGCGCGGTCCTCAAGCAATAGTAACGAGGGTGAATACATCAAGCCGTATCACTTCTGCACAGACCAAGCCGACCTCCGAATCAGTCTCCAATCGAAACGTGGCTACCAAGTCGAACTTGGCAAGATTTTGGCAGGACATGTCAGAACGGAGTACACAAGCTTTGAGCCGGTACTATGCATTACCGGCTACGTTTTGAGAGGTTGTTTCACTCGCGTCGTATCCGGGGCTGCTGGGGCGGGAGGCTTGCAGCTCGATAGCAGAGACGTTCATGACTTTAGCAATGTCGTAGCCTTGCTGCTGGGTGTTACACGTGAACCATCGATAGGGAGATCACATGGTCTTGCAAAACGGTATAAGTTCCATTGTCTCCTGATAGAGCGGTTAACGCCGCAGCAATTGTTGCATTCGAAGTGCAGCTCGAATGGACAAAGCGGCTTTCGACGCATAGGCGTGTGGACTCCACCCATATTGCCGAGTGCTGTTGGTGGTGATGATTTTGCTACATCAGAGTCCATAAGAGCCCTCTTGATCGACAGAATGTCTGATGAAAAGGGCGCATGGACCTGGTCGCGAGAGACGCTCAGCCTTTTCTAGCTGCATTTACGTTCATCCTGATGATGCTCCCATCCTCGTGCAAAGTATATATCAAGAGTTATCGATAATCGATTGTGTCTGAAGCAAACTGAGGCCTCGCAGATGAACGTTAAGGCCTATGCTTCGGCGCCATCTATCTCTCCCTTCGACTCAGCGGCCGACTACTGTGCAGCAGCCCTCGCATACTTCAACGAACCATGAAACAATTTGACAACTCCCATACATCAAATTTCACAACAATCGCCCTGAAACCCTGCTGGATCAATATTGGCAACATATCCACACTCAACACACCAATATCACGCATTAGCCGCCATCCCAAACTTTACCCAGGAGGTACTCACCCAGAGATCGACAGATCGGTCGCATGCGCCGTCGCTCCAAACCTGCCCACCGCCTTCGCAAACATCTGATGCGGCACGCCACCCAGCGCACTCGACAGACCCAGACCGGCATCAATCATGTAATCACCGAGTCCGAACATCAACGCACTCACACCAGGCACAGCAGAAATCTCCTGGATGTTCTCAACACCCTTGATGGACTCGATCTGCGAGATGATGCAGACGTGGTTGTTGCTGGTTGCAATGTTGTAGCTGTCGTTGTTTGTCCATAGGATAGTTTCTCGCCTTTAGCCGGAGAGCGGTGGCAATATATGTGGATGCATCAACGTGTCCAACATGGATCAAAGCAGTTGCAGTTGTACTGTAGGGATTGGCTGTGGGTGGCATGGGGTGCTGATGTAAGATTTGGCGTCTCGGATCCTGCACAGCGTGAACGACAGTTGCACAAGAGTCCGGACGAACATGAGATTTTAAATTGTATGATTCTTTTCTCCTCTTCAAAAGATGTGCGCTGTAACAGTTTCGGATTTTGCACGCTAACGCTGGCGTCGTAAATGGTTGTGGCCGTTGCGATGGCGGTGGTTACACGAAGTGGTGTTGTTGCGCTAGATATTTTTGTCTTTCTTCTCTAACCCAAAGCCGTGCTGTTTTATCTCCTAGACTAGTTATTGTTCATGATGTCTCGCTCTTTTTTTGTCGTTCACAGCGACGGCTTCGTCCACATCGGCTGCATATGAGGCGGCAGCGGTGGGCTTGGTGTCGAGTTCCTAAGCGGTGATCCAGGCGCCAATGTCGATGACTGACTCTGATAGCTTGGGGCTATGCTATGTGTCGACGGTTGTGTGCGAATCTTCTGTTGGCTGACATGCACAGCAGGCTTCTGCAGGATCGTATTGACTGGTCTTGCTGGTTCTCGTGTCTGTGCAAGCGCTGGTGCCGAGAAGGTGACCTCTCCCTTCTCTGCTGCTGACTCTTCCAGCTCAGCGGCCTTCTTGGCCTTCTTGTTCCGAGAGAACATGCAGCCGAGGATAGGTAGCAGGACGAGCATAACCATGACGCTGCCAGCGGCGATGCCAGCCCAGACGCCCATCTGTAGCTTGACCACCATGTTTTAATTGGTTGCCTTCGATCAAAGGACAGGATAGTGTGGTAGGTTGCGATGGTCCTCGAGGAACGTGCACCGTGGTAGGGATGATAGCGAATGAGTATTGATAGTGGTACAGCTGCTGTCGATCGTGATCACTGGTCGTAACGAGGTCTAGTACTCTGATCCTAGGTATGAGGACGAACGGCGTGTATGTAGCGAATGGCTGATCGAAGGGTCTGAATGCTGACAAGTACGTCTCCCTCTTCGCGCTGGGGGGACCGAAGGCTTTTCACTGAACAGCACCACTTCTCCTGGCAACCTTGTACCGACTGCCGCGACAAAAGCCTTACCAGTCCCAGCAAGTCACAGCGGAGCATTACCCGAACGACGATTGCTTTCAGACCATTGTGCAAAGTTGCCCAGTCAAACTCCCACAATTTCCACAACCGAAGAAGCGGATAGCGACATTGGGCTGAACACTAACCGGATATAGTAAAATGACTTTTGGTGGCGGTTCTCCAGCTGAGATCTAGCCACGCGGACTACACGTAGTCAAATCTTTTCGTGTCTTGGCTATGAGACTCCACCGGTTTTAATTAGGACCAAGACTGTAGTGATTTTTCGCTGGCCATAGCAGGCACCGAGCCGTAAATGGTGAAAGCACTCGGGACACGAGCTGTCTAGTTGCAATACGAGGATGTAGTCGGACGTCGTGGCAGAGCTGCAAGTGATGCAGAAACGCGTTTGATGCGTTCTGCAGAGCTCTGTCGTACCCGGCAGATCGAACGGTTTGTGCAACGAAATTGCTAGCTTCCTCATGCGGGCGCTGGAGACCGACGCTGTGACGGTGAGATTCGGAGCCGCCGCGCTTGGCTTCAACGCTCGCGTAAAGCGGCAGCCCCGTAGAATTTATCAGATGAGGTTTCTGAGGCTGTACCGGTACGGGATAGGAAATGGACTGCAGCTATGCGAGTGACCAAGCTTTAATGTTGTCGGCAACCCAACTTCCGCATGTCTGTATGCACTGGAGCAACTTCCTCTCAGGATACTTGTATCCGCACAAGCAACGCTGCCCAGCCGGCGCTGACGGCCAGAGGCGCGCTGCTACAGGGGCCTTGGGGGAGCGGCTGAATCGCAAAAAGAGGACGAGGCGATTGTCGCGTTTCTGAACGTGGCAGAGCCTGTGCGCGAGTGGGGAATAAATCGATCTGCCGAGCCATGTCCACTAGTCTGGAAGCCTCAGAACAAAAGAAACCCTCCCTCAGCCTTGTGCACTCTGAAAGATGTGCATCGTGGCTTTTGGATGCCGGTGAACATGCATGTCAGTATTTGACGCCGAGGAGCTCATATAGCGCTGTCGATTCACGTTCTGTCCTCAATTGACAACTCTTTCATGTGTTGACGAAACGCGTGGCAGCCGCGTACAGAATATGATCGGCTCCACTTCATTATGTACGACAGACTCGTCGGTAGCGTTGCCTAGTCTTCCTGCCATTCGATTGCCATGCACCCAACGGAGGAGTCCAGAATCATTGCATCCACTTCTCCCTGTTCCCTCTCTAGTACTGGTCGTAATGCGTTGCTGCACAACTTCATCGTCTACGCGCGTAATCCTGGGACCTACTTCGAGAACCCATCACGGATCTCCACGAACTTCAAGTACCTGTCTCTCGCCCAACGACGCGTGCGCTTGCCATACACGACCATGGGCCAGCTCGAAGCCATGACCACAAAGCTAAGCACACCAAGAACTATGAAGCAGTTCTCCATCCCGGAGTCGATCCAGTAACTCGCAACAAAAGTGAACAGCATGGCAATGGTGTTGTTGATGACGGCAACGCCCACCATGCCCTCGAGAACCATGTCACTGCAGTATTTTTAGCATACTGGATATCATGCGGGATTGGTAAAACATACGGGAACGAATCTGCAAGGTAAGACAGACTCAGATCGCCAGCACAGCCGTATCCAAAGCCAATGAAACCCAAACCTACGTATGGCACCGGCCAGTCCCAACCACGGGCCGATCCAATACCAAAGAGCCACATGCCAGTCGGGAAAATGAGGGTGCAAAGCGCCATAAGGTGCAGACGGAACTCAGCCTCCATGACGCCGTTGTTGCGCTTAATCATCCACTGCATGAACTTGTCGCTGCCGTAACCGCCGTACGCACATCCGATCAGACTTCCGATGAGGGTCGGCAAGTTCATGTTGCCGACCTCGGTCTGGGTGTAGTTCCAGGGCTCGTTGTACCACCAATCTTCTTGTACGGTCAGATAGAAGGTGAGGCAGATGTTCTGCAGTCCCCATTGAAGACCGGCGTACCAGACGGCTGGGAAGGTGAAGACGCGCAGGGTATGCCACAGGCGATGGAGGTACTGCTTCGCACCAGTACCGCGAAGGTTGGGCGCAGGAGTGATAATCTTGACGCGGTCCCAGTATGTCTTGCGGCGACTGTAGGACAGTGACATTCGTCCGCGAGCAGTCTCATCTGGATGTCCATCCTCCGCGTTGGTGAAAGAGTTGTCTGCGCTGTTGTGCTTCTCTACGGCTTGGGCGACCTTCTCGGGACCTTCATTGCTGTCCACATTGCGGTCCACAGAAGTGGAGTCTTTGACGTCAGGCAGAATTCCGACTGGAGCATGTTCCAGAGTCTTCTCCGATAGTGGTTGTGCAGCATGCACTAGGCATCGATCTCCGTTTCCCGCCAGATAGCGGTCGCGATTGAACTCTGTCTCCTCAAGACCGAAAAAGATGACAAGGAGACTGACCCCACAGATGATAGCACCTGCATAACCAATCCACCGCCACCCAAGACCGTCGGCCAAGTGAGCACCAATCAGTGGACCCAGGTATGTACCAATAGCAGTTGCAAAGGTATAGATACCCAAGACACTACCTGTTTGGTGCTCGAACCAAATATCAAGGAGCGAAAGCTGGACGGTGGCTTCACCAACCGACTCTGCTGCGCCGACGAACAGCTGACTCCAAACGACACCAGCAACGTTGGTAATTCGGCCATACCATATAAGACCACCGATGTTGACCAGCATAGAGATAATATATCCAAGACGGCGACCGTACAAATGGACCAGAGGCGAACTCAGTAAGGTCCAGTATCCGATAGCAATGAAAAGGACAGCAGCACCGGTGTTGAAAACATCGTAGCTGATTCCGTACTCTTCGTTGACACCGTCTGATCCAGATCCAGCATTGTTAGATGTTGCCGCTGTGAGACCGACGACATAAAGGACCAGAACGGAGTGCCAGGCCTTCCTAGACGTGGACCAATTCAATGGATCGTTCGGTGACTCCGAGGGTTGCGGTACAAGAACGATATGGCCGTGTTTCAAGAGCGAATCATCTCCAGGTAGATTGTTGCCATTCTCATCATAAAGGCGACGGGTACCTGGGATGACTTCTTCAAAATCCGTTTGTGGGGCGGCCATTGGGCAGGTGTTTTGGGGGGGCTGGTGTATTCCGAGCCGGATGCGCTAGTGCGGTCAAAAACGGGTGAAAACTTCGAATGAAGTCGACGCCTCCAGCGTCGATGAACGTCAGCAAGCAAGCATTCCGTTCTATAGCGCAGGAAGAAGCAGCAGAAGCATCTGAAGAAATTAACCAAATCTCTTATCTGCACTAAGATATCCAGGCCGGTTGCAAGCTTGGGGGTTCCCGCCGCAGCGAACCCGACGTCATGCAGCCCGATGGATAACATGACGTGTTATACCCGGAGAGGCTAGCCTGACAGACCAGATCGGCAATCGAATTGACAACTTTTACCCTTCTCCAAACGATCGATCTCGACCAATGAAGAGCCGACAAGGCGTGACGCTCAGTGTGTAGGCTGCTAACACCTGTTCATCCACGTCTTCGCAAACCTCAATGCGTCCTCAGACACCGCCTGCAATCCTTCAAGCTGGCCGCTACGTGACGGCACTGGCACCGTTGCCTTGGACTTCCCGGGGTACGCGGTGTGTGTCCATTTCGACATATCGTTTCTCTTGCTCTAGTTCTGCTTCAGCGTGACTGCTATAGATTGGCTGCTGCTGACTTCTAGGACTGCTGTTTTCGTCCATGTGCTCAGGACTCGGACCTGATTTAGGGTTCTTGCCTGCGCACCTGCCCAGCAGAAAAGCGAATACTGCCAACACTGAAGCAGCTCCCACAGCTCCCACAGCGATACCAGCTTTTGCACCCGTACTGAGTCCGCTGTTGTTGGTGCTGTGCGCCGTGGCGGACTCGGTTGGTAGAGCGGAAGAGCCTGTAGGTTGTATTGCTGGAGCCGTAGCAGACATGAAGCCTGAGAAGGACATCGTGTTTGGGGGACCTCCTGAAATCGGAAAAGCTCTTGAGTAAGACTTCCCAGCTCCCTCTTGCTCAGCTTTGAGATAGTAGGCTCCATATTCCATAAGATTTTCCGGTATTGTCCAAGTAAAAGAGCCGCCGGTCACCGATGCTGTCGGGTCTATCAGTGTGTCATGATGATGGATCACCTGTTGACTGCTTACTTGCAATGATGGATACATTTTCTTCATTAGCACCTCGTATGAGGGCAAACGTCGTTGGCTGCACCATGCATTAATGTCGACCATGTCTCGACGACAGACAGATTCGACGAACCGTGTTGCTGGCTGGAGTATACTCGATCGTGTAAGTGTAGCCAACTCTAGCATTGGACGAAGGATAACCAATGATGTACAGCCCATGAACTACTCCGAGCAGGAACAAGACTCTCAGAGTCAAAGTAGATGGACAAAAACCCCTCGTCATTTCTAATGCTGGGTGTGTGGGCTCAATACAAAGCCATAAAAATGGTCTCGCGACAGCGGTGAGACCGAGACGGCTACTACGGCTGCTTTATGTATGACATTCGCCAATTGAAGCTCGAATCGGAACAGTCTGGTACATGCACCGGCTCGGCGTAGGAAGGACAGGGGATTGTGTGGTGCCCAGACTCTGTCGAGTTAGCTGATTGGCTTCCGATCTGGGTACAGACGGACACGGTAGTACCAACGTGTAGTATTTTGGTGCGGCGCAACCTGATATGCATCATACTGCCAGCTTTGTGTTGGTGAGATCGCATACCAGTCGATTGTTGAGAACCTCGCGGTGTCGTTGAACTGTAGGAAATCGCTCGTCGAAGGTAGGAGCCGCGACCTCAAACTCCCGGATTTCAAGTCAAGCGTTGTCAACAACCAACCAAGATCACTGGAAAAGGTCGAAAAGTGCGACAAGCTGTCGTGATAATCGTGACGCTCAAGTGATAGACTGGTCGGATTCTTTCATTGGTTTACTTCGTTGATTCTGGTTCCTTCTTGATGAAAAACGCTTCGCGATAGTACCTTGCCTCTTCAATACTTTCCAGGATATCTGCTCGAGCCTCGTGAAGCATCTGTTTCCGTGGAATCTTTTTCAAGACCTCCTTTGGCGCCCACCTTCGTGCAGCTTCCTTTATGCTGCTGACGTCGAAAATCCTGTAGTGGAGGTGATCGATGACTGGCTTGTACGGAGGCAGCACAAGAAACCCTCTGTCCGCGTGGATTGAGTTGCCAGCGATGAGTGCAGTGCGGCGTTCGGGCGCAAACCTCTTGATGTACTGTAGCAAGCCCTCGGCAGCCGCCTCTGCAGTCGTGCTGGAATCGAGGCAAGCTTGCGTCAGGCCAGAATCGCCGTGATGCCTTGTGCACCACTCGCCCATTTGATCAAGTTGTTCTTTTTCGTGGTGAATAATGGCCTCATAGCCCTCCTCGTCGAGAATGTTCAGGTCTGCATCGGTGACAAACGCGGCAAGAGACATGATGGTGTCTTTGCTGGTGTCCAAACCGGTCATCTGCAGCTGTCAGCTCAAACGCCTCGAGGAACCCACTGTCTCGATGCATACCTCGCAGTCTATCCATACCAAGGGCTGTTTCGAGACTGATGCCATTCTGTGATTTTCAAGTGTTAGATGCAACTGTTCAGGGTCGTGACGCAACGAATTAGGAAAGACTACACATCAAAGTACACTAGCGCGATTTGGACTAAAGTGGTTTTGGCTGTGGGAAAGCGCGTCGCGTGCGCGCGCTAATGCCTCGCAACGCGCACCACTTTACACGCTCCAGCCCTCGACGCGCCCACAGCACCCCTTTCAGTCTTTTGCACGAGGCTCTTGTTTATTCCCTTTTTGTTCGAACTTTATATACCCCGTAATACAACATGTCTCGTGCAGCAAAGCTTGCGGAACTGCGAGCATTGCGCGCTGCTGGCAAGACGCGCCTGTCCACATACGAAGTCGCCGAAGAAGAGGATCTGTACGATACAGTCGATGATGAAGGCTATAAGAAGGTTGTAAGAGGAAGGCTAGACCAGGATGATTTCGTTGTGGACGACAATGGTGAGGGCTACGTCGACGACGGCCGGGAAGAGTGGGATGACGGCCAGGGCCGCTACAAATACGCTGCCACAGACAGCGAGGAAGAGGAAGAGCGGCCCAAGGGTAAAGCTGGTATGTATAGACAATACACCGAGCCACCTAGCACGACTGACGCATAGTAGCAAAGAGGAAGCGCGAAGAAGACGCGGAGAAACAGGAGAAGATCAACAATGGCATCAGCAAGTACTTCAGCGCGAAGACAGCAGCAAAGGCGCCAAAGCCGAAGGTGACAAACTCAAACATCAGAAAACCGCAGTTGTACGGAATTGACATGTCCAGCCCATGGCTACTGCCGCCGACGCCGACTTTATGGACGACCTGCTCGGCGAGATCGATACAAACAACGCCCGCTCTGCACCACGCACACGACCCGTAAAGACCGAGGCTCGAAGGAAGATCCGAGTCTTGTCCCCACCGATATCAGAAAATCGACCTGCAACAAAGACAAGGCACACGAACGACTCCGATTCGTACATGCTAGACACACCGCTAGCTACAACCGCGTATGCCGACGATGACGATCTTCCAACATTTCACGACGACGATGTACACATGAGCGACGCAGTGCTTCCGTCTTCACCTGTTGCTAAGGCTGTCGAGCGGAAGTCGAAGCCAACCGTCAAGTTTGAAGAGGAGGAGGATCTCATGGAGGTTGCTCTGCCCACTGGCCACAACGGTGTACCGGTCGCAAGCGTGAACATGGCAGGAAGACGACCCATAGCCAAGATTAAGAAAGCAGACTACCCAACACCGGCCAGCTCGTCACCGGTTGGCCCCTCTACAGCCTCTGTAGATGCATCATCCTGGAACGATGTCACAAGCAGGCTCAATGTCATGAGTAGCCCAGCGCCACAAACCACAGGTGTGGGCAAGATGAAGCCAGAAGCAGTACTGGAGGAGGACGGCAGCCTCAATATGTTCTGGACCGACTATACGGAAATTCATGGCAGCTTGTGCCTCTTCGGCAAGGTAAAGGACAAGACAAGCGGTGGATACGCAAGTTGTTTCGTCAAGATCGACAATGTCTTCAGGGAGCTCTATTTCCTGCCTCGCGAACATCGCCACGTTCGAGGCGTAGCCACCGATCAAGAAGTCGAGATGAGCGATGTGTACGAGGAGGTCGACTCCATCATGACGAAACAACGAGTCACAATGCATAAGATCAAGCCTTGTACAAGGAAATACGCTTTCGAGCTACCAGACGTGCCGAAAGAGGCGGACTACCTCCAGCTCCTCTACGGCTACGATAAGATGCCTCTTTCTGCCGAGTTGACAGGAGAGACCTTTTCTCGAATCTTCGGCACAAACACATCCTTGTTCGAGCAGTTCGTACTGGGAAAGAACGTCATGGGGCCGTGCTGGCTGAAGATTGCTGATGCAGACTGCGGTGCGATCCACGGCGCCTCCTGGTGTAAGCTTGAGGTGTCAGTCACCAAGCCCAACAACATCACGGTCCTGAGCAATTCAGACAACCTCGACGCCCCTCCGATGACCCTCATGAGCTTGTCTCTGCGTACGATATTTAACGCGAAGGACAACAAGCAAGAAATCCTCATGGCGAGCGCTATGATTTACGACAATTTCTCGCTCACAGATACGAGTTCAATCGACGAGATGCCATGCAAGAGCTTCACCATCATGCGACCGAATGGTTCTTCGTTTCCTGTTGGATTCCAACTTGAAGCCTCCAAGCTGAAGGGCAATTTCTCCTTTATGAAGACAGAGAAGGAGCTGCTTAGCTTGCTTATGGCTATGTTCCAACGTCACGATCCAGATGTGCTCGTTGGTCATCGCCTGGACGATGTAGACTACAGCGTTCTGCTCAACCGTCTGCGGGAAAACAAGACGCCAGGATGGCACCGTGTGGGTCGTCTCAAGAGGAGCGATTGGCCAAAGAACTTCGGCAAAGGCGGAGGTAGCTTCTTTGCCGAGAAACAATTGGCTGCCGGTCGCTTGCTTTGTGATTTGGCAAACGATCTTGGAAAGTCACTCATGACCAAGTGCCAATCCTGGAGTCTGGAGGAGATGTGCCAATTGGTTCTCAACAAGAGGCGCGAAGAGCTCGATAACGAGGCCGCGCTGAAGAGTTGGGCGACCACCAAAGAAGGGCTTTTGAACTATGTCAAGCACTGTCAAGCTGACGCGTACTTCATCGCTGCTATTTCGATGAAGGTGCAGATGCTACCCCTCACGAAGGTCCTGACCAACCTCGCTGGTAACTCGTGGGCTCGTACATTGAGCGGTACTCGTGCTGAACGAAACGAGTACATTCTGCTTCATGAGTTCCACAAGAACCAGTACATTGTTCCTGACAAGCAGTGGGGTAAGGGCAAGATCAAGGTCGAGGAAGAGAACGCCGAGGGAGAGGAGGGTGTTGACGCAAAGAAGAAGGACAAGTTCAAGGGTGGTCTTGTCTTCGAGCCCGAGAAGGGTCTTTACGACAAGTTCATCTTGGTTATGGACTTCAACTCGCTGTACCCCAGTATCATCCAGGAGTTCAACATTTGTTTCACGACAGTTGAGCGGTCTGACCTGGCCGAGGATGAGGACAAGGTGCCAGAGGTACCAACACACCAAGAGCAGGGCATCCTACCTCGTCTCATCGCTACGCTCGTGTCTCGTCGCCGGGAGGTCAAGAAGCTCATGAAAGACAAGACTGCCACATCGGACCAGCTCGCCACTTGGGACATCAAGCAACTTGCCTTGAAGCTGACCGCCAACTCTATGTACGGGTGTCTTGGATACACGAAGTCTCGCTTCTACGCCCGACCGCTTGCCATGCTCACGACATACAAGGGTCGTGAAATCCTGCGACGCACAAAGGACATGGCTGAGGAGAAGGCGCTTCGCGTCATTTACGGTGATACTGACTCGGTCATGATCAACACCAATGTCGACAACATTCAGGACGCGCTCAAGCTCGGTAACGAGTTCAAGAAGGAGGTCAACGATAGCTACAGACTGCTCGAGATCGACATCGACAATGTGTTCCGCAGAATCCTGCTGCACGCCAAAAAGAAGTACGCCGCGATTAACATGGTTCCCGTTGACGGGAAGTACATTGAGAAGCTTGAGGTCAAGGGTCTTGACATGAGGCGTCGTGAATACTGCGCCCTCTCCAAAGAAACATCGACGTAAGTGCCGAAGTCTCTCAGCTCAGACAATTACTAATTTCGAGAAGCGAACTCCTCAATTTCCTCCTGAGCGGCGAGGACCCTGAGACAGTCGTCGAGAAGATTCACAACCATCTCCGCGAGCTCAGCAAACAGATGCGCGAATACACGGTGCCCACACGGAAGTACACCATATACACACAGCTAGGCAAGAACCCCGACCAATACCCAAATGGTGCCTCCATGCCCTCCGTCCAAGTGGCCCTGCGTCTTCAAGCCAAGGGCAAACACGTCAAAGCAAAAGACGTCATGTCGTTCATCATCACGGGCGACTCATCGGGCTCCGCCGAGAACGCAGCAAAGAACGCATATCCTGTGGACGAAGTGGTCAAGCCCGGCAGCGAGCTCAAACCCGACGTCGACTACTATCTGCACAAGCAGATCTTGCCGCCGGTCGAACGCCTCTGCGCGCCCATCAGCGGGACAAACATCACGCTCCTCGCCGCGTGTCTCGGCCTCGACACAACCAAGTACAGAGTCAGCACGGCGAGCGAGGGGAACAAACAGGACCACGACATCTCCCCGCTTGAATCCCAAATCCCCGATGCCGTGAGGTTCGAGAAATGCACACCCTTGTTTCTCCGCTGCAGGGTGTGTGCATGCGTCGCGCCGTTCCACGGCGTCGCGAATGCGCGGACCAGCACGCTGAGCCACGAGGGCGTCAAGTGTGCAAACGAAGCATGCGGACAAGTCTTGTCAACGCTCTCCATGGCGGCGCAGCTGCAGTCCCAGATCCGGCAGCTGCTCGCCCGGTACTACGAGGGCCGGGTGCAGTGCGACGATGCAGCGTGCGGCGCCCTCTCGCGCAGCATCTCCGTGTACGGATCGCGCTGCCTCGGCCCCAAGGGGCTGGCCAAAGACTGCCTGGGCCGCATGCGCTGGGTCGTCGGCGAGAAGGACGTCTGGAACCAGCTGCTCTTTTTTCAGAGCCTGTTCGACCCGGACCGCGTCGCTAGGGCCGAGGGCGTGGGCGCTGAGCAGAGGGAGCGGATGAAGGTGCTTGCCGAGGTCAATCGCGAGAGGTGTGAGACGCTTGGCGGTGTTGTGGAGGCGTGGCTCGAGAGGAATGGCAGGCAGTGGGTGCAGATGGATAGTCTGTTTTCGTTTGCGCTGAAGTAGGGGGCCGGGGTGAAAGAGCGGGCGTTCTGGGGCGTGCTGGCTAAGGCATTTTGGATACTTGTGTTGTTGGATGCAATCTATCTTCTCTCGTGCTCGAGGTTTGGGTATTACGATTGTGTGGTGTCTGTGACTGATCATCATGGAGATGGAAATGGATACGTTTTACTCTGGTAGGGGTATAGTCATTCCTCATCGAACAAACAAACGAACCACCCCATCACCCTCTCCCCTCGTCCCTCCCTCCCACCTCGAAGCGCCCACCCCCCTTCCACCACCTAAGTCTTCGCAACACCCGCCCGCCGACGCGTCTCCGCGCGCGCCGTCTGCCCGCTGGCAAGCGCGCGGCGACAGGCGTCATGAAAAACGGCAACGAAGCGGTGCACGTCCATAAAGCTGTTGTACAGCGGCGCAGGCGCGACGCGCAGCACGTCGGGCTTCCGCTCGTCGACGACGACGCCCCGCGCGCTCAGCGCCGCTTGCACGCCGTCCAGCAGGCCCGGGGCCAGGCGGACGCTGAGCTGGGCGCCGCGCTCGCAGGGGCGGCTGGGCGTGATGATGCTGTACGGGGGTTTTGGTTGTGTCGCGCCCGAGGACGGGGCCGGGTAGCGCAGTAGCCGCGCTTCGAGGTAGCCGGTCAGGCGCTCGCTGCGGGCGCGCAGCGCAGACATGCTTGTCTGGCTGAAGACGGCGAGCGAGGCTAGCACCGAGGCCATGTCCAGCGCCGACGGGTTGCTGAGCTGGAAGCCGCTCGCGCCGGGGATGGGGACGAAGCTGTTGTCCATGGCGAAGCGGCTGGTCTTGTCGCTGCCCCACCAGCCGCTCAGGCGCGGGCGGTAGGTGAGCTGTGTTGCGGACGGGGGCGCGGGGTTCGGGGCGGCGGTGGATGCTGGGGTGGTGGATGCTGGGGTGGTGGATGCTGGGGTGGATGCTGGGGCGGTGCTCGCTGCTGTCGACGTGCCTGCTGCTGTCGACGAGGTCGAGGTCCCGCTGGGCGCTGTGGGGGCTGGATCGACCCTCCCGTGCATCTCGTGCACGAACAGGCCCCCGATGACGCCTGGCCCGCCGTTCATGTACTTGTAGTTGCACCAGGCGGCGAAGTCGACGTTCCACTCGTGCAGCTTCAGCTCCACGTTGCCCACGGCGTGCGCCAGGTCCCAGCCGATGGGGATGCCGTTCGAGTGGCAGTGCCGCGTGATCAGCTCCATGTCGAGGAACTGGCCCGAGTAGAACTGAATGCCGGGCAGCAGCACGAGGGCGGTCGTGGCAGCGTGCTGCGAGATGACGGAGAGGATGTGCTCGGTGGAGAGGTAGGGCGAGGCATCAGAGGGGGGCGAGATGGTGACTAGGGAGGAGGGGGGCAGGTTGTGGTGGGCGATCTGCGAGAGGGCTGCGTACTGTGCGGTGTTAGTTTCCGCGTCATTCGCGAGGAGTGCAGGGCCGCACATGGTCGCTGGGGAAGGCCTTGCCCTCGATGATGATCTTCCAGCGGTCGGCCGTCGGGCGGTAGAAGGACGACATGAGCAAGTGCAGATTCGCCGTCAGCGTCTGCATGACGGCGACTTCGCTGGGCAGCGCGCCGACAATGCTGGCCGACTGCGCTTTGGTCGCATCGTCGAGGTGCAACCAGGGCGGCAAGCCGTCTTCATAGTCGGTGAAGTGGCCGAAGACGCCCTTGGACGCCCACGTCTCCAGGCAGCGGTTGACGTAGTCTCGCGTCCTGCGCGGCTGCAGCCCAAGCGAGTTGCCGCAGAAGTAGATTGCCTCCTCGTTGTCGTTGTCGTTGTCGTCGTTGTCGTCGTTGTCGTCGTCGTCGTCGTCGTTGTCGTCGTCGCCGTTGCGTGTTGCATCGGCTTGTTGCTGGAATCCGTACTTTTTGTTCCTGAGATCGCCCTTGGTGGGGATGACGAATTCCTTCCTGAGCGCGCTCAATTCATCCTTCTCGTCCTCTCTTCTTGCAAAGGCCTCCGAGCACAGCTCTGCGTCTGCTATCGCCAGATACGGATTCCCTGGCCCTGGCATGTCAGATCAAGCTCTTGACGCGTCGCGCAGAATAGACGAGCCGTTTCTCTTATTATAGCTCGCGATGCAGCCGGGGGGATGCTCAGAGTCGGGGTGGAGCTCTATGCGGGGCGGTTCAACGGTCTGGAAGGATGCTAGTCGGCGCGGCGCTGTGGTTGGCTGCAAGGCGTTGCGGGGCCCGGCATTAGAGATGTCTAATGCCGTGAAGTTCGAACATGACCTCAGACATCGCCATCGCCGTCGCCATTACTATCACCGTCACCACCACCATCACCATCACCGTCACCGCCACCATCACCGTCACCGCCACCGTCACCGCCACCGTCACCGCCACCGTCACCGCCACCAGCAATGGCGGCGCCGTCGACAATGTGCACATCCTGCCTGCGCACAGTGAGGGCCGTGAGCCAAAGGGTAGTGACCCACGCCATCAAGCCCACGGCCGCCACGCGCAATGCGACACGTGCCTACACGCACGCCGCCACGCCGCTGTACCTCGACTTCCTCCTGCCCGCTGGCCTGCTGCCGACCGCGAAGCCCTGTTCGTCGTTCCAGAAGAGCGCTCAAAGTCGCACACTGCCGCGCTCCCCCCGCCGCCACCTAGCCACCACCGCCGACCCCTCCGCCGCGACCCCCGCTCGCGCCGTCGTCAACCCGCGCACCGACGACGCCGGCAACCCGATGACCATGTCCATCTCGCCCCGCGCATCGCACCGTCTGCACTCGATCGCGCAAAAAGACAGCAACCCGCACTCTGCGCTGCGCGTCAGCATCGAGTCCGGCGGCTGCCACGGCTTCCAGTACCTGATGGCGCTGACGGACCTGAGCAAGGAGCCCGCGGGCGAGGACGACACGGTGTTCGAAGGCGCGCGCGGCGAGAAGGTGGTCGTGGACGAGAGCTCGCTGGAGCTGCTGAACGGGAGCACGGTCGATTACACCATGGAGTTGATTGGCAGCCAGTTCAAGGTCACGGGCATTCCGGGCGCGACGAGTAGTTGTGGGTGTGGGACGAGCTTTGATATCAAGCTGGATTGAGCGACGAGGGAGGAGGGTGAAGAAGGGGTGTGTGCATGGACAAGTGTCCCAAGACTGTGTACGATTTTGCATGTACAGAAGAAGCGTATTCAAGGCCTGTCCATCCATCAGCCCTCTCCTCCCACGGTAAACACATACCCAGATGCATCATTCAGCAACTCAAGCCAACCCCCAGCTCCATCCACATCACAGCGTGAACTCAAGCCTGTTCCCCGCATAATCCCTGCACGCAATCAACAACACCACCACCACCCACAACCATCCCGTACAGACTCACCTCGCAAAGAACCTCACCGGATACTCCACTCCCTTGGCCCCACTATCCATCTCCCCCGGCCGATCAGCAGCCATCGGCGCACTCTCCCCGCCGCGCTCGAAATGCGCCCACACACGTTCCCGCAGGCGCAACAGATCCTCCGCGCTGCCGACGCGGAAACACGGGTGTCTACTCGACGGCTGAGCGAAGTCGTGGGGCGCGCCGAACGCAATGTGCACCTGCTGCCCGCTGGCGCCAATGTCGAACCACGCGAGCGTGTCGCGCTGCGCTGCTGGCACGGGGCGCGGGGTTAGGCCTAGTGTTGCGCTGTAGAATTCTGTTGCGAGGTGGAGCGTGGAGGGGGGAACAACGAGGTTGATGTGGTGTAGGCCTGTTATCATCTTGTCGCTTGGAGGGGTGGGTGGTGGGGTGTCTTGGTATCGATGCGCGAGAGGTGTACCGGTACGGTATGGTTGCGGGGTAACTTGGCGCTGAGCGTTCAACTCGACCGATTACCCAAGACAAGACATCACACTGCAGAGCAAAGGCAAAGGCAGGTATTTGAAAGTAGAAATGCTTTTGCTATTCTGTTCAAAGTCTATGACTGAAAAAGAAAATTCGTTGATCTAGTATGCAAGCAAACCGCTATGCAGGATATCCACCGGATCCAGTATCCATCACCCAAACGCCGTAAAATGCAAGTCCATGACCTCCCATGCCGCCTGATCATGCCGTCAAGTAAAGCAAAGCATTTACTCAATGGCAGAGACACCGGCATTACCAGTGACAGGGTTGATGCTCTCGTTGAACTCGAACTTGAAGTCCTGGCCAATCTCCTTCTTGATGGCCGTCTGGATGGCCTCGAGGACGTTCTTGAAGACGCCGAACGAGGCCGGGTTGTTCTCGTCATTGTCGCCGCCCTGGAACACACCCGTGCGCACCAGGCACGTGTTCCAGCCGTACATGTTACCGCCGATGATGTCCGAGGCCGGGTTGTCACCGATCATGTAGATGTTCGAGGGCAGACGCTCGTCGTTGTGGATCTGCTCCATCCACGACGCGATCACCTCGTCGGCGTACTTGTACGTCGCCAACTCGGGCTTGCCGTACACGACACGCTCGAGATCCGCGCCCGTTAGAGCCTTGTACATGGCCTCGAGACCAATGCGGAAAGCACCCTGGGACATGCGGGGGAATGGGTGCTCCGTGGGGCACAGGAGATCGCCCTGGGAGAAGTAGATGGGAATGCGCTGGGAGACGGGGTCCTTGGCGCGGGTTCCGAAGCGGCCGTTCTCAGACTGCAAAAGGTCCATGATGATCTGCATGTCGGTGGCGTAGTCGCGAGAGTCGGAGAAGACCATAATGGCGTCGATGTTCATCTTGGAGAAATCGCGGGGGTTGGATGTAGCACGCTCCTCGTCAGTGAAGACGCGGTATGGAGCAATGGTGGGGTCCCACGCGATGATGTCGTTGGGGACGACAATGTTCTTGAAGCCGTATTCCTGAGCAACCTCGCGGCACTTGTATCCCTCACCACCAACGACGAGGACCGTCTCGTAGTAGTCGGCAAGAGCACGCATGGGAGTGTGCGACTGGATGAACTGGTCGGTAGAAATGGGGCTGTGGAGGATCTTGGACAGTTGCTCGCAGCGGGGTCCCTCGAGCTTTCCAGAACCGTTGGTCAGGAAGATGTGGGGAATCTTAATACCGAGCTCGTTGTCACCGTTGAGGATCTCGAGGGTGCGTTTGCCCTCGGGGATCAGACGGTCACCGTGGACGAGGACACCGTCAATGTCGAACACAAAGGCCATGTCCTTGGCCTTGGTGACCTTGTCGCCAGCAAGGTCCTGGAGCTGGGCAGCAATGATGTCGCGGGAAGGCTGGATCGGGGGCATGCCAGGGCGCTGAGCAGCACCGCCAGGGTAGTGGACGGAGCTCAACCTCGACTGCCTCTTGGAGCGAGGAATGGGCAGCGAAGTACCGAAAGAGTTCCTCGATCCTCTCCTGTCCTTCATCGAGGGCGAAAGGGAAAGGTTGTGCATGTAGCTTGAAGCATCAGATATGGCGCTCCTTGTGGCAGGGACCTCGATGGAGTTGACGCCACCCTGCTGGTGCTGAGAGCCAGCCTCGCTGGGAATTGCAAGAGAGCCCTTGCGGGGCTGAGACTCGACCTTCTGAATGCCCTCGGCAAGCTCGTTGTTGTTGATCTGAGACATGATGGCGGTTGTGTTGCTTTGTAATGGGTGTAATATGGTATAAGTTTCAAAGTGGGAGTGGGCTTCTCAGAAGCTCTAAGTATGCTGATCTTTGAAGGAGAGTTGGGATGATGGGATGATGAGCAGTGGTCAGGGTCCTGGGGAAGGCATATATATTATTCAGACGTCAGCGGAAAGGGCCCCTCACGCTCCCCGGTCGCCATCATCATTGCTCCAAACGCCAGTCAGCTCTTCACGCACTTTTCCTCAACCATTCCGAGCGTCGCCGAGTCGTACACCGTACGAAACACCAACAGGTACCTCTGTACCCACAGTGCGACATCATCACTCGCTCGGCAGAGCCCGTCCAGGGCAACGCTAATGCGAAATCTTCACTGCTAGAAAATAGAAACTGGACACCGTCATGGTGGAGTTTGGACCGTTTGGCAGAAAAACTGGGGACTGATAACAAAGAGCGGTTGCGAGTCGCCACAACACTCAACGCGAGCCAGATGCTGCCTGTATACAATTTCGCCGAAGAACCCCCTGGCAACAGGATGTGCAACGAGCCCCAGTTCACCGGATGAGCTGCGCGCGGCCGGTAAGGGCTGCCGACGCAGGCCGCCGTCACCGCTATTGTTGCATGATAGAATTGGGCGCCAGACGCGCTACGTGTTGTCGCTGCTGTCGATAAGCAGTGGAGAGCTGCTGCAAGTGTCGCTTGGTACAGCGGTGGTGCTTGCTGATGTGCGTGGTTGCTGCAGCCAACCGCAGCGGCGCTCGTTCCAACTTTCGGCAGTGACGTCTGAGTGCGGGTCTCGACACATGAGGTAAGCACTGGCGAGCCGCAAGGGCAAACGAGCCAATAGCCGGCCGTTCCTGGGCGATCACCATCGAGTTTCGCCCTATGCGACCGGCCTGCCCGAGCGGCTCGCAGGGCTACGCAGAGCCGCACAGACGTCGTTGTAACGCTTCGAACAAAACTTCTCGAAGCACCGCAGTGCCATGTTACGGTCGGCCCGTGTGGTGGACCCTGAACCCACCTGCTACGTCATGCTGCTGGCGGCCGACAAAATGCGAGCACCTTTTTGAAACTGTTGGATGTTGTTGGATGGGGCAACTGTGGAGTTTTTGGGCCCTGGTGGCAGCGTGGTGCTCGAGCGACGGGGCTGGTACGATCCCGTACGAGAACGGATCGGGATCGCTCACTGGCTGCTGAGATGGATTTGGGAGAGCAGTGATGCAATGCGTGGTTGAGCATAGAAGAATGCAGAATTTTTGCTAGAGGCAACCATGGCGAAGAGCGGTTGCGTATATGTAGCAACCTGGCCGTGGGCCGCGCCGTGACCTCATCTGTACCATAACATCATATCTACAGCTTGGGCAGGAACTCAGTTGTTGCATTCACCACCTACCACACACACTCTCTCACAGCATACACACTCACAGCATACACACAGCCATCACCATGGGTATCCAAAACAACAAGGTCTACAAGCTCTCCAACGGTGTCGAGATCCCCGCTGTGGGCTTCGGCACCTTCGCCAACGAAGGTTCCAAGGGCGAGACATACAAGGCCGTCACCAAGGCCCTCGAGGTCGGCTACCGTCATCTCGACTGCGCATGGTTCTATCAGAACGAGGATGAGGTTGGCGATGCCGTCCGCGACTTCCTCAAGGCCAACTCCAGCGTCACCCGCAAGGACCTCTTCATCTGCACAAAGGTCTGGAACCACCTGCACGAGCCCGAGGAGGTCAGGTGGTCGATCCAAAACTCGCTCGAGAAGCTGAAGATGGACTACATCGACCTGTTCCTCGTGCACTGGCCTATCGCCGCCGAGAAGAACGAGCAGAACATGCCCAAGATCGGCAGCGACGGAAAGTACATCATCAAGAAGGACCTCACCGAGAACCCCGAGCCAACATGGCGCGCAATGGAGGAGCTCTACAAGTCCGGCAAGGCCCACGCCATTGGCGTCTCCAACTGGACCGTCTCCGGTCTGCAGCAGCTCCTCAAGATCGCCGAGGTTAAGCCCCACGTCAACCAGATCGAAATCCACCCCTTCCTACCCAACGAGGAGCTCGTCCAGTTCTGCCTCGCCAACGACATCCTGCCCGCGGCCTACTCGCCCCTCGGCTCCCAGAACCAGGTCCCCAGCACCGGCGAGACGGTGCGCCAGAATAAGACACTCAACGAGGTTGCGCAGCGCAGCGGCCACGATCTCGCTCAGGTCCTGCTCGCGTGGGGTCTGCAGCGCGGATACGTCGTGCTGCCCAAAAGCTCGACCGCGAGCCGTATCGAGAGCAACTGGCAGATTCCCACACTCAGCAAGGAGGACTTCGACGCTGTGCAGAAGGTCGCCGAGGGCAGGCACACGCGCTTTGTCAACATGAAGGATACATTTGGCTACAACGTCTGGCCTCAGGAGACCGACGGTGGTGAGATCAAGGCTTAAGTTACTGCCTTGGGTCTTAAGATAATGCCTGCGATGCTAGAAAGGCGTTGGGATTTTGATTTTAGCGATACCAAAAGTCTATTGTTGACTTGTAGATGAGATAGAGCTCAAAGAGTAATCGGAACATACCAATCGTACACAGAGAATCCGGTTTTGTGGTGTTGTCGTGTTGCGGTCGTGAAATCGTGAGATTGCTACACACCTCACGCGGGGCAGCTTCACGATCCGTCAGAGCAGCACCGAGTGCTTTACGACTGCATCAGCGACCGCAACTCACTAACCCAAGACTTCCTGCTTCCTACACAAAGTGGAAATGCGCTACATGAACGTACACCGAGGAGACATCTCACTTTGCCATGTGTGGCGGCACAACAACCATAACCTCTCTAGGTACAGGTCAACGAACGGATCTCCATGCTGAGTCGGAGTAAGCATTTCCAGCGCCCATCATCAACGCTTCCAAACCTACCCAAACTGGCATTTCACGCACCTCCCTCGGGGTCCCACGAAGGAAGCTAGCCACACGACAATGAGCATGTCGTGCAACAGCACTGCATCAGAGTGTCACCTGCCGTTCTCCACGCTTTGCTCAGACTTACCTGAGCAGGCAGTTTGGTCATTGACGTCGCTGCAGATGGCTCGACGCTATGTTGTCGCCTCCACGGTCCGCGATCCTTCTCAGACAGGACTTTTCGCAGAGTCTCTGGACAGGTGCGTGTGAATGAAACGAGAGGCACTGCGATCTATGACTTCCTCGCCACTTCCTAATGCCGTATATTGGGCTGGGAGTGCGACGCAAGACATCCAAGTTTACGCCAAGAGTGCAGAAATGATAACACAGCGATCGAAGCCGCACCTCTGCACTCTCTCTGCGCGACCGACGATGTCCATGAGCAATTCAGTTGGATGTACGATGACACTGGGGACTGCTGTGGAATACCACCGTACCAGCACATCTCCAGACCAAGCCTTCTCCCCCCACCAAGGCCCAGCGGGTATCTCCTACCCTCCCACCCCCTCCTACAAAAAGACATCAGAATCCCAAAAACGTCTGTCGCCCTCCCCATCCAAGCACACCGCTCAAGCGATACCACACACGTCTTTGACGGACTGTGGTCGGAGCTGGCTCATCGCTTGCCCTTGTCTCAGCCCTGGTGTGGGGTATGGCTTTGTGTTCGCTTCGTGCTCGACTGTGCTGCTCGCTCGACTGTGGGGTTGTGTGTCTGGCGGCATGGTATAGTCTGGAGCGGGAGGTGTCGATGCGTCGTGCATGGCGTTTCGCGAGGTGGAATGGCGAGGCGTGCATCACAGACAAGACTAGTGTTGCTCGGCGTGGGAATCGCGTCGTTCAGCTGCGGATGATTGCTCACTGGCACCCATTCAATCAAATTCACAAGCCCTCGCTTTCGAGGTCTGTAACCCCCCGCCTACGCGACCATAACGCCCCGCAACCACTCCGCAAACCCGCCCTCCACTACGCTCTTACTAAACGCGACCCAAAACGCCAATTTCTCGCTCTGTGCGGGGGCACAATGCTCCACCAGCGCTTTAACGCCAACGCTCCTCAGTCCCCTGATGCTCATCAACTGCTCTGCCCACTCCAGATCGATGCCGCCCGTGGAGCTGGCGCCCCACTGCTTCATGCGCTGCATGGTGGTGTAGTCGCGCGCGGTCGGGGCGTTGATGTGGTCCCATCCGGAGTCCGGACGGCCTGCTACGACGCCGAGATGTAGGTGCTGGAGGAACATGGCGGGAGTGTGCGGTTGCTGATGTGTGGTCGAGGGCGCGTTCGGATGTGCTGCGGACGCCTCGGCGAGGTAGGCGCAGAGGGCTGCCCACTCCGCGCGGTCGAATTCCTTGGTGTACGGCAGCGCCTTTTTCGTGAGACTCAGACGCTTCACATGGCTTCGCGAGAGCGGGGTTAGGTCGCTGAGGAACGGGACCGCGGCTTCGATGCTCGTGTGGAACGCGAAGGTGTAAGTCGAGTACAAGATCTTGGCTGCTTCGGCGTGGATCTGGCGGTTGATGGCGAGGAGGCTGGGCACCGTGGAGCGCAGATGCGCCGTGTAGGGGGACAGGAGGACGCGGTATGTGGTTGGCGTTGTGGTGGTCAGGAAGGGCCCTTTGATGGCGGATGAGTAGACATTCGTAAATGGGCTGGTGTAGTGAGAGAACGTACCGGTTCTGACGTGGTACGTTGACCTGCGGCGCCAGGTACGGCTTGCTTGGGCGCCGAGCCAGGGGTCGATTGTCCGGACGCTGAGGGTGAAGCGGTCGTTGTTGGTGTCTTCGGAGAAGTAGGTGTGGAAATCGGGAACGAGATTGGCGACCGAGGTGCTATGGATTGTGGTGGGTTGCGATGAGGGCAGCAGCATGTATTCGTAGATCATAAGGCGTATCTCCATCGGCAGGCGTAGGAGCGGTGAGGCTTGTAAGCCATCTTCTGTTGGGGTGCTTGTGGCCGCCATTCTGAGAGCAATCTGCGAGGTAGAATCCATGATGTCGCGCACTGCCGTGGTGAGGCTTGACTCTAACTTACTCCAAGCCTGCGACTCTGCTTCTCTTCAAGCTGGTCCTTTTATGCTCCTTCACACGTGCCCTTGCTTCGATTCGCGACAAAAGTGACTCGGGCCTCGCTTTGCTCACACCAAACACATGCAAACGATCAAGACAACTAGAACACAACACAGCACAGAGAGTCTGGACAAGTTTTAGGCGAAAGTTAGCCGAGATGTGGGCGCGACGCGACTTTTTGACGTGCGACCGCGGCGAAGACGTGGGAGACCATCAGGGTACGCTTATCAGCGCGTTCACGAAATGATTCCGATAATTACCATGATGACCATGATGACCATGGTGCATTGCCGATGGCGCCATACCTGGACAGGACAAGTCTTCTTGGGCGTAGGCCTGAAGCAGCCTAGAGCCGCGCAGATGCTCGATTTCAGCGGCGATGACGAATCGGGACATCCTTGGATGCAACGCTCCTTCGGCGAGGAAGGAGAAGCGGTGTGGCGGTGGAATCTGCGACGATGTGTCAGTCGAATCGCATCTGTGGCAGGTTGGACGAAAGGGAAGCGACTCGGCAGTCGGCCAGTCGAAGCGCGCGAACGCCGCTTGGGCAGCGAATCTGTGTTCACCGCGAGCGACTGCGAGCAAAGAGTACAGACCGGGGAAAGCGAGCAGGGGATAGCACCTGGCCTTGGTATCGTAAGCGACAGCGAGCCCTGGAGACATGCTCGTGATCATCTGCAGCAGCAGCATCTCGCGCCGTTGGACAATGGCAGGCCGCGCCGTTGGACAATGGCAGGCCGCGCCGCCTGCGGAATCACGAATCACTGCGAGAAGGGAGGCGACGCAGCATCGCAGATCCACATTCTCCAAACCAACCCCATCTCGCTACTTCAACGTCTTCTCCGCAGAACCTACTCCTGGCCGAAGAGCGTTGTTGCCGTTTCTCGGCCAGGGAGGGAGGGTACGTACCTGTCTCGTTGCGGGCGTCAGCGGCACATGGCGGGGAAGGTGTTTGTCGGCGGATTGCTGCTGGTGGGTGGATGGGTGAGAGAGCGGGTCGATGCAATTGGTGAGAGACGCGACGCGGCGTTTAGGGGTGTGTTTAGAATCACATCGTTGCGCGAGCGAGGAGTAGCGTTGGTAGTAAACTCTGCTCACGCGAAGCGCGTTGAGCTCCAGGGAATGTTGTGCGCGCGTGAAGTCAGGACGCGCAAGTCAAGACGCGCAAGTCAAGACGCGCAAGTCCTCTGCCCGTCACCGGCCCACCCTCACAAGAGACCTATCCGCAGCTAAACGCATCAAACGCAACATGTTTCCCCTCAAATCAATATCATTGATTCGCACGCTTTTAAAAGCCGCCCTGGGCTGCGCTCGCCCAGTCAACGCACGCACCCTCCTTCCTCCCTAGATACCCATACCGATACTAAACAAAAACACACTAGAACAAACATGTTTTTCGAGGAAGTTTGAGCCTCCCGTCGCCGTGAACTTGATCTTAACGCCCTTTTCGCAGTCGAAAGATGCGAGACACCAGAAAGTGAGCGGATGCAAGAGTAGAGAACAATCGAAGAGACGAGGAAAATAAGAGGAAAATTTCATAATACAATGGTCGTGGCTGCAATATCAAAAGCCTTGCTCCTCATGCCCGTCGTTCAACCGGGGCAAGAAATCAGTGGGAAAAGAATGATCCCCTCGCCGGATCAATATCCTCCTCTTGACACTGATGGGACTTGGTATCCTCTTCGTACAAGCGGTTGCAACTTCACCCTGAGGCAGAAGGCGTGGAGATACACCTAGAGATTCCAGCGGTCTCCTGTGAGGTGCCTCTTGGACCACTTGCGCACAAAGTAGAGTTGGCTTGCCACGGGTTGGCTTGCCGCCTAGTGCTGGCCATAGTTGGTGCCCCAGCCACCGCGGCTGTTGTAGTTGCCACCGCCGTAGCCGCCGCCGAATCCACCATAGTTGCCGTAGCCACTCTGCTGGTTGCCACCCTGCTGGTGACCAAGCCCACCAAGTCCGCCGTACTGGCTGTTTCCGCCAAGGTGGCTGGGGTAACCGCCAAAGCCCTGCTGGTGGGACTGCTGCTGGTGTAGGCCCTGAGCGCTCTGGCTAGGGGTGCCTTGGGTGGCTGATCCAGGACGGCCCTGCTGGGCTCCCAGCGCAGACTGGCTGGGACCAGTGCTCTTCGACTCACCAAAGCCCTTGAGAGAGTCTTCGCCGCCCTGTTGGCCGCCCTGCTGCTGGCCGTACGAGCTCTGGCCTGTGTATCCAGGTCGGCTGAAGGTGTCGGGGATGCCGCCGAATCCAGAGCCGGAAGTGGCGCTGTGGTTCTGACCTGTGCCAGAAGCCGAGCGACCGTAGTCGCCGAGACCGCCGAATCCGCTCCCGCGTTCGTTGGAAGCGGCAAAGCCGCCTGCGTTGGCCGGCGAAGATGAGTGCTGGTCGTACGAAGCCTGAGGAGACATTCCGTAGTGGTGGGGCTGGCCGTACATGCCCTTCCCGAAGCTGCCGTAGCCCTGCTGCTGACCGTATCCTCCAAATTGGTTCATGTAGTTGGCGTAGTACGGGCTGCCGTAGTACGGGTGGTTGTACGGATAGGCACCGTGCTGGCCCTGCTGCGACTGCTGGCTGTGGCCCTGGCTGTGCTGGCTCTGGGAAGCAGGTCCCGAGGGAAGCTGGCTCCCAAGACTGGGGTTCGGGGTGTTGTGTCCGCTGTTGTTGGCGTCGGCGTAGCGGCTCTGCTGGCCCTGAGAGAAAGAGTCCTGGGGTCCGGAGCCGAAGCCGCTGCCAGTGCGCTGCTGAGCAGAGCCGGCCTCCTGCTGGCTGGGAGCCTGCTGGTTGTAGTTGTTGTAGTATTGCTGGTAGGCGTTGCGCTGCTGCTCCGAAGTGAGGTACTGGGAGGAGTAATCGGCGGGTGCGGAGGAGAATGGGGTGGGCTGCGACTGAGCGTGGCTCTGCTGGCCAGGGTAGTCGTATTGGTTCGACGACGGGATTTGCTGGCCGAAGGGATCGTAGGGCTTCTGAGATGGCGCGGCAGCGGTCTCGGCCTGCTGGCCGTAGCGGCCGAACTGGTTGTAGGGCTGGCTGTGCTGAGAGCCCTGGTTCTGCATCGCCTGCGACGCAAGGGGGTTGGACGGCGACTGCTGCGACAGAGGCTGCTGCTGCTGTTGTTGTTGCTGCTGCTGCTGTTGCTGCTGCTGCTGCTGCTGCTGCTGCTGCTGTTGCTGCTGGGGCGCCGGGGGAAGGCCTGGGGCCTGCTTGGGTGTAGGGTTCTGCTGCTCGGGCTCAGACTCGTCGACATGGGGAGCCTGGCGAGGCGCAGGAGGCAACGAAGCCCTGGGCTGGGCAACGGGCGAGTGTTGTGGGGGCTGAGTCCTGGTCTCTGCCTCCTCCCTGTCCTCGTCCACATCGTCCTCGCCGCCAAGACCCAGGCTGCCGAATTGGACGGCTGCCCGGTCAACGGCGTGGTTTCCTGGCATGACGACAGCCTCGTGCTGCTCCACCAGCCTCCGCTGGAAGCTAGCGCTGCGGTTTGGTGTTCCTGAAGTTGCCTTGAGGGCAGTTGTCGCGTACCCTCCCACCGCAGGACGGCCAATTGGTGCCTGGCCAGCTGTGCTCAGAGGAGTGGCTACTGCACTACCAATGTCCTTGGAGCTGGCGACGGTGCTAAAGGCAGTCTCTGTGGGCGGCGGGTGCGACACGTCCGGCAGATGCTCTACGTTCTCCTTGGTGAGCTCGTCCTTGGAGGGTGTGAGGTCGAGCTCAGCAGCGGGCTCCTCGACCTTTTCTGGCGTCTTGGCCACGTCGTCGGCGATGATTGTGGGCTCGTCGACTTCGTCTGCGACCGGGGGGATCGGGAGCTCTTCGGCCTGGACTGCTGGCTCGTGAGCGACTTCGGCAGCCTTCTCGACGGGGGCAGGAGCGGGCTCCTTGAGGGGCTCTGCGGGCTTGGGAGCCGGCTTGGGCGGAGCAGGCTCGGTGGGCTTTGCAAACATGCTCGCCCACGTCTTCTTCGCGGCGACTATGGGGTGCTTCGCCGCCGTCTTGGGGTCGTGCAGCACCTCCGACACGGTTCCAGGCACCGCGTCTTCCTTCTTCTCGGCCTCGGCCTTGGTGGTGTCTGGCTGAGCGCCCCACGCGCCGGCGCTGGCTTCGGTCGCTGGCTTCGCGTCCCAGGCTCCAGGCTCGGCCGTCGACGTGGCCCAGGCATCGGATTCGGCCGTGGGCACTGATGTCGACGCACTGCGGGGTCCGCCGCCGGCGCCTCCACGACCGCCGCGGAAGCCACCACGGCCTCGGTCGGTGCCGCGGCCACGACCGCCCCGGGCGCTGTCAAGGCCGCGTCGAGGAGCATCGCCGCGTGTGCCGCGGATGGCCGACGACTCTGTGGGTGCGTGGTTCTCCTTTGTTGCTTTGGAGCGCGAGCGGTCCTTGGCCTTTTTGGGCACCTCGCTGAACTGGGAGACGGCGCCTGCAAACAGTTAGCGCGCCCGTCGTGGCATCGACGCCCTCAACAGGCCGGGGCAGAGGCGTGCTCACCCTCGCTGATGCGCTCAATGGTCCGCTCCAGGTCGCCGTCGGCCTCCTCGATGGCGAGCACGAGATCGGCGTCAGACCAGTCGGGGAACAGCTCCTTCAGTGTGGTCAATTGCGACGAGTAGCGCTTCTTCAGCGCGCGCAGCTCGCCATCCTCTGCGGCCGTGTCCACGGCCGCCGATGCGCTGTCGCCGTTCGTGGCGCGCGGCCCTCGCGAGCCATAGCCTCCTCCTCTGCCGCCGCGGGCGGTGGTCCTGCCGCGCGCAGGCCTGCTTTGTGCTTCAGACATGTGGACTGTATGTGTGTGGGGGGGGGGGGGGTGGGGGGAGAAGCCGCTGGGGACTCGGGTCGTGTGCGTGTGTGGGAGCTGGGGCGAGGCCGTGCGTGGGGAGGAGACGATGTGGTTCGGATTGGGCGAGGGAAAGTCGGCGCTGCGAGCTGCTCGTTTACTCGTCTAGCCACCAACGCGGCCTTGGCAGCTGGGCCCAATGGCGTCAGACTGCTGAGCGCGGCCGAGTCGCGTCGACTGCACGGCGGGGGGCGGAGGGTCGTCTATCAGATGGGAATCTGGCCACAGAAGAGAGCCACTGCAAGCACGCCGTCAACCAGCGCACCTTCACCATCACCGCATGTCAAGTGGTGGCCACTCGCTTAGTCTCGCACATCCATCATGTCGTCGCCCGTGGGGCAGAGGGCGCTCAGCACTCTGGCAAAGACGCTCCACCCGCAGCTCCCTCTTACGCCCCGGGAGAGCCAGCAGCTGCTCAGTCTGCTGACCACCTCCTTCCGCAACCACCTCGACCGTGAGCACCCCGTCCACACCAGCGAGAAGGCCCACAATTCTGTGGCTCGTACTGATGCGCGCCGTGACGACCACAGCGCCCTGCACGGCCCGTGCTCGGCGGCGCTGGCTTCACGCCACATCAAAACCGTCTTGTTGAACCCGCTGTTCGCCGTGAAGCCCTCTCGACACGTGAAGCTCTCTCGACAAGAAAAGCCCTCTCGACAAGAAAAGTCCTTTCGACAAGAAAAGTCCTCTCCACAAGAAAAGCCCTCTCGACAAGAAAAGTCCTCTCGAGAAGAAAAGCCCTCTCGAGAAGAAAAGCCCTCTCGAGAAGAAAAGCCCTCTCGAGAAGAAAAGCCCTCTCGAGAAGAAAAGCCCTCTCGACAAGGCCCAGAGTCGGCCGCCTTGGGCGTCCTGAGCGATCCGGTGGGTTGGTTCCTCAACGACATCGCCGCCGGCAATGCATCCCTATCGAAGGCTGCTCTGGTCCTCGACATACTCGGCAGTCGCCCATCCCCGCCGACCTCGCAACCGCAGAAGGGCAGAACAGCAGGCGCTGTGATTGGTGATTGGTTGCACTCTAGTGGCTTGTACAACTCCAGCGAGTTCCTCGACATGTGCCTCGTGAAGCCAAGCGCCAAGCGGCCGACGACGTTCATGTCGCGCCTCGTGGCTGCTATGATGGTCGACGGCAAGGAGGCGCTTCTCTGGAAGTGGTTCTTGAATCGGTTCGCTCATGACGTGAGCTCCGTGCAGGCCATCTCGTTCAGGAAGCAGCTGTTGAAGCACATGGTGGTAGCCAGAGCTGCCCAGGACCTGCATGGGGCTATTGCGCTGTTCAGCAGAGCGCACCAGATGGTCGAAGAGCAGCCCGACAAACGATGGGAAGAGCTCAGGCCTGCTGGTCAGTACCTGGTGCAGGCCGTCATGTCCAAGTCGACTGCCTCGGTGGACAATGATCTCTACAATTCCTTCCGGCGCAATGTCCGACTTTGGGTTCCTAACCAATGGGCGCAGGCCGTGAATTCGATGCTGTGCCTGCACCACCCCGATAAACCATCCGCTAGACCAGGCCTCGACTTCATTGAAGACCCTGCCGGAGCTGCTACATACGCCAATGCCAAACCAGCTCAACGACGCTTCGTAGTGCAGGTCAGCTTGGGCGTCGCTCGACAGCTCCTTGAGCAAGAGCGCTACCACGAAGCCCAGACTGTCATGGCCTTTACCAAACAGCACTTTTCTGACCTGGTGTTGGAGAATCTCCCTACTGCACAGAAGAAAGCTGTCCAGCGTCAATCGAACAAGATCAAAAAGGCAGAGACAGACGAGGAGACGAATCTTGCGCTTTTGGACGGTCTTGCCTTTACATGAGCCATCCAATCCTCGACTCGGACTGTTCGACGTGCAAGACGACAACACCCAGCTACCGCCACGACTCGTACGACCCCGTGCAAGGCGGCAACACCCGACTTCCGCCACGACTCGTACGACCCCGTGCAAGGCAACAACACCCGACTACCGCCACGACTTGTACGACCCTGTGCAAGGCGACAACACCCAACTGCCACCACGACTCGTAAGACATGGCTTGTCATGTAACCCAGCCGATACAAGCCTGACACGCGCATTGCCATTGCTCTCAACACCCACTGCCAACAGGTACAGGAGCTAGGGTGAAGCACATTGCATGCATGTTCATAAAGACGGTCATTGTGTCTGTATCCAGACACCTGGACAGACATTGGCGGAAGACGATCACGTTTCGCACTCCACCCCTACCACCCTTGGAGCGACGCGCTCATAGTCGTGGAGCAAACCCCGGCGCCCGTCCCAGCACACCGCACAGCTGAGCGACTAGCTCCAGCCCTGGCTCTGCGGAAGACGAGGTCAGACACTAGAGTTTATCTTGACTCGATGGACTTGGTAAGGTCACTCCGTATCAAGAAAGCACAGCTTCTCCACCAGTGAACCCGACGGACTAGCACTCCACAATTCTACTCGTCCAGACATCGTGCAAGTGATGCGTGGCCTCTCCCCATCCATCCACCATCTATCTTTCGCAAGCGGCGACTCGTGCGAAACCCGTGGATTGCAGCTGAATGTTTTAATTCCTGTGCTCGATTGCGTCTAGATTTCCTCCCACTGCGTCTCTTCCCTCTCCAGAGACGTTGAATATAGTGTTCCTCCGCTGTGCACCGCATGCAGCGCAAAATGCCAACCCTGCCCCTTTCCCCGTCCATCCATCCCCATCTCAGAACACAATGCGTGGTGTGGTGGCCCGTCCTTTACTCCCTGACTCCCATCTGTTGTTTCCATCTGCCCTTTTCTACTTTTCTACTTTCCTCTTCTACTTTTCTACTTTTCTCTACTTTTCTACTTTCCTCCACTTTTCTACTTTCCTCTTCTACTTTTCTACTTTTCTACTCTCCTTTTCTGCTTTTCTACTTTTCTTTTCTACTTTTCTACTCTCCTTTTCTACTTTCCTTCCCCACCCTCCATCTCTCCTTTCCACCCCTTCCAATCGCCCATTCATCCCACAGGACCCAGATACCAAAACCCCTCGTCTCCTCCTGCGAACCGCCTCGACTCAGCGCCGCCGCGCCTGAGATGGCCGAGCCGCTTCGTACCACGAGCCGGGGATCTGCGGTTCCCGCTGCGGCGCGTGCGCGGGGGGCACGTAGCTGGAAGGATTGGCGTGCGGCGGCGCGGTGCTGTACACTGTGTGTTTGCTGTCCGATGGTGTGGTGTGGCTTGCTGGCTTGGTGTGCACTGGTGTCGGCTCGCTATACACCGGCGTGGTCTTGCTGCTGCGTGGCGCGGGATAGTAGATCGCGCTACGGCTGGGTTTGGTCGGGCGCGTGGAGCTCGGGGGTGCGAAATGGCTGTGCGAGGGCTTGCCGTAGCTGGGGGTGGGCTTGCTGTAGGGTACTGACTTGAAGGTGCTGGGCTTCGCGTAGCTGGATGAAAATTTGCCATGGCCGGGCCAGGTGTAAGCAATGTGCGGGTGCGAGGGAGTGGGGGTGGTCGACGGTTGGTGATAGCTGGACGGTCGAGGGTAGTAGACTGGTGCCGGGTGAGAGTAGCTGGATACCGGAGGGTAGTAGACCGGTGCCGGGTAAGAGTAGCTGGATACCGGAGGGGAGTAGACTGGTGCCGGGTGAGAGTAGCTGGATACTGGAGGGGAGTAGACTGGTGCCGGGTGGTAGCTAGATACCGGCGGGTGGTAGCTAGGCGTGGGCTTGGAGTAGACGGGCTGAAGAGTGCTCGGCTCGGTGGGAAGGCTGTACAAAGACGGCTGAGGGGGAGATTGGTATGAAGGCGTCTCTGCAGCAGAGTCGCTCGTGCAGTTGCCGAAGCCAGATTGACAGCCCGTACCACAGTGGGCGTCGGAGTAGCCACACCAACCATACTCTGAGATGAGGTCAGCGACTCCGTTCTTCGCTTGCGGCAGGGAACAGCTTGGGAGACTTACGAGAGCAACAACTGCCGCGAGCATAGTCGAAACACGTCTCTCCTCCAGAAGTCCTTGCACCGCAGATACCGTTGGTAGATGGGTTACCAGGATTCTTATCCGGCTGAGGCTCGTTGTGGCTGGGCTCGTCGTGGCCGTTGAAGGTCCTTGGGCCCACGCGCTTGGTGCAGAGCTCGACGACGACGTCCTTGCCAGCGTCGCACCTGAACGTGGGCTCGCCGTGCCAGTAACCGTGCTCCGTGTAAGTGCGGTGGCACTGACCATTCGCACTGCACCATGCAGGAGGACACTTGCCCTCATCGGCGTGCTCGATGTACACCTTCAAACCGCCGCCGATGAGAGGGCAGAAAGAAGGATGCTCAGGACCAACAGTGTGGTCGCAGTCGACAGCGCTGAGGTCGTACCAAAGGTGGTTTTTGCTGGGGACGAGATTGTACTCGACTTGAATGATGCCAGCAGGTGCGACCTCATACCGTGGCAGATCACGAAGCTTCACAGAAATACCACCGCCGGTGATTCCGCAATCGACCATGCCCTGGTAGGTGACCGTGTTGGCGGGGATGGCGACGGCTTCGTGATCGTGCCCAGTCCATCCAGACCCGGCTGGGCCAACAGCCCACGAGTAGACATCGTAGGGGCAGTGGTTGATGAACTTGATGTTGTTTTCTGCTGAGACGACAGCAGAGAGAACGGTAGCTAAAAGGTATAGTAGCCCAAGAAGAGGAACCATGACTGGTGAAGCAGCCTTGGAAGAGCTGCGAGAAGACAAATGAAGAGAGTTTTGATGTGATATCTGAAATGAAGACAGAATCTGCAGTATGATTGCAGTGTGAGAAGAGAAAGCAGGAGGGGAGAAGGGGATCAAGTTCAGACCGCCTGCGCTTGCTCCCCAAAACCAGGGTCGTTTGTTGAGTAGACCCCATAATCGATTCAAGGGCATTGGAATATTGATGAGTGGAGCATTATGACTATATCGAAGCCGGATTCGGATTTCTCTCCATGTTGCGACGAAAGTGATGCGGAAGTGAAGCATATGCTACATCATCATTTGAGCACTGAAAGTATTCCGTAGGCCGTAGGGAGGCCTTTGGGCGAAGGGGTCGACTGATGATGCATTGGCTGTGATCCGGAGACCTGCAACGCATCACAGGGACCGAATGGTCGACAAGAGCAGTCTGAAGTCTCCATGAGCTATGTGACGTATGATCCTACCTAACTTTAGTCAGAAGAGATGCAGTGAAGATCCTCGACTCTTGACGAGCTTGGAGGCATTTAAGGTGTTGACAAGGGTTGCTGGTAAAGTATTGATACCGGAAGAGAAGGTCAAAGGGTCTTGTCTAGCTGAATTGGGGGCAGCTCATGTGACCGTTCCAGAGAAGGAATATAGCAGATCGGGCAACCGAACGGATTTGGGCATTGTCAGGCAACGATACGAAGATGCAGACTCATCATCTGAGAGCTAGTGATGAATCTCAGTCTGGCCGACAGAAGCTCATCTGCTGAGTGCGCACCTAGAAGGTAGTCAGTACAGTGTGACACCAAAGAATTCCCAAACGCCATTTTTAATTTTCAAGCCTTTCTATGGGGTATTAAAACACAATTAAGCACAACCTTGTCCAATTTGTGTCGACTTCTCAGAGTGGTAACGCCTTCCCATGCTCGCTATCAATGCAAAACAAGAAATCAATGAACACGCCATGCAGCCACAAAACACTAACGACTGCGTATTGGCGCCCAACAAGTCCATGGACGAGAACCTGTTCGGTAGACACACCGGTGGTTGCAAGCACAAAACTGACGCGTGCCGTCGCTGCTGAGCTCGACTTCCTAGATCGCAGGGAGCCTGGACTTGTCGCCACCCTTGCCTGCTTCGAGCCACTCCGGCTTGATGATCTGGTCTTGTGCGCTATAAAGCGCCTTGTAGGCGGTACGGATGGTGCCATCGCTGACTTCAACGGCCGCACCAATCTCCTTAGGAGATCGAGGGTTACCCATGAGGTGAGAAACGAAATAGAGACAGGCGCCGGCAATAGAGAGAGGTGAACGGCCAGCGGCGACGCCATGTTCGGAGACGAGACGCGCGCACTCTTCGGCGATGAGTTGAATGAAACGTTCGAGATCGAGCTTGGCACAGGCACGAGGCATGAGCGTCTCTGCGCTGGTGGCGTTCTTCGTGGTGAGATTGGAAGTGTCCAGGACGGATTGGCTGTCCTTGTTCTGCTGCTTCTGCAACCTCTGGATGTGGGCTTCGAGTGTCTTGAATGTACGACCCACCTCCTTCTTCGACACATTTGTCATTTTGAAGATTTCACGGAAACTGCGGTTCTGCGAATGCTGCCGGCAAGCTATGAAGATACAGCCGGCGATGATGGCGTCCTGCGACTTGCCCTTGAACAGCTTCTCATCGTCCGTCATGCGGAACAGCATCTTGGCCGTGTCTTGCGTAGTCTTGCTGATATTCTGCGAGTCGCAGAGTGTAGTGATCTGGCCAAAGGCAGACTGGAGCGACTTGTTGCCCTTGTCGTGGTTGCTCTTGTTGTGGGCACGAGACAGCTCGCGCACCTTCAGGCCACCATCGCCGAAACCGATCTCGGTCTGCAGCTGAGAACCGCGCAGCAGTGGGTTTGCGGCGTCACCAATACGAGAAGGGTCGTCGTTGCCTTGGTCATCGTTGGAGAACGTACGCCACTCGGAGCGTGTATCGATGCCGCGCTCGGAGAGAACGCGACCGCAGGAACCGCATATTGTGTCTCCGGCGCTGAACTCCTCGACGAGATTTGGGGGCATTTCGCGGCAGTCGGGGCACATCAGCGTAACGTTCAGGTCCTCAGACCAGGCTTCCTCCTTGACAGGCTTGCGCTCCTCCTCATAGACCTCGCCCGGCGAGAGCATGCGACCATTGGGCGCGAAAGACATGTTGCAGATCACGTTTTGATTATCTAGCTGCTCTAGCTGGCTCTCGGAAGCTCCGGGTGAGGTTGACACCGTATGTGGGCGGGATGAGAGAGTGTGGGTGCTTGCTTGAAGGAGCTGAGGCGGCCGTTTCTCATTGTGCTTGGGTGAGCCACAACCCGCGCTAGCATGGCCACGTGACAGAAAATCAAAGGTGAGGGCCGCAGTGCAAGCAGGAGCTCCATTGACAGCTCCCACCCCCTCCACATCCAACATCATGCTCGCGCAATCCATCAGGGCCTCGGTACGCCTCTCTGTGCGCCCAATTGACGATGCTTGCTGACCCGGATTAGCGCCAGGCGCTCGCACGCGTTGCTCGCCAGCAGCCTACCATTGCTCGCCGCACCTTCATCACCCCTACGGCCGTTCGCTCAGGTACATCATCACAATCGCACGTCCACGGACTCTACTGATACAATTGGCGCAGCCGATCTGGTGCAGGATCTCTACCTCCGCGAGCTGAAGAACTACAAGGTTCCCCAGGTCAAGGCCAACGATGCTGAGGGCCAAGTCCAGAAGTTCTCCATCCCCGCCGCTCCCAAGTCCCCCGAGGAGGCCGATATTGCGAACGAGCTCAAGGCCTACGAGACCGAGCAGCCCGATGTTGGCGCTGAGGCTGCCACAGAGGGCGGCCAGGTCCTGCCTGAAGAGGACTGGTTCGTTGAGGAGGACGAGTCAATTACCACCTCCGGTGCCACCCACTAAGCTGGCTGCGCTCTGATATTCAGATCATCTGTACCAAATACTAGCGAATGTGTCAATATGGATTGGGCAATAGACCGAGCTTGAACACCTGCACAGCGCGCTCTCAATCACGTGATACGGGTTTTGAAGAACTCTTGATGGTTCCGTCAGGCAAACGTGGGGAACCAATGCTTGTTTTACGTACTGGCATTATAGATCCGAATGATTCCATTGCTTGCAGTGCGATGCGTAGCATGCTGACAGGTACATACATGGCGCTACTGCAGTCCGCTAGGTTTTTCGCGAGGCTCAGCAATCGTGAAGAGGGCAAATGAGGGCGCTTGATTGATGGGATTTTGCCTGCGCGATCTGGATAGAGTAAGCTGGAACCTTGACCGGCGATATCTTTCCGTGTCTCTCATCTTGACTTTGTTGTTCTTGCATGTACATATGTACAGGGACACACTATCAGGTTCGACCCGCTGTACGAACATGCACAGGACGCTCAGCTTCTGCACCAAAGTATTGGTGGCAGAGTGGTGAGTTCATATTAACTCACTGGACCCGCTACATACAGCGAACCAAGCACCTAGCCAGGCGCCACGGGCTCTCTTTCAAGGCAGTCAGAGTGTGAGCTGTCCGCATTGGAGGAGTCTTCCTCGGATTAGGTCGGCGGACGCTCACCTCAGCCTCAGCGTGCTTCTGAAACGATTGGCGGTTGGATCTAAAGAGCGGCAGATGCAAGGCTGGGCAAGCGGAGCCGGATAGTCGACTGGTCCGCAGGTCCCGTGACGTAGACCATTGAAGAACCCACCAAGAACATGCATCATCGAGAATATCTAGTGCGCACCTTGCACGGATGGATCGGTGTTCCCGTTAAACGACAAGCGCGCGCGATAGAATTGCACTGGCCCTGGAAACGAGCGGTAATGCGTTTGATTAAGGGCAGGGACGCCGCACGAGAGATTGCACTATTTACAAGTCACGAAAAACAAGGCTCGTTCGCGCAATTTGGTGCATCCATGGCAGCGGTTGAGGGGGCCCGCACTGGAAACCGCACTGGAACTGGCAGCTGGCACGAGCGCCGTTCGATGGGTCATGGATGGCAGATGCCAACGCCAGCGATGTAGCAACCCGAAGAGGCGTCGTGTTGTGTTGAGGTGTACTACCATCTTTGCACCTCTGACCACGGCCCGTGGCCAGCGTCACAGGCAGAAGGTCGGCAGAAGGCCCCGGTCATACTGTAATTTTAGAAAATCCCTCCGACATCGATCTGCACAAGCGGGAGGCACGCCCTTACTAGCCGCAGTCGTCCTCGTCGGCGTGCAGTGCAGGCGTCAAAACCCTGGACATGAATCGAGCGGACCCAATTGTGAGCGCTTTTTCTGACACAAGCACGTCCACATTCGCCACAGGCGACCCTGAATATACAGTGTCCGCCCCGTCATCCCTCCGCGCTGCCTGCAAGCACCAATCGTCCTCTCTCCAGCCGCCCTTCCGCTCGTTCCGACGCTTCAGCGAGGCCTGTGACGTACTAGTACTGTGGATCTGCCAACTGCCTTCACAGCCTACTGCACGGCTCGCCGTGCCCGCCTAACAGCACAACACCGCTCTATTCCTGTTCCTGCGCCATGAGCCCGTGAAAAATAACGCAGCAGCACTTTTTGGAGTCGCTCATGGGGAATAGCTCCGCACGGGGAACCCGCAGACCTCCACCACACTCGCTTTATATCGCGCCGCCGCCGTCGCCATGCCAATCGCCGTGGCTTCAGCTCTGCGCGGGCACGATGTCTTCTCCAGCAAGTCGCGGGGCCGAAGTAGGGCGGCCTCAGAAGCCGGCCCTCTGCCCCCGGCTGACGACGAGAGGAAGCCTGAGCGGGCGCAGTTGCCCAAGGCGGCCTCGTACACGTACTTTCCGCGCGTGAAGAGCCTGGACGAGGATGCGCCATCGGAGGAAGACCTGAACAAGGGCAAAGACATCGACGTCACGTCTGACAGCTCCTCAGGCGGATCGAGTCCGTCCTCAGAGGAAGCCCCACAGGCCCTCGAGATGCCGCAATTGAGGCCTGCTGCCACCGCACGTCGGTCGTCGAGATTCCTCCCCTTCTCCAGCAAGAGCAGGGATCCCTCAATTGAGCCCAAGCCTGAGCGCAATCGCAAAGACGTCGTCAAGGAGACCGAGTCGCCGGGAAGCTCCCCATCGAGATCCCTGACGAAGCTGAGGAGGAAGTCATGGGTCGTCTCACAGCAGCACCAGCAGCAGCAACAGCCGCCGCCCCCACTACCTATCTCCAATTCGCCTACAAAGGAGAGCAAAAAGGAGAAGAAGGCGGCACACAAGGATGACAAAGCACAAAAGAAGGCCGCGGCTATCGAGGCACCGAAAAGAAAGACGCCGACGAGCACAGACAGCATTCCTGAGGAGGCTGAAGCCAGGAATGAAGTAAGGGACGAGGCACAAGACACCGTAGACGAGCGACCGGCAGCCCTACCCCTCAGCAAGAAGAACAAGCGCCTCAGTGCGCTCCTGACTGCCAACGGGCCCGCTGTTCCCTCCGTGCCAAAATCCTTCTCTACCGAACAACTTCCCCTATACCCGCATTCAGACAGTCCCCTTAGCCCGACCGACCGTGTCCCTCCACTTCCGCGCAACACCTCGACAGACAAGCTAGGCAACAAAATCAAGACGGAACCACGTAAGAAGGATGAGCTCTGGACCGTATTCAGGACCCTAGAGGGCGAGCTGCGGAAGTATGTCAAGCGCTCTCTACGGTATCCCCAAGCTTACATTTCACAGGTTCCAGCACAAGTCCAGCTCCTTGAAGGCGAACATCGTGCGAACGAGCCTGCTCCAAGACTTCATCTACAAGTACGCGAACCACCCTTCGAACCAAAAGCTTAGACCGGAAGATCTTGATCGAAGGACGAACATTCTCAATGGGTGGTGGACCGGCCTGTTGGAGCTTGTGGCAGGACGCAATAACCAGTCGATATCTGGGACAGATCGACCAGTGATTCTGGAAGGTTTGGCTGGGATCATGGAGAGACCGGAATGGAGACTTATGCCTTCGCCGTTCTGCGCGCTCGCTGACCGCGACGAGACGGGCTCGACTTTGACATCTACTTCGACGACTTCCAGTAGCTCGGATTTTCTGGCGGAATCCGTCTACCACAACGTCAAGAACACGTTTCAGCAGAACTTGATGTCTCAGATGGCTTTCGTCGTTGATAAGATGACCCCGCGGAATGCAGCAGCAAGTCTGGTCACGTTTTGCGGCAAGACTTGCGCGTATGCTTTCTGCTTCTGTCCTGGAGTTGCCGACATCATGGTCCGACTCTGGAGCCCCTCGCTAGAGATGATGAAGCGTGTGCTGGAGGAAGCAGGCGTGTCGAGACTGGACAAGATGGACGCCATCTCCGAACGCATTTCAGCCGCTTTCCCCCCGAATCTTCACCCGCTCAAACTCCAGTCGTTGGCGAAGTTGGTGCGCACATTGCGCGGCCCTCCAGCTGCAACACCGCCGCTGCAGATCGCCAACCTCGACTGGTACGGACTATGGATCAAGCGCTGGTCAGGCGCCGAGAGCGATCTTTTTTATGTCTTCGTCAAGCACTACCATATCCTAATCACTGGTTTCCTGCCAGGCGTCCTCACTGCCCAGGAGCGTGTTTGTGCGCCAGGCCTGCTCATGGTACACGCGCAAATTCTCGTTAACATGGACGCAACAATCAACAGGCACGCTTTGCCACAGCAGCATGAGGAATCTGGACCACAGTCGATTACATTTGACGATGTACTGAGTGAACCAGACGCATCTGCTTCCACAATGGCTATTCCACCAGCGAACGCCACACGGCAGATGCAGGAGAATCGACTGATCATGCTCATACGAGATTTCTTGTCCGAGGGCAATTCACATATACACGTTGCTCGACACATGTTCGCAGACAGTTTTGTAAGCTTACTTCAAGCACAAGCACGCAAGATCTCCATCTACGACAGCAATGCGTGCTACACGCTCTGCGACTTTATGGAAGAAGCGTTCGGGATCCTGGTCAGATACGAGCAACACAACAACGAGCACCACAAGGTCCTAGAGTGGCCATTCTGGCTGAAAGTCTGCAAAGAGATGACAGCAAGCGAGAACACAGCTACAGAGATCAAGCTGTACTCGTTTCTCTACAGCATCTGGGCTACCCTGGCTTTGGATGATCATCGAAAGAAGAGCCTGTGCCTTGAATTTCTTCTGGAGCCGGCATTCTTTGAGAGCAGATTCAATCATTGGTGTCCGATGGTTCGCTCCTACTACATGCGTTTGATTTGTTGGCGCGTTGCACGGTTCGATGGAGAGCCTTCTGAGGTTGAATTGTCAGTAACAGCCATTGTTCCCAATGTCGCCTCGCTAATAAGACAACAGAGAGATCAAGACAGCGCTCAGCGAGCGCCTCCGCTCTGTTTGGTCTCACTACCTTTGGCTCACCGAAGATGCCGACCGATTGCAAATTGCCTTTCCGTCGACACAGGCCTGCAATCCAGCTCCAGGTCGACGATTCCTTATTATACGTAATGATAATCCCGTTGCGGCCAGCAATGGTCCCTTTCTTACATTCGACGGCGTTGTGCAAAATCCTCACCAGCGGAAACCATCCGCTTCCACACCAGTCCCGGAGCCTATGGCGCAGAAGGTCGCAGCACTGGCGACAGATACCACCGATTTCCCGGACGAAGAGCCAGCCAAGGGCAAGTGGGGCATGCTGAAAAGTCTTATGGGGGGCTCGTCAAAATTCAAGGCAGCTTCTAAAAGTAAGGAGAACATTAACAGCACGACACCTCCAAAGATCTCCCTTGAGAAGACGCCTGCGGAAAAACCAGCTCCTACACCGTCACCGCCATCTCCTCCTACACATCGCACGTACAGCTTCCGCTTCTCCTTGGAATGGGTCGACAAACGCTTCGGTACCTACCAAAATATGCGACTTCAGCCGCCACGGCTACCTGTTGCAGCACAAGTTTTGCTGCAGCAGAATGGCATTCACAACGAGCTCGCAACTAGCATCAAACCAACAGGGACAGCCGCGACATCTAGCCGCTACGCCGGTCGTGCCCTTGCGGAGTGGACCTTCGTCTCGCACGAGTGCCAGAACTTTTTTGACCGAAGAAAGAACGAGGGCGTACCGACTAATAAGCAGGTCGAAACACCCGCACTCTGCGTCGAAGCCTTCAGACGCCCCGGCTAGTTTCAAACGCGACCTTTTTTGTCAACATGATCATCGGCAGGAACGATCTCATCCCATCTTTCGCGCAGCATTGGTTCTGCTTCACGGCCCCCTTGCATATGGATACTCACCCGGCACTTTGAGATCCTACGGCGTTGCAGTACTCTTGGTCCCGACTTGTTCGTTTGTACACAGTCCTTTGTATACGTTCCTGCATGCATACATGGCAGCGCGCTGCTTGCATGCCTCGTTTTGCGAGCTCCATTGCGTTCTTGTTGGGGTTCTTTTATAAGGTATCATATAGGCGCCGCTGATTGTTGATATGCTGCAAAGCTCAATACATACGTAGGTTTATGGTCAGTCATAAGTTTCAATCTATTGTTGCTATATTATATCCTACGGTGTCAAGTCGAGGTGACCGGGACTTGTGAAGGTAATCGCGCCTGCCGTCACCGCCGCACTAGCGCGGCTGCTGTCACTGCATTCCCTATTCTTCAAATCAACAGCATACGTTGAATGCATTAAACTCATCAAGCCTTTCGTCGCTTGCGTACTCGTGGTCGTGGTTGTCGCGCCACCGCTTGTCCAGACAGCGGTCTGGCACGGATCTACCAAGAAGTCGGCTTGAATGCAGCAAGGCCCGACCAAGCTGTGCAGGTGCGATATTGATCCGAGTATTTGCAAGAAGTCTTTTCAAAAGGAATATGGGGAGGTGCTTCTGGTGGGGTTTGGGGGATTGTTAGTGGTGTGGAAGTGGCAGTCTGGAGGTGAACAAATATCGGCACTTGAGAAAGCTGTATCATAACACCAGCAGACTGTACCCGAGAACATGTTCATTCTCTATCGGTCTTGCCACGATCCGACACGCACGGATGATGTTCCAGCGTACACACTAATGCCTGCCTGGCTACGCTGGTTCGAAATCATCCTTGTTTATCCTTGGGGCGGGTGTAATGATAACTTGCCGATGTTAGAGGAGCATCTTATGTCCGGACAGTTGCCATTACAAGTCTGCGGTTTCTTCCTTGTGCTTTGCGGTGGTTGATCTGTTTCGAGTTCGTCTCGTCTTTGGCACAGAATCTGCCTTAGGAATTTACTTGGTAAATCTGTGCTTGGGGATGGAGGCAAAGAGTGAGACTGCTGTAACATCGCCTTGAATTTTGACGAGTGGAAGCACTCCATCTTTATATCACAATTTGGTTTGTATGATGCAGCAATTTTGGTTGATGCCCGGCAATGGTGAGTGCAAGGTGCAAATGGTCAGATTTTTCGGAATACCGTGGTTCGGCCTGCGCCCTGAATTGTTGAGAAATTCGAACACAATAAAGGCTTGCCCTCTGTCGAGCAGCATATCTCCAAACCTTCACACCATCAAAAATGTCTCCAATCCACAGTCAAAATGACAAGACTGAAGCCCACCGTATCCCCTGCATTTCTGGAGGAGTTCAGCGATCGAATCGAACGGCTAAACAGTCTTCTCGCGGAAGGTGATACTATGATCTCGAATTTTGTAAGGAAATTCGGGATATCGTCGGTATCGCTGCCCTATTCTCCCGATTTCTCAGCAGACCGATACGATAACGGCCTGCGCACCGTGCATATCACTAGTGTTGACGGCAAGCAAAGGATGCACTGGTATCGTGCAGGAGCACCCGCTGGCTCAGCGAGCCATATACCTTCAGGCTCTACAGAAGCGACTACACAGACCGTCAATGGTAGTGTTGTCGTCAAGAAAACTGTTGGTCACCCAGAACTGTCGTTCTCGGAGATCTCATTGGGGTGTTTACGACCAGACATCATGTCGATGACCCAGCACGAAGAAGCAGAGGAAACTTTTTGCACCACTCCAATACCGAGCCTGAAGGTTCCCACACCATGTATACCTCCAACCTCACCCGAAATCGATCGGATCCATGATGACTCCACCGATCCCCGCTCAACTGTTGAAAAGGCCTTCTGTCACGGGCGACAGACAGCCAGGCCCTTCATCATCCCGTCCGCTCTGCTGATGATCATGCCATGGATACTGTCGAAGTACCTCATCCTACCCTGGTTGACCAGCATAGCCTACAGCTCACCCTAGCAAGATCTTTGCATCATACATCAAATCTAAGATATAAGAGCTCCTCGCTCCGTGGTTAGTAGCGACCCCTGCAAGATTTGATCGCACCTATAGTATCCCTGGAGTATCAAGCGGGCTTTCGTAATGTCGTCCAAATCAAAGACCATCAAGGCTGCGCGCCTGGCCAAATTAGAATATTGCGGGGATTAGACACCCGCTCCATGACATGGCGCCGATCCGGATATCTCAATCAAGCATACCGGATCCAGGGATCCCCAATTTCGGAGTATAGTAACAAAGATCTCCTTATGCAGGTCGACGCTGTTGGTGTCTGACACGGACAACCAGGTCTATGAAAGAATCTACCAGCCCAAGCTCACTCTGACGCCATCGCATGAGCCTGTTAGTATAATCGCTGCTCTTCGTAGTAGGGCTTGTAAAAACTGGAAAGTCGGTCAGCGAATTGGCATGCTCAATGTGAAGCATGCGTGCAACAGTTGTGGCGGATGCAGGAAATACCACAAAGGCAGTCTGCCCAACATGAGGCCCTGCGAGTATAAAGAAATGGTGGGGATCCCGGCACAATGGAGATTGCAGAGTATGTTGGAGCAGATACTGATGACTCGAGTCTTCTGCCTAAGGAGTTGTCGTTCGCACAGGCTACGCCAATGATGTGCGCTGGTGCAAGTCCGCTCTCTGCACAAAATCTCTTAGACTGACAGTTCGACATGCCGCAGTCTCTGGTGCGTTCCCAACCTAGAGCTGCACAGAGATAGCCTTTCGCTGTTATTGGGATAGGCGGACTGAACAGCTTGCCAGCTAGATTGAAGATGTAGGCTTTAGCGAAGTTAAACAGTGTCACACAATCGAGCACCTCAATTGAGGGTGTGGAGCTTGCCGGCCCGGATAAACCGGGACGAGCACCTCCGGGTCTAACCAGAAGCTCGTTTCACCCGTTCTTCATCAACGAGCTGCCCGATAATCGGCCGGCTGCCGCGCTTATCCTCTAAACAGGGAGCGAGCAGCTGGACGTAACAGGAGAGGCTTCAAAGTCACTCCAAGGGGACATATTGGTTACCTGGTGGGCTACAAAGCCTCCAATATATACCGAATATGGATACCTCAACTTGACCAGGTCATCACAACGCGCAATGTGACCTTCAACGAAGAGCTCTTTTATGGTAAGGATGAGTCTGAAGCTATCCCAGAGCTGGAGACAATCGCTTTTGTTGAAGTACTTCATGAACCTGGCGAGATATTTAATGCAGGAGAAGCAATTGAGCTCCCTATTAGTGAGGGAGAAGATCTATCGCTCGACCCGTCCGCCGAACGACAGCTTGGGGGTGAACCTCAGGAACAAACTCAGTTGCCAGAAGGCTAGTCTGGTGATGAGCGAGCTCCTGAGGCAGAGGCTACGCGATCGGCAAGCTTGGCCGGCAAGCCGATGGAGATTCGCGTAGGACGATGAGCTTTAGGTCTCCTCTCACCCGATCTAACACCAGAACCAGAGCAGCTGGAGGCAGGTCGGGCAGCTCCCTAAGGGGAGAATCTGACTGAAGAAAACTCACGGGAAGTGCACTCTACTGTAGAAGAAGGGAGCTCCTCAGCAGGTAACCAGGATCGCGATGATCCAATTATTAGACCTGTCTCTCCAATCGTCATCATACCCTCTGAGAGGCCGACAGGAGCAGGTGAGCCAAGAACGAAACGCGCGTACACTTGGAGGAACGTAGGCCCGGCTACCCAATTGAGCCGCCAGTTGCGTGAATGACAGCGCGATGAGCTTGCAGATGAAGACAGAGACGACAACAGAGCAGGACTGTACACTGTGATTAGCTCTATTCGATCAGCAGCATATTTATGGATGCTCCAACCTCTATTTGAACACGCTAACAAGTATAGTAACAAAGGCAGAGACCTTGTCACTATACATGCAGTAATAGCTGCCTCAGTTCTCAAAAATGAGAAGTCAATCGCTCAAAACGAGCGACAGATACACAGGGACTAGCTCCCTCCGCCTCCAAACAAATAGAAAGAGCTGGCCTATCACCCACTAGGCGCTCTGTTTCGCCAAGCCTGTATGAAAGAGATAGCAATGCTGATAGAGAAGAACACTTGGGTGGAAATCGACAGAACGAGCTCCCAAGGCAGGCCTCTGCCGCTCAAATGGGTATTCACATATAAGTTCAACAAAGATAGATACTTTATTAAGTGCAAGGCAAGGATTTGCGTGCGTGGGGACCTCCAAACCAAGGATTCAATCAAGTCAACCTACGCCACGACGCTCGCTGCTCAATCTTTCCACACTATAGTTGCTATAGTAGCCTAGTTTGATTTAGAACTATTTCAGTTTAACGTAGCGAGTGCGTTCCTGAATGCAAGCCGCAGAAACCAGCCTCAGGTGCTCTGTGAGCTTCCTGATGGGTTCTAGAAGCCTAATCAGGTTGTACTCCTACTATAAGCTCTATACGGACTTAGGGATTCACCAGTTCTATGGTATAAAGAGCTTTCCACCACGCTTCAGGAGCTCAGTTTAAAGGGCCTTAAAAGAAGAGCTATGTCTCTTCTTTAATCAGGAGCGAAGGATAGTTCTACTATTCTATGTAGACGATATCCTCCTTGCCCATCACCACAAAGATCAAGCAACTGCAGAGGAACTGATGAGCTCCCTGATGGCCAAATATTAGATAGAAGCTCATAGACCAGCGGAGTGGTTCTTAGGGGTGAGAATTATCCAGAATCAAGCTGCTCAGACCCTATCACTCGCTCACAACTCCTATATTGAGAAGCTCGCTACGAAGTTCAAAGTTTTAGATAAAGGATCACTTCCAAGTATCCCATACCCAACCACAAAGCTTCCTAAGTACCAAGGAGAAGCTTTAAAACAGGAAATCAAAGCCTATCAAGAATGGGTGGGTTTAATTCTTTACACAGCAGTTATGATCCGCCCAGATGTGGCATATGCAGCATCTCAACTATCACATCACCTGACTAACCCTGGAGCTGCTCACTTCAAAGTAGCCACTCAAGTTATCGACTACCTGTACCAAACCAAGCACCTGGGTATAAGGTACGGAGCTCATCAGGGCAGCCAGTTGTTGATGTGTGGAGACGCGTTATTCGCTGATGATAGCGAAACTCGTCGATCATCTCAGGGCTATACTGTGCAGCTCTTTGGAGGTCCTATTATATGGAAAGCAGCCAGGCAAGCGACAGTTACTACATCAACAACAGAGGCAGAACTGCTTGCTTTAGAGCATGTGGTCAAGGAGAGCACTGCTCTAAAGCGGTTCCTTAACGAGCTGCGCCTTGACCTAGGGGTCGCTTGGGAAATCTTCTGCGATAATCAACAAACTATCCGGCTTGTAGTGGAAGAGAGCGAGCGGCTCACCACTAGGCTGCGCCATGTGGATATTCAGAATATGTGGCTGAAACAGGAGCACGCCAAGGGAACCTTCACAGTCGCCTATATGAAGACTAGTGATATGCCAGCTGACGGGCTTACAAAAGCGCTGCCCAGGCAGGCTCACGAGCGCTTTCTCGCTCATCTCAAATTGTTTGATGTAAGACAGGACTCCAAAGGAGCAAGTGATCAGTCAGTGAGCTGATCACAACGGGTCCTGAGGAAGAGCAGATATCTAAGTCTCACCTCAGGAATATCAATATTTCACGGAGTCACAAAAGAGCAGGTCAAACAAGGAGCAAACGATAGATTTCTTCGAAACTGGGGAGGACAAACCCCTCCCCATAGGTATAGGAAATACCGAGACTGTAGACCATCAGAGGCAGCTCTTTCGAGCGCTCTACTGGCAGCCGACAAGCTCGGCGCCACACAAACAGACCACGACACCCCCAGCACCGGCTCGGACACCACCATCGGGGGTTCCAGGACCCATCTAGGCAGGATAGTAGCCATCTTCGACGAGCCCCTTCACCACCCGATAGGCGGCGCGCAGCTCAGTCGACCGCTAGAAGCTCGTTAACACCTGAAGACAATATCAAAGGTTCAAAGGGTAAGACTTACAGGGGTCGTCACTCCATTGGAGCGAACGAGCTCCTTGACCAGCTCCAAGCCGATCGGCTCGAGGGCAGAGGGGCTACAATAAAGCAATCAGACTACTATTCAACAGCTCCAAACTAAAGAGACTTACAGAGCCCGGCAGGAGTGCCCGTGGGAGCACCGGAAACATCTCTTGGCCCGTCGGCCAGCGTTCTCCACGTCGTAACAAAGATCAGCTGAGCTGCTCGTCAGCAGCGCGGCCACACAAGTCCCACAGGGGATCACCCTGCGGGTGCCCCTAATGAGGGGTACCTTGGAAGGGGACCTACCCGCTGCTGCGGCGCCGGTGGTGGTGCTGGTGGTGGTGCTGGTGGTGGGGAGGGTAGGGAGGGGGGCGTGAGGGTCGAAAGGACCCTTAAAGGAGCCCTCCACTCCCACAGAGGAAGCTCGTTTGGCTGAAGCCAAACCACTGTTGTTCGAAGGCGAGACCAAGCGAGGGCGGGCGGGGGCACACGGAGCGAGCAGAGGCTCTCGGAAGGCGTCCGCGCGCCTGGCTGCCTCGTGGCGGGCTCGGCGGGCGGCGGTGGCGGCGGCGGTGCGCGCCGCGCGCTTGGTGGTTGATTCTCTCTATCTCCAAGTCAGTTACAGCCAAAAAGAGCACCCAAAAAACAAAGCAGCCGCTTAATTGGACACTGTCCAAACCCCAGAAACCCCAGAACAGGCTACGAGGCATCACTGAACAACTAGGAAGCCAAAACGAGCGAAGGAAAGATCACCAGCCGCTCGAAAACACAAAAACAAGGTATACGTACAGCTAAGATAGATGAAGAAGCTGAAGTCGTTGATATTGGGGGACCTGTGGGTTTATATGACCTCGCGAGCTGGTGAAAGAGAAGCCGGCTGCGCGAAACCCCTCCTTTATATGAGGACCTCACCAGCCTGGACCTACCCTCCAAACGGTTCCCCATCACTCTCACCAAACGGCAGAAACGAGCTCCTGGACAGTTGACTGAACGCTCGTTTGCTTTGTGATATCCCAGGCGGAGACTTGGCTTGAGAGCAGTCTGTGAATAACCCACAAGCTTGGGTGAAACCTAAGGGTCAAACGAGCTTTCAAATCACCTAACACAAGCTCTTTAGGCTACGCGACTGAAGTACTTTGGGTTAGCAATTATACCAGAGGCCTTGGAGTTGTAACGGAGGAAAAGCTCTTCTGAGATGAGGCTCAGACGCTCGGACCTTGGAGAAGAACCCCACTTTTCAGTTAGACCCCACTGATCATCTCATCATATACTCAGCCGCTCGCTCATCTGATGAGCGAACGCCTGGGGGGTGTGTCACACAATCGAGCACCTCAATTGAGGGTGTGGAGCTTGCCGGCCCCTCCAGGTCTAACCAGAAGCTCGTTTCACCCGTTCTTCATCAACGAGCTGCCCGATAATCGGCCAGCTGCTCGCTTATCCAGGATCACGTGATCCACACATATTTCCTATGTATATAAACCTTACTTTCGTGATAGGATAGATAGCCACTGATCAAATACTATCGATCACCTGAGTATAGTCCCACAGGCTCCGTGACAAACAGCAATTGGGCCATTATTAGGAGCGGTAGAGACTGATGCTGCGAAGATCGTTGATATATCGATAGTTATTGAGTACGGGCTTATCCGCGTATTGTAGTGTTTGAGAGACGAAGCGGCTACGATTGCCTGAGATCGAAGGCACGCCCCACTTTCTCGCTTCAACGCGTCGCGTCTGCTTGCGTCCATGTCGAACCTCCAACCCCTCAACACGAATTACGAACGTGGGTATACTCATACGTTTCCAATAGTCGAAAACAGACGCATTTCTGTTACCCCTTGATGCACATATGGAGATGCTGCCTGCTGCGATACGCGCCCTCGACCTTATTGTGCATAGGCTTCAGCATCCTCCTCTGCTCGTTACTATCATCAAAAGACGCATCCTGACCGCAACTCCTTCATATTAATCACCTATCGACAAGTGATCCATCCCTCTTCCCGAGGACGCTGCGTCGGCAATGTGGGCAGGCCGACAGCTCTCGACGACCTGCGGCCACTTCACAAACAGCTTGGGATGGCCGAGTCAACCCGACGCCCTCAAGGAGACAGGCAGGCCGCAGTGGCTTCGGCCGTTTTGCTTTCGATGCTATCTGCGAAGCACCCCGCGAGTCACGCCTCATAGTTGATCGTCGAGAGTCGTCATCCCTGCATCTTGCACGAACTTAGCACGGTGCAGATACGCCAGCTCTGATTGGCTCCCAGGACGACAACGCGCCTCAACTCCAGAACCTTAACACGAAGCATGCTCAGTCCACGAGCGGCCGAGCTTCAACCTCATAGGTCACCTAGTGTCACTCTTCTCCACGAATCTGGAGAATCTCTGGCCTCAATCTAACCTGCATAGCCGCTGGTGGCAGTACTCAAGCGTGTCTTTACCTACCGCGTCTGATCCTCGCTTCAGGATAAGTGCCTTTACGCCGCGTTCAGATCACCTTACCATGTGTCTCGTTCCATTGGCTGGTAAGCCTCATGATGAATGTTTACGAGGCCTTACGTGTGTATCATCCTCTAGCATCATGTGGGCCAGGATTGCGACGAACCGAAGTCGGAACATGCTTCGGAACGCCGCTCCATTTAACCCCTCGTGATATCTATTGTGTTGTTTGTGCTCCTTGTGTTCTCTTCTATTGTCTGCCACAAGGTCATCGTCACAGCCATGCGTAACTTGCTAGCATACGTCCCTAGGGGCCCGTACACACAGCTGATTTTGATGATATGCGTACTTGGGCTGTTCCTTGCAACCATCTTTCTCTTCGCCCTCCAATCGAAGAAAGACTCAGACCCTGCCCCGAACAGCATAGAAGCGTACCTCAAATTCATTTACGGTTGCTTCTTGAAGCCCCACACAGGCGATGGCACCGGAAGCCAGCAAGATGCTCTTGTCGGTCAGCGAGTCTCTGCGTGCTTTCCAAGACTGACGCAATACAGGAGAGCTTCTACAAAGCGCAGGCCGGCGTTTATGATGCTACACGGGTAAAGTTACTTCGAGGTCGTGAGGATATGCTCGGCTTGGTTGCAGCACAGCTGAAGCACCGTACTGATGCTGGTCTGATCTCTCAGCGCCCTGTCTGGGTTGATGTGAGCGGTTTGAGTGAAGGTGGTTCTTCAGCGACTGACTTGCACAGATCGGTGGCGGTACTGGCTGGAATGTAGAGCATATGAACAACTTCATCTCTGTCACGGAGTTCTTCCGCGCAATCTGTAAGCAGCAGAAGTACAAACTCTTGTTCCATGACTGACAGCACCAGATATTGTCGATCTGTCTCCAAGTCTGTGCGAAATGGCTCGCAAACGCTTCACTCGCCTTGGCTGGAAGAATGTCAAGGTCATTTGTCAAGACGCACGCGCCTTTCGTCTCCACGAACACGAGCCACAAGCATACGAGCGAAAGGAAAATAAAGTGCAAGGGCAGACTGTGCGCGATCTGGACGAGAACGCGGACGCCGGGGGAGCCGAGCTTGTCACCATGAGCTACGCTCTATCCATGATTCCAGAGTTCTACCCTGTGATCGACTCGATCGACAGTCTGTTGAACCCTCACGGTGTTGTTGGTGTTGTGGACTTCTACGTCCAGAACCAGATCGACTTTAGAGGTCGCAACTACATTGGTGGTGCAATTGACCGCCACTGCATGTGGCTATCAAGGGTATTTTGGCGAACCTGGTTCGAAGTCGATCGCGTTAACCTTGAGGCTGCCAGAAGGGTGAGTGTAAGAGCCAAAAGCGTACGAAACTATGTCTGACGAATAATAGGACTACCTTGAGTACCGGTTCGGTACCGTACTCAGCATTAACGCTCGTAACAACTTCTTCGGCACTGGCATCAAGCTCCCCTACTATATTTGGGTCGGCTGCCCCAAGGACAGCGGAGTATCGACCCAGAAGCTCGCTGAGATCGATGCCGCCGCTACGGAATCGCCATACCTATCTGCTTTAGATCTTCAAACTGGCGATGCACAGACTGATGTTGAGATCCGCTCGAAAGCCTACGAGTCCGCCATCGTCAACCTGCAGTCATCACTTCCGCTTCCAGCAACTTGGTACCAGAACCACCACTGGCGCATTCATTACGATTCAGCGCTCCTTAAGCATACCCGCTTCAACAACTCATACATCTACGCGTTCACCTGGGAAGACGACGTCGCCGATCACCGCATCCTGAAACCTACAGCCAGCGATGTCATCCTTGCAATTGGATCTGCAGGTGATAACATCCTGTCATTTTGTCTCGCTAACCCACGTCGAGTCCACGCTGTCGACTTGAACCCCTCGCAGAACCACCTTCTGGAACTTAAGGTTGCGGCCTTTACAGCACTGGGCTATCAAGACGTCTGGAAGCTTTTCGGCGAAGGCAAGCATGGTGAATTCAAGAACATTCTGATCCAGAAGCTCAGCCCTCACCTTTCAAGCGAAGCCTTTCAATTTTGGCTGCACAACGGTCCTTCGGTCTTCTCCAACTCTTCAAAGGGTCTCTACTACTCCGGCGGCTCCGGTAACGCCCTCGCAATGGGGGGCTGGCTCTTCCGCCTCCTCGGCATGTCCTCAGACGTCAAGAAACTCTGTGAAGCCCAGACCCTCAACGAGCAACGCGAGATCTGGCAGCGCAGTATTAGAACCGTTCTCCACTCCAAGATCCTCACTTACTGCATTCTTGGCAACGAGAAGTGGCTTTGGAAAGCTCTTGGCGTACCACCTGCCCAACGCGCCGTAATCGAGGCTGATTTCGTCAAGACCGCCGACTACTCTGAGACCGAGACCAGGAAGGATGCTGGTGACGAATATATGGCATTTCACGACGAGCCGTCGGACGAAGCGCTGAAGCAGACCTCCGGAAACGCGATCTACGAATACGTCCTCAACACCTTTGAGCCAGTGATCAACACTACCTTGCTCAGCACCCAGAACCACTACTATCTCCTCACTCTCCTCGGCCACTACACGCCCACATCGCACCCCACCTACCTCTCGCCGAAGAGTCATGTCAAGCTCAGCAAACCAAACGCATTCAAAGGACTGCGCATCCACACTGACGAGATCAGTGAGGTCATTGCGCGAATGCGTCCATCAACCTTGACCATCGTGGTGGTGATGGATAGTATGGATTGGTTCCCGCCGACTGGCCAGCAGGCTGTGAAGCAGATCCGTGCTCTGAACACAGCGCTGAAAGTCAAGGGCAGGGTGATGTTGAGGAGTGCAGGACTGGAGCCGTGGTACCTGAAGGTGTTTGGTGAGAATGGATTCAGCTGCAAGAGAGTCGCTGCCAGGATACCGGGAAGCTGCATTGATCGGTAAGTGCTGTTGTCGACGGCAGTGCAGACAGACTGCTAACAAAGTGCAGTGTGAATATGTACGCGTCGACGTGGATCTGCACAAAGGAGGTTGGTCTCGAGCAGGAGGATATCAAGACACGGTTGAGACAGACTAGCCTGGCGGAGCTGAAGCTCGAGGCGCCGGCTATGCACGTGGATGAGTAGTTGCGCACTTGAAATCCCTTGTCTGCTGCAAATGTCTGAGCCAAAATACCAAAACAATTGAGGCATAATCATTGACATTGCATCGTCCACCAGTACAAGGCATCTGCGTCACATCGCATGTTCTTTGCCCTATACACGAGTCGCACTTCGATAGTGCCAGGAATCTGATACTATCCAAGACCATCAAGGCATCACTGTAGCCTGCGTGAAGATGCCTAGGGCCGTGTAAGATCTCTAGACTTCACAGCCCTAATCTTGGCATCCCAGTTGTTGTAGAAAAACGAGGCTGCTGCAATTGCATACCAAATCTAGGTCTACTACCCAGCTTGGAGGTAGTCAAAGTCCTGGCACCACGGAGGCACATGTGTGCATGCATTTTTTCTCAAATCAGCGTCCGAGTCCAGGAGAGGGCTACGACCAGACCGGAAACAACTGCTGCAACGCCTAAGATGTGAGCAGTGCCCCCAATCTCGCCATTCTGATCTTGTAGAGTTTCTCCGCGCTTGAAAGGACTGCCCCGCCGAAAGGCACCTCGGGGACGCCTGCGTGGAGCATGGCATCGTTGATAGTCACAACTCCTGAAAGCGTGTTGTCGAGCACTATCGAATGCGAGTGAAAAGGACCGCCAGGATGATGTTTCGTTACTTACCGTAGTCAACCTCGGCCTGATTGTGCGAGAATACGTATAGGCCGAGAGGATGCAGTAGCTTATTGATGGTCTCCACGGCATGCTTGAAATCGGCATATACGATCGGAAGCAATGGACCGAACAACTCTTCCCTTCCGAAAGAAGCGAGTCCTTCAGACTCGCGTTATCGACGACCGTGATCTTTAACTCCAGAAGATTACGATTATGCCCTGTTCCGCCGTAGACGATATTACCTCGGGCATTGTTCAGGAGCCGTTCCAGCCGTCCAAAATTGCGCTCATTGATGATGGTATACATGACACCAATTCTCCATTAATCGTGAACTATACATTCCAGCACTTGAGGCGCTTGATGAGCTCTGCGTTAACCTTGGGATCAATGAAGACGTGATTGACTGAAAGACATACCAGCCCAGCATTCATGAACTTAGCTGCAGCGATACGCTTAGCTGCTATATCGATGTTGGCGCTCTTTGTCACAGTCGCTGGACACTGCCCACCGAGCTCGAGGGCAGTCGGCGTGAGATGCTTGGCGGCTGCCGCAGCGATGTGTCTGGCTACCGAAGTGGATCCAGTAAAGAAGACATTGTCGAATCTGTGGGAAAGCATGTACTGAGTTTCCGATGCGGCGCCAGTCACAACAGCACAAGCCTCGGAATCAAGGATTTTGGGCGCCAGTCACAACAGCACAAGTCTGGGAATCAAGGATTTTGGGCGCCAGTTGCATGAGAAGGTTTGTGAAGTTAGTGGTGAGTTTAGACGGTTTGATGAGCGCGGTGCATCCAGCAGAGATGGCGGCAGCCAAAGGAGCAATGGTTTGAGCGTAGGGAAAGTTCCAGGGACCAGTGATGAGCACTCCATGGCGTAGTTCGGCTCTCAGATGTGCCTGACTAATGTTTGTGAGTGAGAAGCTTTTTCAATGTCATCTCTAGACGGGTATGGTCCAGAAACCATTGTCGATTGGGGCTGGAACACGGTTAACACGGTGCTAGGACAGCTTTCCTGATGCGCAATGCCGGAGTCCTCAGCTGTAGATTCAGGAATTTTTGCCATAGCGATTCTGCGTTCCAGCTGGGATTCTCAATCTCTCCTTTTTTAAGGTATCTGCGATGCATACACCGACTAACAACGCACCAGTCTTGCGTTGAGATTTCGAAATGAAACACTGCAGTCGTTCAAACTTGGTGTTCGCGTCCGGTCTTTCAAGCGCGCCTTCAGACCGTGCGGATTGCGACATCTGGCAGAAAATCGTGCATCAGCACAACACGGCACAGCACCCAGGATGCCCTCGAAACCCTTCCACCCGCTACTAGGCCTCGATTCAGCGCAGGGATGCCCAGTTTGCTTTTGTCCAACAAGCCTCGCTTGGCGGCCGATAAGCAACCGCGCCAACACCGATACAGCGCCATACACCTACCTTGGCCAATGACACAGCCTGGAGGCTTAATGCACCACGGCAATGTGGGCTAACATGCAGTTCCAGGCGTTCGGCGCGGCCGGGTCTGTAAGCACGCCATTCCTCCAGCTTGTGGAAAAGTTGTGTGGAATCGCAGATGCGTGATAACCGGAGCAATACACTGCGTGTAACCCACATAAAGCCGCCGTCGCCCTGCAAGGTGTGGATCAGCGACGGCAGTAGCAATCCACGGAATTCTGAAAACCGACCGGGCCAGCCTCGAAATCAGCGGCCATGGCCGACTACAACCAGCAAGACATGGAAAAGGTGCAGTCGAAGGTTGACGACGCCGAAGCCCAAGTTTCCGACAGCGAAAGCACTACCTATGTCATCAACGCCCTGGTCAACGAAGATCACGAGCATGAGATCAAGCTTCGGACAATGACATGGCAGCGCGCTGCCTGGCTGCTTGCTGGCGACCAGGTCTGCCTCGCCATCATGGCGCAGTCCTGGTCTCTCTCGTAAGCACAAACGAGACCCGAGAGTCGTGAAACCCGGCTCGCTGACACTTCCACAGGGTCCTCGGATGGGTTCCCGGCATCATCACGATGGTGCTGGCGGGGATTCTGTTCTACATTACGTCACTGACGATGCACGCGTTCATCATGAAGAACCCGCAAATCAAGGATATCTGCGACTTTGGATACCACGCGTTTGGCCAGAGCAGAGTCGCGTACGAGGCCACTGCGCTCATGCTGCTGCTCAATAATGTCATGTTGATTGGGTTCCATATCCTCACGGGCGCGAAGATCCTCAACACCCTGTCGGATCACTCGCTGTGCACCGTTGTCTTCTCCGTCATCGTAACGCTCATGGGCATCGTCATGTCCCTGCCCCGGACCCTGCGACACGTGTCCTTCATGTCGATGGTCTCGGCTGCGTGCATGGGTGTGGCCATCCTACTGTTCCTCGTCTTCGCCGGCATAGAAGCGCACCCGGGGTACGGATACAACGGCGTGTACCCCACAGCCGGCGCGGTCAAGACCCTAGCGTTCCCCGAGAAGAGCACGACCTGGGTCGCCGCGATGAACGCCATGCTGAATATAACCTTCCTCTGGGTCCCGCAGATTCTGTTCCCGACATTCATCGCTGAGATGCAGAGACCGCAGGACTTTCCCAAGGCGCTGAACGTGCTGGCGGTCATCTCGGCGGTGCTCTTCATTGTGCCGCCTGCGGTCGGATACCACTATCTGGGCGGGTATGCGACTGCGCCTGCCTTTGGGTCGCTGGGGACGGTGGTGTATAAGAAGGCTTCTTTTGCGTTTGTCATTGTGCCGACGCTGGTGATTGGCGTTATTTACGCTAATGTCAGCGCCAAATTCGTTTACGGCCGCATCATGGGCGGGAGTCGGCATGCGCACAGCAACACCGTGGTCGGGTGGGGGGTGTGGGTCGTTGTGATGACGGCGATCTGGTTCGTTGGGTTTGTGTTCGCGGAAGTGATTCCTTCGATGGGCGTACGTCCCCCCTCCCACTGGCAGACCATGCGCAACAACAAGCACTGACACAGATGCAGGATTTCCTCAGTCTGCTGGGCGCCGCGTTCGACTCGTTCTTCGGGTTCATCTTCTTCGCAGTCGCGTACTGGCAGATGCACAGGAGCAATCTATTCGGCGGCGCATGGCGGAGTGTGAAGACGCTCACGCATGGCTTCATCCTGCTGTGCGGACTCTTCCTCCTCGGACCGGGGCTGTATGCTGCGGTGCAGGCTATTATTGATGACTATAGCGGCGCCGTGAAGCCGGCCTTTTCTTGCGCGAATGTGGCTATCTAGGGCAGACGGAAGGCGGTTGATCGACAGGATCGAGATGGATTGGATTCCAGTCTGTGAAGCAATGCACAATCGAGACGAGTTGGGAGAAACGTGCCAACCATTACCAGAGTTGATTCCAAGAGTTCATTGCTGTGCATCAGCTAACCCTCCTCGCGGTCCATGTCTGCCCTCCCCCTTTTCCCGCGCATGCCGCCCCTCCCGCCTCCGCCGCCGCCCCTCTTCCCCCGCTGCTCGTGGATGAGCTTCATTTCTCGGACAGCGACTCTCTGGGCCTCGCCCACTCTTTCGGCATACACGAGGACCTCGTCCTTGGGCACGGCCTCCTCCTCGATCTTGGCGCCCAGGGCGTTCTCGATGCGCAGCCAGATCTCCACGTCGTACTGGGTGACAAACGACACGGCTTTGCCCGACTTGCCGGCGCGCGCGGTGCGGCCAACGCGGTGCACGTACGTCTGGCTGTCGGAGGGCAGGTCGAGGTTGATGACCAGGTCGACCGAGGGGATGTCGAGACCGCGGGCGGCGACGTCGGTGGCGACGAGGATGTCGCGCGACTTGGCCTTGAACTTTGTGAGGGCGCCCAGACGCGCAGACTGCGAGAGCTGGCCGTGCAGCGGGATGGCGCCGAAGCCGAGGGTGCGCAGCAGGATGGCGATGCGCTGTGTCTCGTTGACGGTGCGGGTGAAGATGATGGCCGGGTGGCCAATGTTCTCGTTGAGCAGGTGGATCAGGTACAGGTCCTTGTGCTTGTGCGGCAGGAAGAAGTAGCGCTGCAGCAGGGTGGAGACGACCTGGTGGCTGGACGTGGAGATGGAGACGCGCACGGGGTTCTGCAGCGCGGCGCGCTGCAGCGACTCGACCTTGGAGGACATGGTGGCGGAGAAGAGGTAGGTGTGGCGGCCGTCGCGGGGCAGGACCTTGAGGATCTTGTCGAGCACGGGGCCAAAGTCGAGGTCGAGCAGGCGGTCGGCCTCGTCGAGGACCATGTACTTGAGGGCACGCAGCGAGAAGCCCTTTGTGTTCTCGAGGTGGTCGAGCAGGCGGCCGGGGGTGGCGACGACGACATGCGGCCCCTTGGAGAGGGCAATGGCCTGGGGCACCATGTCCATGCCGCCGACGAGCGTGGCGCACTTGACGTTGACGATGCTGCCGAGCGCGTCGACCTGCTGGGCGATCTGGTAGGCGAGCTCGCGGGTCGGCGCCAGGATGAGGCCAAACATCTTCTGCGGACGGTCGAGCAGGGCCTGCAGGATGGGCAGCACGAAGGCGGCCGTCTTGCCGGAGCCCGTCTCTGCCAAGCCGATGACGTCGCGGCCCTCGAGCGCGAGGGGGATGGCCTGCGCCTGGATGGGCGTGGGGTGTGTGAACTTGAGGGCGTCGCAGGCGTCGCACAGCTCTGCGCGCACGCCCAGGTCGGCGAACGTCTTCTTCGCGGCGTCGTCGGCGTGGTCGTCGGCGTCGTCGGCCGTCTTTTCCGCCACCTCTTCAGCCTCTTCAGCCTCTTCAGCCTCTTCAGCCTCTTCAGCCTCTTCAGCCTCTTCGTCCTCCTCTTCGTCCGCGCTGCTCTCTGCGGGTGGCGGTGCAGGCTTGGGCGGTGCAGGCTTCGTCGGCGGCGGCTTCGTCGGCGGCTTCGTCTTCGCGGGGTGCGCGCCCCTCGCGCTCTTCGCCTTGGGCGGCGCTACGGCGGCCGTCGTGTCGAGCTTCCGCTTCTTCAGGACCGACATTTTGCAGTGCGAGAGTGTTGCGGCGGCCCCGGTCGTCGTCACGGGTCAAATAATTTCTTATCGATACCGTAGGCCCGGCGGCGCGAAATCTTGGCGTTCCTCGACTTTTTTGTCTGCCGACTCGCGCCCTCGACACGGCAGCCGTTCCCAGTTGTTGCTCACAATTGTTGCTGCACCCAACACACACCCACAACATGGCGCGATCAGGCAGGAGTAGTCAGCGCAAGCGCCAGTCGGCCACAGACAAGCAGATGGCCAAGAAGAACGACGGCGCGCCCAAGAGCATGGTCATCCGCATTGGCGCGCAGGAAGTCGGCGGCGCCGTGAGCCAGCTGGTGCAGGACGTGCGCCATGTCATGGAGCCAGACACGGCGGTGCGGTTGAAGGTGCGCAGGCCGGGAAACTCTCGGAACTCTCGGAACTTGCAGCCGGTACTGACTGTCGTCCCCAGGAACGGCGCGCGAACAAGCTCAAGGACTACACCACCATGTGTGGGCCCCTCGGCGTCTCCCACCTGCTCCTCTTCTCGCGCTCCTCGTCCGGCAACACCAACCTGCGCCTGGCGCGCACGCCGCACGGCCCGACCCTGCACTTCCGCGTCGACAAGTACTCGCTCTGCAAGGACATTGCCAAGTCGCTGAAGCACCCACGCACCGAGCCGACGGCCTTCCAGACGCCGCCGCTGCTCGTCATGAACAACTTCCTGACCTCGGACACGGCACGTGCAGCCCTCGGCGACGCGGCGCCGCCCAAGCACCTCGAGAAGCTCGTCACCGACATGTTCAGCGGCCTGTTCCCGCCCATCCAACCGCACACGACGCCGCTGCACACGATAAAACGCGTCCTGCTGCTGCACCGCGAGCCACCGAGCCCCGAGACAGGCACCGTCGCCATCTCGCTGCGCCACTACGCAATCACCACCAAAGTCACCGGCCTGCCAAAGGCCCTTCGCCGCCTGCACGCAGCCGAGAAGCTCATCGGCCGCGCGGGCAGCGAGAAGAAGAGCAAGCTCCCGGACCTGGGCAAGCTCGAAGACGTTGCAGACTACATGCTCGACCCGTCGGCCGGGGGCTACACATCCGCGTCCGACACCGACGCCGACACCGACGCCGAAGTCGACATGGCAGTGGCGGTGAAGCAACGCGTGCTCTCGCGCAAAGCCAAGGAGCGACTCGCCGCCGGCGACGAGTCGGCGCGCCGCACCGCCTCGACCGGCCCGCGCGTCGAGAAGCGCGCGGTCAAGCTCGTCGAGCTGGGTCCGCGCATGACGCTGCGCCTGACAAAGGTCGACGAGGATGTGTGCGCCGGCAAGACGCTGTGGCACGAGTTCATCACCAAGACGGGCGCCGAGCAGCAGGCGCTCGAGAAGAAGTGGGCGGCGCGCAATGCGCAAAGGGCCGAGCGGAGGAGGGTGCAGAAGGAGAATGTCGAGCGCAAGAAGGCTGCCAAGGCTGCGAGTGGGGGTGCCGAGGGCGAGGAGGGGGAGGGGGACGAGGATGAGGTTGAGGGCGAGGAGGATAGCGAGATGGATTACGACGAGTATGACATGGACGACGACGTGTGGCACGACGAGGATGGGGCGGGGGCTGCGGATGCGGATTCGGATGAGGACATGGAGGAGTGAAAAGTGGTGCGCTCATGCATCGCGTTAGATTAATGATACCCGTTGAACACTCTCACCGCTGAACCTACCCCGAATCTTTCGCCTTGACCCGCCGTACCATCACCCGCCCACCGTCCTCCAGCTCCCAGCCCACGCCATCCTCCTTCAGCGCATCCCACTCCTTCCCCGCCGCATCCTCCACCCACCTCCTATCGCACACCAAATAGCTCTTCCCAATGACCTTCAACGCCCCCACCCGAACCCCCTGCTCCGCAAACCCACAGAGCGCGCGCTGATACCCATCCACGCCCCTCCTCGCCCTCCAAAACGCAACCCAGTTGTCGCTCACCAGCGCAGCCAGCAGCATCTCTACTCTCCTGTCCTTGAACCCGAACCGCACCTTGGTCTCGCGCGCGCCCGCAAAGTCGCCCTGCCGGCACGCCTGGTCGAGAACCTGGTAGCCGACGTACTCCTGCAGCTGGCTCTGGCACAGCGGGTTGCGCGGGTGCAAGCTGTAGAGCAGCGTGTGCAGCGCGGGCACGTACGACGCCCAGTCGCGGCACAGGATGCTAACGTGGATCGTGAACAAGTACGCTCTGTGCGCGAACGCATCCGCGCGCCCGCTCGCTGTCACGCCCTCGCGCAGCTTCCGCAACGCCGAGAGCACCGTCGCTAGTTCTTGCGCGGACAGCTGCGAGGCTGCGAGCAGCCCGGGCGAGTTCAGACCGCTGAGGGGCGCTGGCTTGGGCGCCGGGGCGTGTTTGGACAGCGAGAGCGAGGAGAAGGAGCACGTGAGGTTCGTCGGTGCAGGCAAGGCCGCGGAGGCGAAGAGAGAGTCGAGATCGGCCCGGTTCAAAGCGCAGAGCTTCATGTAGCGCTCGGTTATGCGGTTTAGGAACATTTCCTGCGTGCGGAAGTCATTCAGTCTGGGGCCGTTAGTGTGGTGTTCGTCCCCCATCGTTCAACGGGGTGGTCACACCGTGTCTCGCCTTTGCTGGGCAGGCCGTAGGATTCTAGCACGTCTTCTCGCACCGGCTTGAGGCGGTTCCACGCACCCGATGCGCCGCGACGGCTGCTGGGCCGCACGGGGTCGGACGACTTCATCTACGCGGGTCAAGGGTGTTGGTCGTCTGCGAAGTGGCTGTGAAAAGGCTATGTTGCGCCGCAAAGTTCGATATTATCAACCCATCTCAGCGGTAGAAGGTACGGTCCGTCATTGTTGACGTGAAGCGTGAGGGCAGGTGGGGTGTGGGGTGATCAAACAAGGCAAGCGCAGCCGTGCGGCAGGTGCAGCCGGATGACGTCTCACCTCAAGACCATGCGTTCTTCTTGCTGTGAACAGCAATTGTCACGAGCGTATTGGCTTTCACAGAGTGCCTCGGGCGCAGCTTGAGACGACCGAAAGCTGATATGTCTACCCTCGCAGCCTCGCAACAAACACCATAAATGGACTAGCCCCCAATCTCCATCCGACGTCTTTGGATAAATGACTAGGGCTGCCAAACCATCAACAATCAAACAGCTCCTGATATGTGCTAAGGAGCACCACAGATATATGCGAGCTTCTCCCGCCAGCCGACCATAACAATCGACCATCCACATCACCACACCAACCAACCAACCATGGCCTCCACAAAAGCCCCAGCAACAACAGCCGCCCAAGAGTTCAAGAACAAAGCCACCCAGGCCGAAGCCAAACTCGACAAAAAACTAACCCACCTCTGGCACGAAATCGCCCCCTGGCAACAAGACAACGCGTACATAACCTCCGGCTACCGCGCACAATCGAATTCTTACGCCAAGTCCTGGAAATCGCTCTTCTACCTCCACAACGAGACGGTCAACATCTACACGCACCTTCTAGGCGCCGTAGTCTTCTTCGCTACGGGCGGCTTTCTGTACGGCGAGCTGCGGCCGCGCTATGAGACCGCGAGTCGAGAGGATTTGTGCGCTTTTGCGTGTTTTTTTGCCGGCGCGGTGGCGTGTCTGGGTATGAGTGGCACGTATCATACGATTCAGAACCATAGCCATGAAGTGGCAGTTTGGGGGAATAAGTTGGATTATCTGGGGATTGTGTTTTTGATCTGGGGGAGCTTCGTGCCGGTGTTGTACTACGCGTTCGATCGGGAGCCGGGGCTGATGAAGACGTATTGGACTATGGTATGTTGGCGTCTCCCTATGTGCAGGCTGCTCAAGATTGCTTCTGGCAATCGACGGGACGCTCGATTCGGGACGACTCATTTGAATCGTGCTGACCTCAGTAGATCACCACACTCGCAGCAGGAACTTCCGTCGCTTGTATCCATCCACAGTTCCGCACCCCAGCACTCCGCCCCGTTCGAGCGCTGATGTTCGTGCTCATGGGCCTCTCAGCCGTCTTCCCGGTGCTTCACGGCGTTAAGCTCTACGGCGTCGAACATCTTCGCAAGAGCATTGGCCTTGATTGGGTCGTCATGCAGGGTGTATTGTACATCGCTGGTGCTGGCTTGTATGCGGCGAGAGTACCGGAGAAGTGGGCTCCCGGAAGATTCGATATCTGGGGTAGTAGTCATCAGGTCTTCCATGTTCTGGTTGTGATGGCTGCGGCAAGTCATCTGGTGGGGCTGGTGAAGGCTTTCGACTATGCTCACAGTCAACGGGCGACGGTTGATAGGGCGGTTACGTGGGCCACAAGCCTTTGAAGTTTACATCACAATCGCATTCAGATGGCATGCAAGCCGAGAACAGTTGGTCCCATAGGCCGTAGCTGATCTGCGTAGCGCATGAAAGCGCAGCACTTCGACAAGGCAGATTCGCATGGCCTTCGAATGGTTCGCAAAGATTCGATAACTGTCTGTTGCATTACCCCGCCCTGCTCGCGTATGCGTCTGCATTCGTGGTGGTGAACGTCCGATATTTCTGATTGGTCAAACAGCACAGCCTTGCATTTCCTGCAGTTCACCGGTCAACGCGTGCATGATTACCAAGTGCGTCTCCTAGGTCTATATCTCCCCGCATCAGGCACTTGAGACGAGCAAGACCATATTGGAACCATTCATTCTACACAACCTACCGCAACATGATGGACATTGTCGGTGCCCTTGGAGCAGGCTCAACTATTGTAAGCGATCTCATACGACTTGGTCGCTTCATACAAAAAACCATCAAGCGTATCAAAAACTCTCGAAGAGATATCGAAGAGCTTGCCAGTGAGACCATTATCTTTGCGGGGCTTTACAAAAAATTCCTACGCGCCTGCGACGACGATCGAGACGCATATACAACAGACGCTTTAGCTGTGCGGTCGTTGATAACCTGGGCTACGAGAACAGCCGATAGCCTGCGCCAGCTTCTGCGTAAAGTCGAAGCACTTTATCCGCAGTCCAAATCTAGCTCTAAACTTGAAAAAAAGGCCATATCTCATATCGTGTGGCTTGGAAGCAAGAGCGCTGTCAAAGCCCTTCGAGACTCCCTCAGCGTTGCGCGAGAAAGCATCAACGGGTTCAGCAACCTGATGTGTCTGAAAAAGCTCAAGAAACAGATTAAATCACTAAAATCAGCCTTGCATGATCGAAACAAGCGGCTCGAGTGTGAGGCCGAGCTTGGGACCACGTTGGAGGCCAAAATTCGAGAAATCGATCAAGATATGTGAGTATTGGGTCGTTTACAAGCTACTATTTGCTAACCACCGGGTTAAGTAAGGAAACTGAGGTTCTTCATCGCGAGAATAGAAAGGTTCTAGGGAAGGCCGAACACAAGGTTGCCAGACATCGACAAAACAGCCGAACTGCGGACCTGGTCCCCGCTCCAGAACAGCTGTATGACTTGATCGAAATCTTGGATGATTACGCCCATGAGCTCTTTCCCTCAAGATGCTTACGGAAACGAACCGATGATCGTTCCTCAGTATCGTCAGCATCCGGTCATGGATCTGTCTACAGCCCACTCTCACAGAGGTCTCAACGAACATCAGCTTCGGACCCTCTCACGAGTGGTACAATTCGAACACACAATTCCAGCATTCCTACTAGCTCTGCATCAAGTCTTCTTTCGTTCCGGTCACCTCTGAATCCACCAAGATTTTCGAGCTCGCTTTCCACTGTATCTACGTCCTCTGTGGACATACCAAATCTTACTTCGCCGTCAAACGTCCAGGCCAACGTGTCCATTGAGTGCGCTCACACGCGACGAGAGTACATGAGAGATCCAAAAGGCAATATTTTGAGTCCCCCGATAGTAAGATCTCCCAGTTCGCCAGCGACGACCATCCAGATCGGTGACCACCTCATCACATTGGAAGCCACGAAACTGAAGATAAACCGTCATTCGCTAGATTTTAACGATTACGAGATGGGACTGAGCTTCTTCGAGGCGCTTCGACAGCATCCGCGAGAAGTCGATAGCCTGAACGAGGTACTCGCCCGCGGAGATGAAGACTGGGAGGGGATTCCGGGATGGCTTGTGAATCCTTCGGAATGGATAGTACAGCCACCTGCTAGTGGAGTCCGCGACGTCTGATTCTGAGCACCGTAGCACTGTGAGAAAGAATATCAGAGCAACAAGGTTTTACACAGATTCTTTCCGCCTTCGCAAGATCGCTGTCGGGCCCGGCTCGGCACCTCAGCCACCGAGAGTAGTACTCTCAGTCATGGAGCTTTGACATCAGCATTGTACCTTTGCAGCGCAGGCCGGGACAGTTACTGTCCATGTGGTCAAGCCTGTCGCTCAATTACCTCCAGTCTGCGCATATGGGTCTTGACACGCTTTATTGAATCGTGAGGTCGCGGCATCTCGTTATCAGGTAGGATGACTCCAGAGACTGTCCAAAGTAGGATGAGGTGAGGAATATAGGAAGTAAAGTTACAATGCGTCAGGTAAGAAGAATGATCTAGATAGAAGTAGTCAAGACAAGTGCTATAGTATCTGTCTGTCATTTTATTCTTTCCTGTGTTCCTGTGTATAACATCCCAAGTCTATAAGAACGGAGCTATCTACTAATTCGTGCTAAGAGGCTAACACCACGTGCACCAGGTGTCAAAGGCTAATAGTCAAAGTCACTCGAGAACTTGTCCGATTAAAGCAACGAGATAGCGCTTGAGCTGATTGCAAAGCGGGAATCTCTTCGGACGACCGACGTAAACGGATTCAAAAGCCTCAGGCAAGCTATTCGTACTATTTGGCGCGCGCGAGCGATTGGAGACATAGAACTACGACTCCAGAGAATCAAGGATGAACTTCAGTTCCGAGTCTTGATATCGATCAAGCAAGATAGCATCCGAGGACTTGCCGTGGCAAACTTTGAAACAAGGTTCGAGCCTTACCTCTGTCCTTTTCCCGGAACAATTCTTGCCTGAAGCAGGCTGGTATGAGTTTCCAACGTTTCAACAATTGCGTCGAGCGTTTGGCAGGCTTACCAAGCATGATCATTCTGCTATCAAGATAGTCGTCGTCATCAACGGGCTGGATTAGTTTGATGCGTGTAGTATCCCATGACCGAACTTGCAGACATGTTCACCACAGCAACTCAGAACAAATCAATCAAGGCGTTGTTGTCAAGTAGACCGCTCACAGCATTCATCGACTGTTTTACGGATCGACCCCAGCTCGAACTACAGCACCTCACGCACAATGACATCACCGCATACGTGAGCGATCGACTACTTAGACATCCACAGATTGCCAGCCGATTAGTCATAACGGATGAGGAGCTTGACAGCTTTGTGGGAGAGATCGAAGATTCCGCCTCGGGCGTCTTCTTATGGGATAGGCTGGTTGTGAGCTCTCTACTCGACGGAATCCAGGATGGTGACCGCATTGACGACTTGCAGAGATCCTTACGAGCGTTACCTCATGACCTCGAGGACCTTTTCACACACATGTTGAAGCGCGTTCCTGCTAAATACAGAGCACAAGCAGCATGCATATTTCAAATCCTGCGATGCAACAACCAGGGCGTGGAATTCTCGATTCATCACGGCGGCCACGAGCCATTGTCCGCTTGCCGGCTTCATTATGCGGAAATAAGTGTGGATGAGATCTTGGCAGCCGATATAGCGGACTTCTCGGATGCGCACCTTCGAAAAATCGAAGAGCATATAGGGCGTCGTCTCCGCAGCCATTGCGCCGGTCTACTAGAACTCTGGCCTCGCACCAAGTCCTCCAAGCACGGTGATAGGGAGGAACCTCTCAGAGAACAGCAGGATGTCAGCTATCTACACAGATGCGTCGCCGACTTTCTGTCAAAAACTGACGTCTGGGAAGAGATCACAAGCCATGTCACTGTACCGCCGTCTCAGGTGTCTCAAGCTGTGCTCCAATCGTTTGTCATGACTGCGAAGACAGAGAGGGATCAAGACACATACTCAATGAAAAGATTGCGGAAACTTGTATCCAATGGCATACTCTTTGCGCAGCTCACGGAAGCAAAAACCGGATCAGGATCAACTAAAATACTCAATGAGCTCGATAAAGCAATGTCGATTCGGTTTCAAGGGTCTCGAACGTACCTATGGTACACGATGAGTGGCAAGAGGAAATTAGCAAACTGGAATGACACCTACAAGGACTACAAATCCCGACCTGCAGCCTGGCAGTCGCACCCCAACTTTATGTCGCTTACGGTCAGACATGGTCTGACTCTATATGTGGAGAAGACAATCCGTGCAAGAGGGAAAAATTGTTTAAAGAAACAAGGTCGAACTCTCCTAGACTACGCCTGCAGACCTGTGCCACATGAAGGGCGCTGGTCTGAATTTATTCAGCCCGGACTCGTAGGGCCCCTGTTACCGGTAAAAAAAGGCGCGGACCCGAACAAACAATTCGACGGATTAAGCGCTTGGCAGCATTCTCTCTACCTACGAGGCCATCCCTGACCCTCTCAAACGGATCGCTGTACTACAGCACCTGGCTCTGCATGGAGCCGATGTAAATGCAGGAGGTCGTCGCCCTGAACGCAAATGACGAGGTGCCGATCAAGTTTATGTATCGAACAAGAAATCCGAAGATCGCGCGCAACCCGGGCAGTCACATCACCCAGCGGATCCTACAATACTCTCACTGGAAATTGAATAGAATTTGTTGCAATTCAAACGTAGCTGGTTAGCGCTGGAGAAACTCTTGGTCGAGAAAGGGGCGAAAGATAAGATGTGGGAGGCGAACGAGTTTTTTCATTCGATGGCAATCGCGTGTCAAAGCGTGGCTGGAGCGATGACGCACAGATGTATTCCAACAATGTTGACCAAGGTCGTCGCGAAGCACTGCCTAGACACCTACCTGTCCCAAACGAACTCGATTCGAGTCGTGCATCTAACAAATTATATACACTATCTCATATAATCTTAGTCCTCCAATCATGCGTAGTATCCTCTCTATGTATAGCTCACAGGGATGTAGTATGGACACGCCATCTCCAAGGAAATCGTCGCCCCGCACCAACAGTCCACGATAATGTTATGCATCTTCTACAAAGCATCAATCGCTGGTCCCGAGAGGAGCCTTACAGGATGGCCGCAGATGAGCACACAATCAGACCTCAGAATGATGCTCAGGCTGCTTGTTGCTCCTGTGCGCTACACTGGATTGTTGTAGCGATAAGATATGCATCTCTGTTATATTGATTGGGCCTAAACATAGAAAGAGATGGTACTTTCCTGCTGTGACTCTCGCTGACCGGTTGTTGTGCGATGTTGTATTGATATTTTCATCGAAAGCGTGAGCTTTGCTACGAGAGTGTCTTTTCCTGTTGCAAAGTACGTCGGATTGTTCGACTCGTATGAGAGAGTACTTCTGTGGTACTGGCTCTTGCAAATCTTTGAGTTGAGCTGTGGTCTTTGATTAATCTGTTGGCCGCCTGATTGCACGAATACATCTCACATCGCTTCCTCTGTAGGGTTTAGACCCTCCAGGCAGATATCCCCCTGTCATTGAATTCCAAGCATGACTTTTTTTCTGGTGTTTGAAGCCTGTGGGATGACAAGCCCGTATTATCGCAAATATGACCGCTGTCACTATTTGTAACCACGTGGGTGAAGTCACATGATATCTTGTTGTAGCAGGTACCGCCCAGTGGGCAAGTGCACTTACCTCAGAGCTGAGAGCTCCGTACACAATCATCACAACACGACAACAGATAGCAATACAATTGTTGATCCCAGCCTCCACCCGACACTGCACCAGGCAGTTACACTATTCCTCACAGGGATGTGGCGGAGAGCGTTTTTGGGCACGTGCAGCTCCTGCAGAGCCCATTGTTCGCAAGTCGATAATTTGTGCACAAGAATCTAGAGACCTTGTACCGAAAACTCAGATCTACTAACCCGCAGGCACATTTGAAACGAACACAGATAAAACCGCCGCATACGCAGCCGCCACAGCCATCATCTCGAAACTCGATACTTTCAGGAACAGCGAAACAAGGAACGACAAAATGAGAATGCAGACTGAAATGACCGCCAGTTGGATATTCTTCGAAGATTGATACGATAGAATGGCAAGCGGGGCGATGAGGAAGACTGCCGCTAGCGCTGCTGTTGCTACTCGCCCGATGATCTCGGCGATCAAAATGGTGTTCTGATACGACCATGTATGATCTTTCTTGGGGACTGGTCCAAGTCCTTCAGTGTCATATCTCTTCTTTCTAAGAAGTCGCCAGTATCGGAAGGCACGCAGATGTCTGTGCAGCCAGCGCTGGAAGGGATCTGTGCGCGCTCGGGTACCAAGGTCTACTCGAAGGAGACGAGTCTTGTGGATCTCGTACAGGCTGAGATCAGTTCTCAGACTGGATTGCTTTTCGTCATCCAGTAAGGAGAATGTTTCCATGGTCATGATGTTGTTGAAGGCTGCGAGTGCTGCGTCTAACAAGCAGGCTTGGGTCAGTCTCGTGAACATAAAGGCAACATGATAGCCTACCATATTCTTTCAGAAGACACCGTAGTTTTTGGATAAACTCCTGAGTGATGGTTTCGTCGATCTTGGCAACTTTCGCGTCTCTTCTGCAGTGCCCGAGCCCCAGACGATCGTCGGACGATGGGCTGAGGTTTAGGCTGAGGCCGGCTTGATAGAGAACGTGGTCCATCTCGGCGATTTCATCTTCGAGGAAGCGCAAATTCAGTAAATGAGTGGTCTTAAATCTGCGAAAGCCGTGAAGGGTGAGATTATTGTCGGCTGTACTGGTAATCCAGGCTTTGCGGAACGTACTGGTGATGTCGTCGGGTTGGGGCGGTCCAGACATGGTCAGGAGGGCAAGCGGGAACGTGTGTGTAGGGTCATGCTGGATAGCCGTACATTACATATCAGAGATAGTCCCCTGCGTGCACAGACGATTTCAGCTTTCGTAAGCTATGTTGAATTACTGCTCACCGGTAGTGGAGGGCGCGTAGGGGTGTGCTCGAGGATGAGGGGCGCGGCGGCCCGTCGCCAATCAGGACCTGACCCTACACGCTCGACCCGTTCTCCGCCCCCAAACGCGAGCCACGAGGCACCCTCTCGCAGCCGGTTGATGCGCTATGCCGTGCGGCATGCCCAGCAGTAAGCGATCAGGCTGAGAAAAAAAGTTGACCTTCGTGCGGTCTTCTTGTCTCCAACATACTTTGCGAGGCATCAAGCCTTTTGCAAACATTGAATCACGCTCCTTCACAAGCATGACTAGTAAATGCAAACGACTGAGCTGCTACGGCTACCATGTCGCTTGGATATGTCCCATCGCAGACCTTGAGTTGCTGCCTGCTCGCCTGATGCTGGACGAAGAGCACGACACCCCGCAGTACGATACAGTACGGATTTCGATAAGAACACCTATCTCTTCGGCTCGATCAAACGCCACATGGTCGTCATCGGTACATGCCCAGCAGGCGAAACAGGCAATGTCAACAGCGCGCGCCTTTCTGGAGCCCTGTTGAAAACCTTTCCTAACATCCGAATGGCATTGCTCATCGGCATCGGAGGTGGCATACGCAGCGCAACAATTTCTGAGGATGTCCTCAAGAACGTACATCTTGGACACGTGGTGGTCGGATGGCCTGGCGACGGTAAGCTGGCCTGTATCTAACACTCTCGCGGGAGATCGAAGATCGGCGGATTCAAGATAATAGGCACGGTGCAGAACCCAGAGTGGAGGCTCATCAACGCGCTCGGCGTTCTTAGGACCGATCATGAAATGCAGAAAACACCGTTCAATGACCAGCTCACGAGGCTGCAAAGCCTCAAGAAAACGAAGAAGCGTTTTACTCACCCGGGTCTCGAACACGATAAGCTTTTTAAGACGGCATATCCTCATAGAGGCGAAGGGCAGTGAAATCGAGGCGTTCGATGTACATCCGCTTGTGCATCTAGCGACCCGCGTCTGGCTCAAATCCCAGAACCGGTGGCAATCTCAGGTGGCAAAGACAGTAAAGCGAATGCAGGAGCTCATACCATTCGGAAATTTCGGGACAAAGAAAGTCTGGGCGCCATACCTGCCGCACGCCAGACAAGTCTGCGACCTAGCCAAGCTCGATCACGCAGAATCATGGGCCGATCTCACCGACCGGGTATCGAAATGTTACTCTGCGCTTGAGCAATACAGAGTTGCGGAGCAAGAGCTTCGAGAACTCCCCGAATGTGAAGAGAGCACGATTGACGAGAAGTATCCAATCATACCTGGGCACTAAGGGCCTTGAACTGCACTGGCACCATGCTCTTTTGTCAGGGAAAGTACAGAGAAGCCGAGCAAGTGCATTGCAGAGCACTGAATACTAGAAGCGAAATATTTGGCAAAGAAGAACGTATCACGCTTGGAAGCATGAACAACTTGGCAATAACACTAGAAAAGCAAAGAGAATACGTAGAAGCAGAGCAGATGCATCGTCATGTGCTGGCGCTACCGGTAAGGGAGAAATCATTGGACAAGGAGAATCCAGAAATGCTTACAGTCAGGCACAACTTAGCCACCGTTTTGAATGGTCAAGGCAAGTTTGCAGAAGCAGAACATCGATTTTGCAAAGTAGTGAAGCTACGGTAGGTAGAGCAGAATGTGCTTGGCAAGGAACATCCAGCCACGTTGACATTCATAGGCTTGCTGGCAGACACACTAAGTGCTCAGGGAGAGCATCGAGAAGCAGAGGAGCTGTATCTTAGAACGCTACACCTTCAAGAAAAGATTTTTGGTAAGGAATATCCAGAAACGTTGAGAACCATGGGCTGGCTAGCAAATGTGCTAAGTTGTCGAGGGAAGCATCATGAAGCAGAGGAATTGTGCCGCAAAACGTTGGTACTGAGCGAGAATGTGTTTGAAAAAAAGGAACCTGTCACGCTACCGGTACGGAGTACGAACAATTTAGTTGTTACAATCGGCAGACAGGAGAGAAGTTGACACCTTATTTCAAATCTAAGCCAAAGTCGTAATTGTGTATCTTCTCGAAATGAGGGTGGACATAATGTACCGTTCGCAGGAAATACTTTCTGGTCGCTGGGATGGCTTCGTGGTGAGGAGCGGCAGAGGTAGTGTGTGTGCATGTGTCATACACCTGTCGCAAAGCGTGCAGTGTTGTGCAACAATTTCGCCTTTGCGAAGTTGCTTCTTGTGGAGAAAGAGGCCGAAATTATAATCAAGAGTTGCGTCTTGCATCTGTATTCAGTATCGCAAAGCTATATTGCGTTCACAATGTGCAGCTGCACAACAGCTTGCCCAATAACTCCAGCTGTGCTCGCTGTGCTGGCTGTGCTGAGCTCCGCCATGCTGTCCAAGGGATTGTGCGTTTCCGGTGAGCGCTTAGCAGCAAGCGCAAGGCTGACGATGCAGCTGCAGATTACGCGCCCGCGTATGGCCAATCAACCACAATTTTGCTCAATATTGGCCTGACCTTGATGCAAGTCAGAAGCCGCTCTAAGCTATTCAGCCACTAGGCTTTGCTCAGGCGTCATGTGGCTGGGTATTGGGTCGATCACCTCGAGATTGGCTATTGCAGCCACCATTCCAATTCCGCAAGCAGCCCTGGAACTTCGCAACCCACCATGCATCACAGTACCTGTCGTTTTTCCTAATAATTGGGTCCGCACCTTTTCCAACCACCATTGGACCACGCTCGCTCCCTGATGCTGGCTCGTACCGAAGCAGAGCGGCGATCCCCAATGTCGAAAGCTGTCCATCAAACTCTCATCGTTATCGTCAAGGGCATTGACGTCAGCCTTGCAATCTTCGACAATACACCTCAACACCTCGATGCTGTGTCGAAGTCCAGACGAAGTCGAGCCATCATACGCGATCGCTAGATCCGCGCCCACAGCCGCAGCACCCAGCACCGCCTTGTGCATTGTTCTCCAGCTAACCTGCGCTCCCTTCTGCTGCAACATCTTGAAAGTCGCGAGCGAGTCAACCTGCGCACATGCCTCCAAGATAGGCACCGGATAATCGTAGTTCGCGCTCGCACCGAGCTTGAGCAGCTTCTGCACCACTTCCGTCCATTGCCTTACTATTCCATGAACATTAACAGTTGCAAATATACCCAACAGTCACTCCTTCTTGCCGAGAACTGCAAGCGCATGAGCAGTATTGGAAGATGTGCTCAGCAGCTGAAGAGCAACATCTTGCGCCTGTCGACGAGCTGAATCTCTTACAAGCGCTCAACGAGCTTCCTCACACAAATTCAGCTCAAGTCAAATTATCGTCTGCTCTACCTCTTGAACCTGGCATGAGTCTGGAGCAGGTTTCTTCGGGAGCTAATGGCTGCGTCTAGGAAGGAGGCTTTCGCGGTGCAGAAGGAGCTGGTCTCGTTTAAGGTTTAGTATCACAGAGTGCCGCGAACGCACCTGCATCGATGATTGGGGAACTATTTTGTTCTGTGATACAATATACGTCGTGTTAAGCATTATGTTTGATTATGTGCATGACTGGTTGGTGACCATTACGAGATCGGGGATTGCACAATGTGCACTTTAGACACGATACTCGGTTCTAACATACAATCTTGTTCGAACATGCTTCTGTGGCCCGAGACTGTCGCCTTGCGGAAGATTCAGAGTGACGCATTTGAGTTTGGTGCTAGGGTTGTAAAGCTGAACGCGATAAGCTGGAGAGACCGACCCTCATGTTCAAATACTCCAGCGTTCATTTACACGATAGACCGCTCATGATGAGCGCTTGAACGATGCGGCATTGACGTATCTATCGTCTTATAGCCAAGGTGGAGCTGCGTACTCCGCAGATACGTACCAGCATCCGTTTTGAAGTCTTCTGGCGCAGTTCGGACCCAGCCCCATGTCTTCAATGATGTGCTGCAGGTGTCCATCCAGGGCAGGCAGTATGTCTACCCGTCCGTGAAGGGTGCATATCTGGTATGTGATAGTACTGGATGATCTACTCTTGAGCCCTTCGTCGTTACTGTCTCATCGCTAGATGGACTCACTGTTACATTACTCCCTATTCTGCAATCTGGCGTCGGGGAGGTGAAGGCGCGATCTGCGTTAGCGCTAGGCAGTTATAACGTACGTCAAGCTTTGCCTTGCACACATAATAACAGCCACTACAACTACCGCCAACTCCTGCACCATGGCATCCACAAAGCCAAGCCAAGCGCTTCTCAAGAAATTGATGAACTCGAAAATCCGCGTTGAGAATCGTTCTGGCATCACTCATTGTCTGCCACCAGTCAAGGAGCTACAAGACCCCATTGAATGATTCCTGCCTCCTGCTGGTCAATACTACGACCAAAGCGTTTTCAGATGTCTCTCCAGCGTGCCCGACCATCATAAGGAGCGTGTCCTTTGTTGGAACGCAAAGCCTACAGGCCAGAAGTGTAAATGCCAGGAGAAATGCATGTTGTGTGGGACAAAACAGTAATGTGGCACCACCTGTCCCAAGGTCTACGCGAGCATCAAATGGTGGCAAAGCCAAAGACACTATATGCGAAAGAAAGCTCAACTTTGACCCAACCTAGGCGAACGCGCCTACCTCGCTGTTGCTGGAGTCTTCAAGGGCTGGAAAAGAATGGAAGATCCAGTCATTGTGAACATGGAACATCCTGCCGTGAAGGCTTTCTACGCGGGTAGACCGGCACCACAGCAATATACACCCTCCAGATAGGCTGCCAAAGCATCCCATGGTCGACGCGACCATGGTGCCGATGTCGACAAGCACCCTTCGAACAACGTATTGATGGCGGAGGTCCCAGTGGGAAACATTCTTTGTTCCGGTATCAGCGCAAACGCGGCGAATGCGTGGGAAGAGTTGATATAGGAGTTGGAAGCAAAGGTCCTGCATCTGGAGGAAGGTGCTGGTTCACAGAAGGAGCAGCATTGAGAAAGACAGATAGACCAGAGTCCTAGATCAGGACAACGAGCTTTTGCGTCACGATGACAGCGAGGGTAGGGCTGCGAAACGACCACGACTGTAGGAGGTGGTCTTGATGACGGAGGATACAGAACGGTCCCGAGACTAGGCTCGATCAGCCGTAGCGTCAACGAACACCGACCGGTGGACGCGGACTTCGCAATTTATTTGGCAGACCCATCACACATCTTCATGCGACATCTAAAAGGATTCTGACATGCTGTGCTTCGTACCTCTTGCTCCGTATCGTTTCCGCCGCCTTGAAGCCCATTGCAAAGCCGCGCCCGTGGTGCGCGATACACGCGGCACGCGTTACTTGCACGTTACAAGCACGATGACGGCACACAGACTTGCCGAAGGAAAACCAAGGCAGACAAAGCTCGATGATCCTAGACTGTTCCGAGAGATTAGCTGGTGGCTTGTGATCAACATCTAACGGAGTTGTCTATAGGCTTTGCATTGTAGTACTCGGCAGAAGTGCAGCACAACCCCGATGAAGAAGCCCGAAGCTTATGCACCCTTCCGTGCAAGTAGCTGGTCCTTGTACTTACCTGTAGTCCGCACCTGATGCTCCTGTTGGTAGGCGAACTCTTAGGTCTTCTGCCTGGCTAGGGACTGTCCAGCAGCGTCCGTCTTGGTCATCTTTGCGACCGTCATACATCGGACTCCGTTTTGCGGCATGTTGATGCAGACAGTATATGAGCATTGCATGCTCCCAGCAGCTTCGAACTTCAAGCAAGACTTCAAAAAATCCTAGGAGCCGGATCTCACAGGACCTCCACTCGTTTAAATTCAATCCAGCTTGCTCACTTGCACTCCCTACCTAGACGTCCACCACGATCAACATATATTCTACTTCATCTCCTCCATTATACGACATGTCCACGTTCAACAACTTTGATCGACTCGCCATGAGCGAGACTCAATTCCTCCGCATGGCCGAAGCCGAACTGCAAGCGTCCCAGCGCCCTCAACTCCAACGGGGCGCTTCCTTCGCTGAGAAGTACCTCTGGAAGTCTCCCTCTCTTGGCACATACTCCATTCGGCGCGACACCTCCCCAACAGCCGCGTCCCCCGCTCTCTCAACGACATCCTCCTTCAGCTCTCCGAAGATATCGAACGAAACCTACTTCGGCCCCTCGTCCGTCACTAGTCCCAGTATGGGCAGCGGCTGGGGTCTTGGCCTTGTCTTTAGGAAGAGGAGTGGCACAAATGCGAGTGAGCCTAGTAGCCCGAGTATTGGTGGCCGTACACCAACGTTAGGTGCTGACAGCCCGAAGTTAGGGAGCAGTAATGTGCAAGAGCATAAGAGGAGCGGGAGTGCGAGCTCGGAAAGGAGGCGGGACGAATTCGGGTTGGCGAAGGAGAGGCATATCACGCAATCATTCTAGGTTTGAAGGAGGTGTTCGGATGTTTGAGGGTTTGTGATTTCGGATCACATTTCTGTCTTTTCGATATGTCTTACGCGCCTCGGCTCCTATCTGTTGTTGCAATGCCATCCATTCTTTGCCATGTCCCCGCAGTCGGTCCGTTCCTAGCGTCTCACCCCGCGTTGATGTCCTATGTTCAGGCCTGCAGGTCTGCACGATTGCGACGCGGATCTGCGTTCACTTCACTCAACCCATCTCGCCAAGACCCACCTGCTTATCGCGCTCACCATTAAAACAATATGGCTCCTCGCACCCCTCGACATCTGCAACTCTATCAACGATGCCTATGGCTAAGTCATTCGCATGCCTACAGTACTGTTTGACAATAACGTAGGTGCGCAGCTTTTGGTTGATACCACTTACCAGTGTCAACTCCCGACTTTCATCCGTTTTCTTTGTATCACCATAAAGCTCTGGTATATCACTCAGAACCTAAATCCGAGGACAATCCTTATGCGCGCTTGTCCTTGCCCCGCGACGACCACAAGATCTACGAGAACAACGACTTTCTCTATTCGTTGGCTACGAAGCCCACTCCTAAGAAAACGACCTACTCTTGTACTACCAGCCTTGCCCGGTCTCGCCGTGTCCACCGGTAATAGCACTATCAATTATGCCGGTGTCGTCAACATCCACCAAGACTTAGGCAGCTACATTCCGGCTCCTCGCGCGGACAGTCCTGCTCTGTGGACTCTGGCAGCATCAGCTTAGGCGCCTGTTCCTGGTGGTGAGGAAGGCCTTTTAGGTGCCAAAAAGCTTAAGGCTCGGGAGGTGAATGACTCTGCCTAGACTGTTGACCCAGTGCAGGTGTGCGAGATAGCCGTGCAGATCCAAGACCTTTTTCAGCAGCGCCAAGTTTTCATGGAAAGCACGAGCACAAGAGTTTCGAATTCAAGAAGTTCCATGCTGCCAAAGTGAATGCTCGGCCAGAGACCGAAGGCAAGCGTCTGCAGCTCGAGAACCGCAACAACGAGCTCATCAAGGCGAACGCGAGCTTCTCAGCCGAAGTCGCGAAGTTCTCCCGTATCTCACCCCAGTGCGCTACCGGTACGTCCGCCGCTCCGGAGCAAGAACTATGGCTCCTGGCTGCAACTGTGCAGTACTGTCCCTCCGACGCTCCAAAATCACCTGGTTACCCCAGGTGACTATGCGATGTATCAAAGCCCACAAACTGCTCCCAAAACCCTGCTCCCCTGTGTCTTACGCCGGTTCCAAACTTTAACTAGGCCCTTCTTTTTTTGCACTTGTCTTACGCAATTTACCTCGGCATTGCGTTTATTCTAAAGCACTTAGAATAATGCATATGACATAAAAGCGACAAATACAACGTTACTTTAAGATCTATGCTACATGAAGATGTTACTCACACAATTAACTTATTCGAAGTAGCTAAATCTGTTTTAAAACCTGCAACTAAGTAATCTGCTGTAGAGGAGATATTCTGTGGTCAAGAATTAACAGACTCAAACAAGTGAAAATATCTCTCGCTTGGCCTTGCTGCGGACAAAGAATGTGCGCATTAGTATTAAATCTGCTGCTGAACTGCTAATGCAATATGTACACGGGTTTGATAACTCTCCAATGTTCTACCACAGTCTCCCAAACCACTGCTTACCACGTTTACATTTGTGATGCTCCAAACTCAGGTTTTCCCCACCACAGTGTGACATGGTTCTATTTTGCGCTGATTCGTCTGTTTGACCTTTGTCTGATCTTTACCATCACCCACCACCACCTGGCACAATACGCCATTGACCCTTCGGAGCAGCACTGAACCAAACCGGCAAGAACGTTGTTATCACTGGTTCTGTAAGATTTTTTTTTTTCTAGGCAGCGCTTAGGAGAGAAAGGAAGTGGAGTGGGCCGTGCAATAGCCAAAGCTTTTGCTTCAGCAGGCACTTCTCGCCTGTTACTAATAGCCCGCACCGAGTCCAAGCTGCAGGAAGCTCCCGGTCCGGACGTATAGAGCACGCATGTCGATACTTTTGCAACATCTTCGACTACATCCGCTTCCATTCCGAATGTGCGTTGTTTGACTGACTTAAATCGTGGCAGATTCACTTCTCCTTTGGAGGCGGTAACCGACACTACCGAGAACTATTGGTTCGGGAAACCGTAGTCTACTGTGGTGACATGGTAGTTTTAGACCCTTCAGGGTGCATACAAGCTGCTATACACATAGACCTGAAACTGTTAATATCGAATCATACCCAGAATGAGTAGCGGACTTACAAAGTATTGGGCGCTTCTGAGCAAGCCGCCTGCGCAGTTGATTCGGAACCCTCCTCTGCACTTGCGATTCGAACTGGTACTGTGGCAGACTGTACACAATTGCAGGCAGGCTCAAAGTACTTCGATGTGACATAAGGAACTTCGTTGATGACCGTATGGATGCTGGCAGTTGCTATGACAGCACTGATTGGTATTGTCGAAGTCTGTATGCAGTCGCAGGTGGGTTCCCAATATTGTGTTGTCGTACAAGGAACCCCACTGACAGTAACCAAGCGAGCGGCCTCAAATGACGGTCCTGGCGTGTAAGCGACAGGGACAACAGTGGTCTGTGTACAAGCGCAAGTCGGCTCGTAGTATGATAGCGTTGTACATGGTGTGCCATTAATCATCGTTGTCTTGTAAGATTCTGTGGACGTTCTTGTTGTCTCTGACGTTGTGTATATTAGAGAGTGCGTCTTCGATTTGACAGGAGCTGGATGCGTGGAGTTCCATACTCTGGTAGACACGTAGATCGAGTAGACTTTGCTTTTGCCTCCGATGGATGTGGTTGAAGTGCTGAAGCTGGAACCCTTGGACGAGTGATTGTACCGGGATCGACTCATGGATGTCGTCTTTCCAATCTTGTATGTGGTCGAAGTTGTCGTACGGGAAATCTTCGATGAAGTCGACTGTATCCTTGGGGAATAAATAGATATCTTGAATGTTTCTGAAAACTTTTTCGTCGCTGTTGAAGTCACCGGTACCCTTGACGATCTGGAAGGTGTTGAAATTTGAGGCCTAGAGGTGATGATTGAAGTATCGGGCCTAGTTGAACTGCCTCGACTAAATCTCAGTGACGAAGAGGAAATGCTTGGCACACTGGGATTGGTCCGTGTGATAGATGTGATCGATAGGTGGGGGACAATAGGTACGCTCGGTGTCCTGGAGATAGATGTTGTGTCAGACACTTGGGGGATACTAAAAGTGACTGGCACATCTGGCACATCTGGCACATCTGGAACGACCGGAACATCTGGCACATCTGGCACATCTGGAATGACCGGAACATCTGGCACACCTGGAACGACTGGCACATCTGGAACGACTGGCACATCTGGAACGACTGGAACAACTGGAACGACTGGCACATCTGGAACGACTGGCA